GGCCAAACACGCTGTTTGGCACATTGGGAGGAGCTGGTGACTGGAGCAGTGGGAAGGGGGGTTATATGGGGGGTGGTTGAGTGGGAGGGAAGGCACACATTTGGGGGTTGTTGGGAGTGAGCTTGAGGGGGGTGCCTTAGGCTGTTGATCAGGTAGTTAGGGACTTGTTCTCCTTGGTAGAGAATAGCTGTTTGAAGAGAGATTGTTGAAATTATCTTGTATACCCATCTATTACTTGTTTCCTATGTTTCCAAAGACATCCTATACCAGCGTGTACCGTAGTACACAGGTAATAAAACCCAGCGAAGTAAACAGCACAAATTTACTGCGAAAATCGATGTTTAAACCCGATCGAAGGACCTGGGGATCCCACCAACGGCACCGCAATGATGCTAATCCCCTCCTTCGGCCTCAACACCAACCGCCACATCTTCCAATCCTCCGGATGCGGCGTATCAAGATCCCTGCGAAACACCCACCGGCTCAACATCACACACAAAATCACCTTCATCTCGACCTCCGCAAACTTGCGTCCCAAACAACCCCGGGGCCCCTGCAAAAAGGTCATAAACGCGTTCGGCACAGCCGTGTCCGGTAAGTGGTCCCACCGGTCGGGGTCAAAGGTATCCGCGTTCTCGCCCCAGAACCACTCCATCCGGTTGATGGCGTTAGCCAGCATGTAGACGACCGTGCCCTTGGGGACCTTGTACCCCTCGATGATGTCATCGGCGACAGACTCCCGCACCGTCATGGGGATAGGCGGGATATACCGCAACACCTCACGGCAGAAGTTATCGAGATACGGAATCTGGTCCGGATCCGGCATCACAGTCGTCTCCGGGTCGTAGACAAAGTTCTCGTCGAAGAGGCAGGGCATGTGGGCGCGGACGTCTTCGCGCAGCCGGTCCTGAATGTCCGGGTAGATGGAGAGCAGGTGTATGGCCCAGGCGGCGCCCGTGGCGGTGGTGTCGTGGCCGGCGCCAAGGAAGGTCATGATCTGGTCGCGCATGGTTTCGAAGGTGAGACCGCTTTCGCCTTTGTCTTTGAGCTTGAGGTTCTCCTGGGCGATGAGGGCCAGCACGTCCTTGGCGTTGGGGGTGCTTTCGGCTTCGGCGAGTTTCTCGTTGATGATGGTGGTCGCTTCGTTCATGATGATGCTGCGGGCTTCTTCCATGTCGCGGTTCATTTGGACCGGGAGGTGCTTGGATTTGGGGAAGAAGGCTTGGAGGCCGTGCAGGACGCGGGAGCCGAGGTCGAAGTTGAAGACGAGTTGGTAGGCGTGGCGGATGGGCAGGGCTGCGTCCTGGAGGGAGTCGATTTGGTAGCCGAAGCCGGCCACGCCGATGATGTCGAGGGTGCAGCGGTTGAACCACTCGAGGATCTCGAGCGAGATGAATCCGTGTTTGCCGTTTGTGGCCTCCATCTGCTGGTGCTGCAGGTTGGTCATGTGGATGGCCTTGTCCCAGAAGATGGGGTTGAAGGTGCGGATGGCGCTGGTCGAGAAGCCCGGGTTGAGGGTCTTGCGCTGGGTTGTGTGCTCGTCGTTCTCGGCCAGCAGGACGCCCTCGCCCAGGATGCGCACCATCCACAGCTTGGCGCGAACGGGCTTGGGGAAGTTTTGGTGGTTCTTGACTGTAATGTGGCGGATGGCCATGTCGTCGGCGATCGACAGACGCTCGCAGCCGAGAGGGAAGAAGTACCGGATGATGGGGCCATACTTGCGGTGCCACCGGCGTTGCGGCAGTCCGCACTCCTCGGTGATGACGGGCACGAACTGGCCCCAGAGCGGGAAGCCCGGCACGGTCGGCACGTGGCGGAGCTCGGAGAAGTACATGGGGAAGATGTATCCGCGCCAGAGGATCCAGTACAGCAAGATGAATCCCAGGGCAACCCCGGCTGACTCGAGGACAGGACTGGCGGTCTGCCGGGCATAGACGTAGGCCGCCGCCGCGGAGAAGGCCAGGACGGGGGCCGGGGTCTTGGGTGTGAAAGACTCCATGGCTGCTAGGAGGAAGGGGTATGTTTGGGGAAAGTAGGTACTGAGTAATGAGTAAGTATAGTAAGTAATGTCCAGAAGGTGAGTTTCCTGAGTTATACAAACATGTTAGAAGAAGCCAGAAGAAGGACTCGGACTGGGAGAGGGCAGGACTTATTATACCCACAACCAAAGCCCTAGACGTGGGCGGTGATTCGGGCCAGCTAAGTTAGGGTTTTTCCCAGATTCCCGAGCTGCATTCTTTGGGAAGCCACTTCATTGTTCGTCCCCGAAGTTCCGTCCGAAAATGGCCGCCGGCCGTGGCAGTTTGCGTGCAGCATGCATAAGGTTCCCGCATCTGTAAGAGTGCAGCCCTGGCGGTTGAAAGTTGAAGCCCAAGTTCCGCAGCCACCGGTCAGTGCGCAAAGCGCTTTGCGAGACAACTGACCCGACTACATCCTGTTCCATCCTGTTCCATCCCCTTGAACCTAATCATCCGCGGATATCAGCGGACCGAGATACAGCCTACAGCCTGCTCGTTGTTCCGATTTGGTGGGTACCCCACAAGATGACGAGACTTGTTGTGTAGGGTTCGCCGGCCGTTCCAAATCGTGCAGTACGATGATGACACTTTCGAGCGCAGGCCGCAAAGCCAAGGGAGGACCTTAGGAAAAGCGCGTGAAGGGGAGCCGTCGCGCTCTGTTTCTTTTGGGTTCATCCCCTTCTTGATTCAGTCCAGTCGTTCCATATATAAAGGTCCTCCCTTCTCCGTGGAACTAGGAAAGATTTCGTAGCTCTGTAAACGTTAGCTTCTTCACTTTACATACACTCGCTTGATATCAAGTACCGTGTGTATACCTGTCTTTCTTTCACCCTGTTCATACATACCAGTTCCTCACATCAACCTTATCCACCCTTCATACCGGCTGAGACGCCAAGATGGAAACCTCCAGCCCATCCCACCTTTGCCAGGAGCACCGAAAGCGGGCCGGGCAAGCCAGCATTGAGGCCACGCCCACCCCTTGCAACTCAGTCGTCTCCGACTACGAGGAGGACAACGGCGAGGACACCGATACCGCCTCTTTCCACACAGTCGGCTCCTATTACCCACACACCCCCCCCAACACACTCGCCTCCTTTTTCAAGGTCCCGCCCATGCCCTGCAACTCACTCGTCTCCGAGTCCGACTCGGACTCGGACTATGAGACGGACTCCGACGACGACGGCGACAATGACGGCGATAACCAAGTCCGTCGCGCCAACGACACCACCAACGACCTCAGCGACGCCACCGTCAACAGCTCGCCACCTCCCACTCATGGCTCCGACAGCGGCTACCAACCAGACAGCGGGACCGATTTGGCTAGCGATTCCGCCTCTTGGCAACCGACAAATACCGGGGCCGCAACCACGGATACCGGGCGGCCCGCAACCCCCGTCGGGTCAAGCTCCAGCTTTTATAGCGAGACTGAGAGCGAGTATGAGTCTGAGTATGTGACTGAGTCTGAGCCTAGCACGCTGTACTTTCCGCCGCGTATGCCGCCCAATACCCCCCGCCCGTCGTTCTCTTTGCACGTGGCGGAGGAAAGGGGCTCCCTCGAGCCGTCACCGCCGTGTGCGTTTCCCATGCTTGAGCTGGACCACGTTTCTACGTTCCGTCTGGGTACCGTGGGAGGTTCGTCGGATGACGATGTCTCGCAAGCGTCCGGTCGTGGACGTGATTCGGGCGCTGTTGGAGATGGGGAGGCGGCCACGGACCGTCCCCGCCCTGACAACTGGTCGATGGTGGTGCAGTTGACTGGGTCTAAGGTTGACGTCGCTGGGCTCCCGCCGATTGAGCATGGTGATGTGATCTACCCGGACGCGGGTGCTGATGGTGGGTTTGTCAAGGGGTTTCCGCTCTTGTGTTTGATGGCTGGGATCATGGTGGCGCAGTTTCTGATCTCGATTGATCGGACTATTATCTCGACTGTAAGTTCTTATCATGCTTGCAGATATCATTACCGTTTCATCGCGCTGACAGTTACCCGTCTAGGCCATCCCCTACATCACGCACGAGTTCCAGTCCACCCCTCACATCGGCTGGTACGGCTCGGCGTACCTACTGACCGCATGCGCTTTCCAGCCCTTCTTTGGCCGCATTTTCATGCTCTTTTCCATCAAGAAGGCCTACTTACTCGCCATGTTCCTGTTCGAGGCCGGCTCACTGCTCTGCGGTGTGGCGCCTAACTCGATCACTCTGATCATTGGCCGGGCCATCGCAGGTCTGGGAAGCGCGGGTATTCTGACTGGAAGCTTCGTCGTCGTTGGCACGGCCGTGCCGCTGCGGGCGCGCCCGATGCTCATGGCTATTGTTGGGACCATGTAAGTATGATCACGTTCTCGTTATGACAGGACCTTCTTGCTGACGGGTATGCTAGGTTCGGTGTTGGAGCCACGACTGGCCCTCTTCTTGGCGGTGTCTTCACCGATCTTGTGGTATGTTGTCATCCCTCCACGTATATCGTCTGATATGTTCAATATTCTGACTCTCGGCATAGTCCTGGCGGTGGTGCTTCTACGTCAACCTTCCTATCGGGGTCGCGACAGTCTTGGCCATGCTCCTATACTTCCACCCCAAGAACAAAGACAAAGTAACCCAAGGCTTTTTCAAACGCGTCCTCGACCTGGACATGGTGGGCAACATGCTGCTCATCAGCTCGGCCGTGATGCTATTCCTGGCCCTCGAGTCCACCACCCAAGGTGCCGCATGGTCCAGCGCCAAGGTCATCGGCCTCTTCGTCGGCGCCGGTGTTGTGGCCATTCTCTTCACGGGCTGGCAGCGGTTCAAGGGCGATGGCGCCCTAATGCCGCCCCGCATCGTCATGCAGCGCACCGTCGCGGCCTCCTGCGGCATGGCCTTCATGATCTACGCCGCCCTGATCAACCTAACCTTCTTCCTCCCCGTCTGGTTCCAGGCCATCCGCGGCGTGAGCGCCATGCAATCCGGCATCAACATGATCCCCTACTTCGTCGTCAACGCCGTATTCTCGCTAGCCGCTGCGAGTTTCGTTTCCAAGGTCGGCTACGTGACGCCCCCAGCCGTCATCGGCAGCGCCATCGGCACCGTCGGCCTGGGCCTGATGACCCTGCTCCGCGTCGACACCACCACAGCGCAATGGGCCGGCTTCCAAGTCCTCACGGCCGCCGGCTTCGGCATCTCGATCCAGCAGGGCTTCACGGCGGTGCAGACGGTGCTCGACCCGGGCGACATCCCCATCGCCATCGCGGCCGTGGTCGCGGCCCAATCGCTTGGTGGTGCCATCTTCCTCTCGGTCGGAAACAGCGTGTTCCAGAATCAGCTGCTGCACGCGACGGCTGCGCGCCTCTTGGACGATATCGACATTAAGAAACTCATCGATGGTGGCGCTGCGTCGTTCCGCCACTTGGTACCAGCTGCCGACCTGCCCGAGATGTTGGAGATCTACAACAAGGCCCTGACCACCGTCTTTACCGTGTCCATCCCGCTGGGTGGGCTGGCGACCCTCATTTCATGCTTCATTCAATGGCGGTCGGTCAAATCGGAGAAGCCTGTCGACTCGGAGGAGAAGATGGAGATGGGCGAAGAGATACAGCTGGAGGAAGTGAGAAGGGCATAGGACGGTTCCTTTAAGTGTGTTTAGGATTTGGGAAGGAGTTGACGCTCGTAAGGGACCTTTGATCTCTGCAGGACTGTTAATTTGGAGAGTTTATGAGTGTGTTAAAGTACTTCGTCATTGCTTCCTCATCGCTCGGTTTCTAGCCATAACATAGTAGCTGAGTCATGAGGAAAGCATTGATCGTTGATAGTTGTAAAAGTATCGAGAGAAAAACAAAATATAAAAAACAGCGTTGTCAAATACAATATTTCGTTTCCCCAATTTTCTTTTCATTTGGAAAGTGTACAGATGGAAGATTGATTGCTCCTGCTCGCTGAAGTGAAGTCATCCGAGCCTGGCTCAGCTGCTTAAACACACAGTGCATGAGTGGAGAAGCGGGGGTGCCGAACGTTCAATCATAGGTGGGGCACGCGGACAAGGGCTCCTTTTTTGCCTCTGCCGATTCGGGAAAGTTGCTTTGACTTTCCACGTCGTTCACATCTTCCGCATCTTTCCAGCTCAATCGTTTCGCTTTGCGCCGCCGACCTTTTCTTATCACGAAAGGCTATTTGCTACCCAAGCCGCCTCGATCCACGGCCCCGTATCCACATAGACTCCGAATCCCGACCCTTATCCCGGCCGACCGTCCCGTGTCGAACGGCGCGACTCGGAAACATCTGCGCCGAGCCATCCTGCGCGACTGAGCACACGATCCGGAACATCGACCGAAAAGTCATCACAGGAACCCGCGATTCTTCTCCCGCCTCGACAACATGGATGACCAGGCGCTTAGCAAGCGGATCAAGACGCTGAATAAGGCTGTCTCTAACGACCCCCCATCTGTCGTGTTGACCCTGCTTGAGGAGCTAAAAAACTCCAAAGCACCCACCGAGGAACAACTACGCGTAAGTCTACTCGTTGCGCACCGCCGAGCGAGCATGGGCAGGAGATTCTCACAGCCGCCATCTATACGCAGTCTACCAAAGCCGGTGTTGCGATAGGTAAATTACGTCACAACACGAACAAGGATATCGGGCGTCTAGCTACCGAGATCGTCATCAAATGGAGGAAGAACGTCGAGGCCGGCAAGGAGTCAAAGAAGCGCAAGCTCGAACAAAGCAAATCGCCGACACCCAAGACACCCAAGGACTCGCCTGCCCCACCCCTTTCGGCGTCCTACAGCGCCCCATACGAAGGCGACCCGGAGAAGCGGCACTTCCGGACAGACAAAGTCGACACCGCCCGCACAGGCGACAAGACGCGCGATGGTAGTATTGCCGTGCTCTACAATGGACTGGCGTACCGGGCGACCGAGTCGATCGAGGAGGTGGTGGCGCGCGTGGTCGAGATCGAGGCGGCCGCGCACGCAGCGTACAAAGACGCCGGCGACTACCGCAGCAAGATCTTCGGGCTCATGACGAGCCTCAAGCGGAAGGACAACGCGGAGCTGGGCCGCCGCGTCATGCGCGGCGATATTGAGCCAGAGAAGTTTGTCATCATGACCGATGAGGAACTCGCTTCGGATGCCCAGCGCGAACGCGACGCCGAGCTCGAGCGCGAGAACATGCTCACGGCCCAGGTGCCCATGGCCCAAAAGTCTATCAGCGACTCGCTGCAGTGCAGCAAGTGCAAGCAGAAGAAGGTCTCGTACAGCCAGGCTCAGACCCGGTCGGCTGATGAACCGATGACCACGTTCTGCGAATGCACTGTCTGCGGCAACCGCTGGAAGGTAGGCTCTCCATACTTTGCTGCCGATTTACTACATCGGATGATTGCTAACACACTGGCCAGTTCTCGTAGATTGGTCATATTTCGGGAAAAGAGTTCCATCTCCCTTTCCTTTCCCGTAATCTTCGTCCTCTTCTTATTCTTTTTTTGTGGGGCTTGCCCGTTTCTGGGCTCAGGGGCGCAATCACGGTCGGTTCAACCCATAAGACCCATAAGGGGGTTCACGGATGGGAGCGGAGTTTTTTTCTTTCTTTTTCTTTTCTCTCTTCTTTCTAGTTTCCCTCTTCGGAGCTACCATCTGGGGACAATACCTTCTCAAGTCACCCGATCAATATCAACAAGGTACACTATTGTTTTGGGTCGCTTTGTGTGCCGTTGTGAGACAAAGAAGGCACCTTTGAACATAAAACGCGGTGCTGTTCTTTTTTGGTTCAGTCTTCGCCGACTACGACGGAGGCGATGGCGCATCTGCGGGTTAATGGAGTCTCAGTGGGTAGTGGGCAGACGGGTATTTCACCCTGCCTATGGGTGATACGAGAGATGGGCATGGCAAGGGGCGGGACGTGTATTAGGAGGGGTTTTTCTTTTAGGGTAGAGGATAGACAACGACGGTCGTCTGTTTGTTCGTGTATGTTCAAGGTGATCATCACAGAACAGGACCAGGACCAAGTGGTATGGACAATTATCATCTTAAGACCGAGGCGCTCAACAGTCTTGGACAAATAGTACTTAGGCCTGGGGGGAATAAATACATCGACGGACATTCTCAGGGTATCAGCTTGCTTTTCCCATTCCCCAACTCGCCCCCCCATAAACAGCGTCATGTCCTCACTCCCGCTTCAGACTCTCCAGCCCCAGCACAGCCAGCAAATCCTCGTCCTGTTCCTGTGTCTCATCCTCCAGCCCCATCGCCGTAATATGCTTCCAAAACTTGCTCAGATGCCTCGTCCCCGAATCACACAGAATCGTCACCACCCGACTCTCCCTCGGCATCTTCAGCGCCGTCACCACCGCCGCCACACAATTCACCGCACTACTACTCCCAACAAAAATCCCATCATGCTCCACCAACCACCGCGCCATCCGACACGCCTGGTCATCCGTAACCTTGACCGCATCATCAATCAGCTCCCGCCCAACCTCAAAATTCTCCGTAATCCGCGTGATCCCAATCCCCTCCACCATCGTGTCCACCTGCGTCCGCCGCCGTGTCCCCTCCCGCTCTGTCGCTGAGTACATCACCCCATGCCGGATCTTGTTGTACAGCCCACTACCCTGCGGATCAGCCAGCACCACGCGCAGCGCCGCGCCCAGCTCGCGCTCCTCCTTGAGGTACTTGGCCACCCCCGTGATGGTGCCGCCCGTGCCGGCGCCGGCGACAAAGGCATCGAGCCGGCCGTTGCCGGTCTGCGCGTAGATTTCCGGGCCCGTGGTCTTCATGTGGGCCGTGTAGTTAGCCAGCGACTCGAACTGGTCGGCGAAGAACCCGCGTGACGGCGTATCGGCCGCCGCGGTGTGGTCCTTGGCGCGGGTCCGGGCAAGGTTGACGAAGTGGCCTGGGTCAGTGATGGGGGCGACGGGGACCCGCTCGACGGTGGCGCCGAGGTGGTGGAGAAGATCGGATTTCTCGATGGCCATATCGTCGGGCATGCAGATGTGGGCTTTGTAGCCGCGCGCGCGGGCCAGTACGGCGAGGGAGATGCCCGTGCTGCCGACGGTGCCCTCGTAGATGGTGTCGCCGCGGCCCGGGGTGAGGAGCCCCTGCTCCTCGGCGACTTGGATCATGTTGAGGGCGACGCGGTCTTTGGGGCTGCCGCCGGCGCCGTTGAGGAATTCGGCTTTGGCGAGGATGGTGCAGCCGGTGGCTTCGGAGAGACTGCGGATTTTGATGAGCGGGGTGTTGCCTATGGCCCCTTCGATGCCGTGGACGATGCCATTGCCCCGGTCGTAAGGGGAGAGGGAAGATGGGGAAGGTTCGGGGGATTCTTCGCGGTCTTCGAGACTGACGGGTCCGAAGAAGACGCTGCTCCGCCAACGGGGCCGTTTTCGCCTTTCGTATCGGGCTTGTAGCTCCGGGTAGAGGTCTTTGAAGCCCAGGGTCACGAGGATACCGGCGATGAAGGTCACCGTCAGGGCGGCGGTGCCATACACTCGTGGGTGGTCACTTAGTGACATGGCGATTGCATAATTTCTGCCCCGCTTCACAGGCCTTCTCAGATAAAGACTTGAGTCTGAACCTGAGAACACAAATGCAAGTAGGTTAGTGAAAACAGTGTAACAAATCGTTCACGGAGAATAAAGTGAATAAAGTCCCCTCGGTTCCGAGGTGTGGCGGTTAGAGTCTAAAGTACTTTCCGTCACGCCATTAAGTTGAATTTGAAATGCAGGGTTTAAAAGTTGATGTCATCACCAGATTTTAGTGCCCTTGGTGGGGTCAGACCCTAGCTATTGCTAGGTGGGCTTGTTCTTCAACAGAGGCACCTCCTAAGGTTAGCCTCTTTAAACAACCTTCAAACATATCTTCAATTTCTGATGGAATATCCTATTTTATCCTACTCAATTCAACACTCCTACCCTATGGCTAGAAGATTAAGCTTTCTAAAAACGGACATTCCACAGCGGCAGGACTCGCTCATTGATCACGTATGTACGTAGTAATACCATGCCACCGACAAGCTGCGATCCTATGCCAACCCTAACCCTTTCTATCCTAGAGGAGCGTTAAGGTTTCGGGCTTGTTGCTCTCGAAGTGTTGTTGGTTGAGAAATCTATAGAGAAGCGGCTGGATATACCATTATTAAAGATATTAAACAGGCATTAGAACCTGTGAAGAAAATCTCTATTGCCACGGTTTCTTCCAATAGTTGTACCCTCTCAGCTTAGAACCAACCACCCACAATCGCGATCGCAACGCAACGTTTGAAGCGGTATACCCACACCACCGATACACGCTCGATAGAAAAAGGAAACAATGAATCCAGTACGTATTCTTAACCATAGATACTTTTTCCGAGGCGATTCTAACGGTGTTTTCGAAGATGCAGGACACCGAAGCGCCGCAGGGCGAGGTCGCGGTTTCCCCCCAGGCAACCGCTCCAGAATCCAATGCCGGTCCGGCTGACCTCGGTGACACCGAATCCGCAACGGTTACCGTCCCCGAGTCCACTGTTGGAGCCACCACCCCCTCCCGCACGGCCGGAGCTACCAATTCTGAAACGGCTGCATCTCCGACCCCGGCTACGGAGGCAGCTCCCGCGACGCCCACAGCTCCCACGGTCCCTGTATCACCTATTTGGACCTTCACCGGCTTCCCAGAAATCCCACTGGCCGCAAACCGAGCCGTCGCAAGGCTCATCCGGAGGTGGATCGATCAGCTAGACGAAGAATTCGAGAGGATGGTAGATGAGGACGAGGAGGAGGAAAGACGCTGGTGATCAAGGCCGTTAATTTTTTCACATATCATTGCTTTTATAATCAGTTTATGGGACCGGGGCCGTATTGGGAGTGCCTAGATAGGTGGATGGAAACGGTTGCAAATGGAACGCCCGAGTGGCCGCAAAAGGAGGGGCGCTAAATGCTTAAGTCAATCAAAATTCGATAACAATACGTGTATTGTCGATAATGAGTTGGAAATGTCGAGTTTCGTGTAAAAACCCCGTGGGTAAGAAGCCGGGAGACTGGGAAGCGTGAACCTTTAGGATAAGAATCATTTCATAAGTTTCCCCCCGGCTTCATGATTGGTTGAGATGCTCCTGAACTGCCCTTTCTGGCACTCATTTTTAGCGGCTCAGCACCCCAAGAGTGGGGCATAACCCCGCTGCTCGCGTGCACCAAAGAGACCAGCTCAAGGTCCCACGGAGCTCGGGCCACATCGAAAAAAGTCCGATCGGCAAAGCCAGGGCGTGCTGCGGCGACTTCAACACCTCGCATCTCGTCCACACCCATCGTGGTCCCCGCCTTTGAGTTTGCTCCCTTTCCGGGACCATGGACTCCCCCATCGTCACCCAGATTTTCCGCCAGCTCTTCCGGAGCCATTCAGCTTGCCAATCGCGGCGGAACCTAACGACCCTTGCGACCGCGCTGCAGGATGTGCGCCGACAACGACTCGAGCAGCAACAACTGCGTCACCCACTACGAAACCACCACCAGAAACAACCACAACAACGCCGCTCCTATGTCAGCCGCGGCCAGGGGAAATCGGGGGCTGCCTCGTCTCAGTTTGAGAAGAATTGGCAGCCGCGGTCGGATGTGTTCCAGTACGACATGTCTGAGGAGTTCCAAAAATATCCCATGCTCACCGCGATGGAGCTCCGCGGGCGTAGTGACCGGCCCCGCAGATTGAAGATGTTGATGAGGGACTTCATAGAAGGTCGGTCGACGCCGCGAATTGGTTCAATATGTAACATAGAACGAAACCAGGCTGATCCCAACCCCTTACCATCCCCCTATACAGATAGTCTCTACAATCCCAATTACGGTTACTTCTCGAAACAAGTCGTCATCTTCACCCCCGGAGAACCCTTTAACTTCCCTTCGTTATACGACGAACTCGACTTTCACAATCTCTTAACCCGTCGATACGTCGCGTTTGAAGACGCTCTCGATGCCGTCTCCCCAACCGATACCCGCCAGCTGTGGTACACCCCTACCGAGCTATTTCGCCCCTTTTACGGCGAGTCCATCGCGCGGTACCTCATTGCCAACTACAAGCTCACCACCTTCCCCTACCACGACCTGATCATCTACGAGATGGGTGCCGGCCGTGGTACCCTTATGCTCAACATCCTCGACTACATACGCGAGGCTGACCCGGCCGTATACGACCGTACCAAGTACAAAATCATCGAGATTAGTACCCAACTCGCGGAACTCCAGAACTCTCAACTCATGCAGTCTTTCGCCGCCCGGGGTCATGCAGAGAAAGTGGAGATTATCAACCAGTCCATCTTCGACTGGAGCAATCCCGTTCCCTCGCCCTGTTTCTTCCTCGCCTTCGAGGTCTTCGACAACTTCGCCCACGATATCATCCGCTACGACGTCGAGACACAGACACCACACCAAGGCCTAGTCCTTGTCGACGAGAACGGCGACTTCTATGAGTTTTATACAAAACAACTGGACCCCGTTGCCGCTCGGTACCTCTCCATACGTGAGGCTGCTACAGGGGGCAAGTACACTGTCCCGTACCCAACCACCCGCCTCGGCCGGTGGTTCGCGAACCAAAAGCCGCTGGCCGCCAACCTCAGCCCTCCAGAATACATCCCCACGCGGCTGATGCAGTTCTTCGAGATACTTGCACAGTACTTCCCCGCGCACCGACTGGTGACCAGCGATTTCCATTCGCTACCGGACGCCACCAAGGGCCTGAACGCACCCATTGTGCAAACGCGGTACCAGCGGCAGCCGGTGCCCGTTTCCACTCCATTGGTAAGTCTATATCTGCTTTACCCTCAACTCTATCCCCTCTCTCGTCTCCCAGGCTTCGATCAAGCACCAGTATCAAAATTTAACACAAAAACCGTCACAGGTCCACCAAGGCTACTTCGACATCATGTTCCCCACCAATTTCCAAACCGCCGAGGCCACTTACCAAGCCATTACCGGCAAGCTAACCCGTGTATCGACCCACGAGGAGTTCATGCGGCGCTGGGCCTATCTTGAGGACACCGAGACCCGGAGCGGGGAGAACCCGCTGCTGACATGGTATAAAAACGCCAGTGTAATGTTGACTGTGTAAGACAAAAGGGATGGATTTGAACGGGAGTATGTAGATAACCACAACGTTACTTGTACATAAAGGGAGAGGTTTTTGGCGCGTGCATAGATGGCATGACCGCTGGGGGCGCGCCTGGTATACGGGCATGAGTCCCGATTTCTACCCCTCAACTCGCGCTACGGCTTAATCTTCCTGGAAAGAAAGTGACGCCGTAGCAACATAACGCGATGCTTTAAAGCATTAGCTCGCTGCAGATTTGGCTATTTCAACACTTTACTTTTGATCCTCCAGTCTAAGTAACCCAGGGAGGCCAACCCCCCCTTGACATCGTGCTAGAACAAAGCGTCCAAACGCACACTACCATCACATGCATATTGTCTCACAATCCCACAATATACTTTAACCCCCTTGACCCCCACCCAATTGACCACAAGACAAAAGGAAATCAAATGTTCAACTCCTTCAACTTATCTGTCAGCCATTGCTCCGCCTTGGAAACGGCCTCGTCCAGCTTGGCCGGCTCCGCACCAGCGCCTTGCCGGCTGGGCTCCTTGCCGCCCGTCTTCCCGCCGATGACCTCGGTGACGGCAGTGGTCCACTGCTCGGCGGTAACACCCTTGGAGGAGAGGTGCTGTGGCGATTAGTTAGTATCATCTAGGACGTCATGCGAAAACATGTTAACAGAGAATAAAACATACCGTGCCGACATAGACACCATGCATAACAGCATCGTCCTTGCTACCCGCAAACACATAGACGGTCCGCTCCTTGTCCTTGGACTTGTAGTAGGTGATGACGTCTGAGAGCGCTTTGGCGTTGGCCGAGATGGGCAAGTGGCCGACAAAAAACTTGGCGTCTTTGTTCTCCTCCTTCTTGAAGTGGCCCTGGACCGTATCAAGTGCGGTCTTGCTCTCCGCCTTTTGCCTCTTCTTCTGCTCATCCACAACCTCCTTCTGGATCTTGGTAAACCGCTGCCGCAGCTCTTCCTTGGTCAGCGCCGAGATGGTCAGCGCGTCGAGCTCGACAGCCGCTGCCTTGATCTCGGCCGCCTTTTGCGTGCCAAACTCAAGGGCCTCAATATGGTCGAGCTTTTGGGAGAAGGTCTTGGCGTCGCGCCGCGCCTGGTTCGCGCCGTCCCCAGTGTAGGCAACGATACGCCGGATTCCCTTGGCGATACCGCTCTCCTCGACGATGATCAGGTCCTTGATAATGCCAGTAGACTCCACATGGGTGCCGCCGCAGAACTCAACACTGACCTTGCGCCACTCTGGGTTCTTGGGGTTCTTGAGTAGCTCGTCGACGTCAACACCGACGGACACGACGCGCACGGGGTCGGGGTACGTTTCGCCGAAAACAGCGCGCAGGCCCTCAATCTCCCGCGCCTGGTCCAGGTCAACATCCTTAGCATAGGTCTTGAGATCCTTCGTGATATCCTCGTTGGACAACTGCTCGATCTTCTTGATCTCTTCCAAAGTGACACCGCTCTTGTGGCTGAAATCAAACCGCAACTTTTCTTGGTCAACAAGCGAACCCTTTTGGTTTACCTCGTCGCCCAGGACTTCCCTCAACGCGTGGTTAAGAATATGCGTCCCGGTGTGGTTGTTCCGAATGGGCTGTCGGCGGAGCTCGTCATACTCGCAAATCACCTCGTCACCAGCGGTAAGCTCGCCGTACTCGAGATAGCCGTTGTGCACAATGTAGCCCGCATACTCTTGTACATCCAGAACCTTGAACTCGGCGACACCATCGATGAGGAGATTGCCAGTATCCGCGACCTGGCCACCGGACTCGGCATAGAAGTTGGTCTTATCAAGGATCACACCAAGAGGGGTGTTTTGTGGAAGATCTTTGCTCGTCTTGAGGAACTCGCTGCCCGTGAAGAGAAGTTGGACCTTGGCTTTGATATCACCTTTCTTGTATTTGGCGTCCGAGTTCGGGCGCGGTAGGTTGATGGTGCCCTCCAGTTCCGCGATCTGGTGGACGTTGAGCTTGGGGAATGTCTGAACAGCTTCCTTGACGGCTTTGCTCGCCTCCCTCGCCTTCTCGCGGGCAACCGCAACCTCGGCCTCATCAATGGTAAGGTTACGCTCCTCCGCCATGAGTTTCGTCAGATCCTCGGGGAACCCAAAAGTGTCGTACAAACGCCATACGTCGGCACCAGAAAGCTTGTTTCCTCCGGACTTGACTGCGAGCGCAGCATACTTCTCGAATTGCTTCTCGCCACGGTCCAAGGTGACCGCGAAAGCAACCTCTTCCTCGTCCAAAATCTCTTTGATATCCTCCTGTGCCTTCTTGAGCTCAGGGAATTGCTCGCCCATCTGCTCAACCAGCGCGGGTAGGATGCTCGAGAAGAAGGTGCCAATCTCGGCCTGGAAGTACTTGCGGGCGTACCGCACACCTCTCCTGAGAACACGCCTAACCACATAACCACGCCCAATGTTGTTAGGGGCCGCACCATCAGCGATCGCAAACGAGAGCAAGCGGATATGGTCGGCGACCACACGGTAAGCGGTATCGATGCCGTCAACGTCGTCATTCCCATACTTGTCGGTGTAGGGTCGTGCGCCGGTAACCTCCTGTATCCTCGCGAACAACGGGGTGAAGATATCTGTGGCGTAATTGGAGATTTTGTCCTGGAGGGCGGACACAAGGCGCTCGAAACCCATACCAGTATCGATGTGCTTCGCGGGGAGGGGCTTGAGGGTCTTGTCCTCCTGCCGGTCGAACTGCATGAACACGTTGTTCCATATCTCCACCACAAGAGGGTCGTCTTGATTGACAAGATGGGCAGCGTTCCGGCCCCCAACCTTGTCATAGTGAACCTCACTGCAGGGGCCACACGGCCCCTGATCGCCCATCTCCCAGAAGTTGTCCTTCATGTTTCCGGGCAGAATGTTGGCCTCGGGGACACCGACATCGAGCCACAGCTGCTTGGCCTCGAGGTCCGGCTCGAGACCAAAATCGGGGTTGCCTTCGAAGTATGTCACGTAAAGGCGGTTGGGGTCTAGGCCATAGATCTTGGTTAGGAGTTCCCAAGTCCATTGGATGGCATCTTTCTTGAAGTAGTCGCCGAAGGACCAGTTCCCCAACATTTCAAAAAATGTCTGCGGCGTGTTAGCCAAAGAGGTTGACTCCCGTGTCCTTCTTCCAAAGGGCTACTCACGTGGTGGTAACTGTCCTTGCCAACATCGTCAAGATCATTGTGTTTCCCGCCAGCGCGAATGCACTATCTCCATAGTTAGTCTAACACCCCCAAAATTTGTTAGAAGTCTAGGTGGAACACACCTTTTGTGTGTCGACTGCACGCTTTAGCTGTGCGAGAGGCTCAGTCTTGCCAATGGTCCCGAGAAATATGGGCTTGAACTGGTTCATGCCCGCATTCGTAAACAACAAGGTGGGGTCATTGTGAGGGACGACCGAGGATGAAGGAACTGCAGGACCATGAAGTCAGTAAAAGATAAAAACATCGTTGCATTGGTAATGTTTTGTTCATTGCAGCCTCCGTTTGCGTGCAAGTGGTCTCAGCAAGACAAAGCACAGGCAGTATGTTGTTGATAGCGGGACCCATACCAATTGCATGGCCCCTCTCCGCAAAATAATCCAGGAACGTCTTGCGGACGCGGGGTCCAGTCCACTCGACTCCGGCCATTCTCGATGACGACCTGGAAGATTGGCGGTGATAAAGACAATAAGCGGTATTCGAGGTTAACGCGATTCGGCGGCGCGGGTTGATCAGCGTTGTGTACAAGGGCACGACGTTCACGGCCGGAAATGTGGTGGTGGCTGCTGCTGGAAAGTTCTCGAGCAGCGCACGAGACTGCGGGGCAGAGGGGCGGATTTTGTGGTGGAAGCTTCGCGACCCATGACTCAAAGTTTCAAAACCCGCCCGATAGCAGCCGGTGCCACCCAAGCTTCCACACCAGCGCAAACACGGCCTTCCGTCCCAGCGCAAAGCACTTAACATCGCGCCTCCTCCTTCCCTCCCTCGCGATATCAGCCGCTCCTTTATCTCGACCCGATTTCCGACTTCTGCGTTGATTGGGCACCGTCCATAGTTTTTTCGGTCTTCTGCAGTTGGATGCACGTCGTGAGCAACTAGCCGGGGGCAAACGGGTTCCTGAGTGGCGGAAAGGAAAGAGAAAGGGCCTGGGGAGGACAGAGAGAGAGACGCAGTGGATTGTTAGTCACCTCCGCGCAGCGGAACCCAGCCTTCAGCGACTCATACAACAGCACCTGGAAGAGTCACCCCCAATACCACACCCCTGACAATGGACGGAGTCGGGATTGATCAGTTTCAATACCAACAATCACACCTCAACAATCATGGGCATTTTCCGTCGCAGCCATTGCCCGCGCGGCCATTGCGAAAACGAAAGGCCGATGCGGCGCCGGAGAACAACGAACGGCTCTCGAAGCGGATGAGCGTCTTAAACCTCGGTACGTATCCGTACACTCCTCCCCGCTCTTCCTGCAAGCAGTATTCCCACCCCACCATTTATTCCCACATCTACCTGTAAACACAAGAGATTGATCTACGCAACCTACTAACACCCCAAATCAGAAGATTCAGGCCAAAAGCTCTACGTCCACGTCGAGAACCCTGACACCCCATCATCAGCCCACGCTCCATCAAGCGCCGAGCCCGAGAAGAAACCCCAACACCATGGCCATCATCACCATCCACCCAATCCCCCCAACACCGACGACTCCGCCATGCGATTAGACGACTCCAAATATAAAGTCTATATCTACAACCTTGACGATGAGCTCTCCTCAGATAACGACGACAGCGATGCCGAGAGCCAACTCGTCTTCCTCCCGGACATCGAAAAGCACTTGCGCGACAACCGGATACCCCTACACCTACGTGGCCCTTCCCCCTCCGAGGCTGCCGCGGCGGACCTAGCGAGCAAGCAGCTTGTGCTGTACAGCGTGCCGAGCTCGATTTCGGTGCCGGAAGAGCAGGACAGCGTGCGCAAAGCGATTATTGAAGCGCGGGAGCGGGTACGGGAGAAGCAGCGGGTTGTGAATGCTGTACCGGCCACGGTACCGGCGCCGGTAGAGAAGCCAAGGGCAGAAGTATCGTCGAGCTTTGGCGATGCTCCAATGGAGCTTGAACCGTTGCAGACTATCGTCGAGGAGGATCCCGATGCGATGGATATTGATTAAGGGATTCGGCGAATGGGCAACAGGAGTTTACTTTTGGTGATGCTTTCACTCTTACTCTATCAATTTACGGCGCACATGGGACGGACGGTTCTGCCTTTAGCGTGGTGTTTTCAGGGCAAAGGTCAAGGCTGGAACGGAGTTCTGATATTGCCGGGTCTACCCAGTACATAGTACTAGGGGGGTTGAGCTGCTTTTTTGAATTATTCCTTATTTTATTCACTTTAAATCTACTAGGCCATTCCTAGGTGACTTATGTGTGTGTTGATGTAAATGCAGAACAATGATCAATGCGCCTGCAGATGTAGGTACTCCTGCCCTCGTTATCCACGCCAAATAACGCCGAAAATATGGACCAACTCTCACCAAGCAAGCCAAGCTAAGTATTACAATTACACGTTCAGCATTATCAGTCCCACTATCTCTCAGTTCAACCTTGGATTAGCCATGAAGCAATCCCTTCACCCCCGAGTTCGGTTGGTGACCCCCGTCTCTTGGGGTTGGATGGCACTGGGTGGAGGTCCCGGCGGCGGCGCATAATCGGAGCCTTCGCCAGACTGGTGTTGAGTCTGCGGGACATCAGGGGCCTGCTGGTGAGGGCCTGCCTTGGTGGCGCCGGCGGGCGGCTCGTACATTGGCGGCCGAGGCGCAGTCGGATCGTACATCGGTGGGGGCATGGCGTGCATGTTGTAGTAGTGTTGCTCCGGGGTGTAAGGATACATATTCGAGGGCTGGGGGCGATATCGCGGGTCGACCTGGGCGAGTTGAGCGCGGGAAACGAGGAACTAGAACTGTTAGTGTCTGTCTGTGTCGAAAATACACATGAGTTGATGGGGGTCGTACTCGGTGGTATCGTAAAGGAAGTAGGCCCTTCTTTAGCCTCTTCTGGGCGTGCATGTAGCCGAGCAAAAGGTAGAGGCTGAGGAACACGATTATGCCGAGAAATAGCGACCACTTCACGATGATGCCAGTCTGCAGCAACGATGTCAGTAATCGGGGTCCTGGTAGAGCCAGCAGGTTTCAGTATGAACGTACCCTAGTGCTCCAAAACGGCACGTAGCAACTATTCTCATCGATAAACCCATCCTCAGTAAGAGTGCACTCTTCGTAACGCCGATTGAGGGCGTAGCTAGCTCCCGGTGCCATGTTGTGTGTGGTGTTGCCGTGTCGGATTTCCCGGACGATCAAATTGAGGTGGTTGGAGAAGGTAGGGCGGAACGGTGATAAGAATTGCAGCGAAAATGTGAGCAATTGCCCAGGTCCAGCGAAGGCCAAAATTGCGGAAAGCCGCGGGTCGAGGGCGCAGCAAGTCGAAAAACAAAACTGAGCTTTTTGGTGGTGTAAAAAGACGGAGGTGCTGGGGAAGAAAGAAGAAAGAGAGTTGCCAAGGCCCGGGGAAACGAGATGAGGTCCTGGTTGAATTCGCGATTTTGGCTAGAGTTTGCTTTCTGGGGCAAGCCGCGCGTCGATCAGGGAGGGGTCGCACCTTCATTCGCGAGTTGCCGTCGTGCGACAACGGGATGTGTCGCGGGTATCCCTGTCATTTCAACGAACTCCCTCAACATTCATGGACGAGGAGACGGAGGCAAGGTTTCATGATACACATAGAGTTTCGGGCTTCGGGCGGCCCGGAAGACGTTGCTGCGCAAAGAGAGAGTCCTGGACCCCAGGGGCAATCAATGGCTGTCCACCTGGAAGGATAGATACCACAAAGTGGACGAAAAGTTGAGAAGCGCTGGCAAGATGCCAGAGAGTCAATTTGACGTTGTTCACTCTCGCGGGTTTCTCTCAAGCCTCGGTGTTAAGCAACCAAGCAAACATCTCGACTTACGAATCCATCTTATGACATCAACTCTGCGGGTTGCGAGTCGTGAGTAACTATGCGTCGTGTCGAGTGTAATGGCAGACAAATCTACACTACGGCGTCGCGGAGAGCCAACCCACATCTTTACAGCCAAGCCCAACTGCAATAGTGCCGTGTATATGTACGAATACAAAATGTACAAACCCCAGAAACATCATGATCCCCTGGAATCATCGACAGAGGCGATGGATTCACCATGCAGCGCAGGGCAGCGTTTAATTGTCCTAAAGTAGCCTGGCGCCTCGGCAATCGGCCGAATTAGCATGCACGGGCCAGCCCGTTGCACCGATCCAAGCCGGGACACAGCAGTGGGGCCCCTCCGCAGGAAATTTTGCAAGGAGAACCGCACAGCAATTGGAAGTACCGGCAGCAAGGTGACATAAGTCCGCAGCGCCACGGGGGAGGCATTGGTTCGTTGTCCATCGAGGCGCGACACTCGACACACAAGACCAACAAACAAGCTCGAAAACATAAGACGACCTCAACAAACTTTCCCTCTTCACCCCCGACGGCGGACCCGATGCCCCGGACCGTCTTGGCCCCGCCCGAACCCCTATCGCGATCGCGACCACCGAACACATGCGTGATGCTCTGGACGAGGAACAAGCCGTCTACCTAAGCCTCCGTCAATTGCGGGCCGTGAAAGGCCGCGCAGAATAACCCCGACACACCTCCTCTCGTTTCCATCACAACATGGCACGCCTACGCAGCGCGGCCCGCTTAAGCTCGCTACCCCTCTCGCCGAACGTTCTGTTTAATCGACAAAGCAGCCGACTCCCTCGCTTTCCCCCTACATCCATACGCGCGTTCGCCCCGTATTCCACATCCGTACCGTCCCCGGACGAAAACAACCACAAGTTCGTTTACAACGTCGCGGCATCCTACATCGCTAAAGGCCGAGGTTACGATCCATCAACCCACGTCTTCCAGTTCAACCCCTACAACCGCGTACAGCCACCGAAGGCTGGTCGGGGAAAGGCTTCACGGCCCGAGTCCGGACAAGATGCTTTCTTTGTAAGCCGCTTTGGCTCCGTCCCCGGCGAGGTGGCGCTCGGCGTGGCAGACGGCGTAGGGGGGTGGATGGACAGCGGCGTCGATCCTGCGGACTTTTCACACGCGATATGCGATTACATGGCGGCATCAGCCGTCGATGCGATTCCCACATCGACAGGGACGGGAAAGCCGCTGACGGCACGGCAACTCATGCAAAAGGGCTACGAAGCCGTCTGTTATGACCGGGCGATCAAAGCCGGCGGTAGCACCGCCATTGTTGGGCTGCTCACATCCGAGGGCCTCCTCGAGGTTGCCAACCTGGGAGACAGCGGCTTCATCCTGCTCCGCTTGAACGGCGTCCATGCGTTTAGTGAGCCGCAGACGCACGCTTTCAACACCCCGTACCAGCTGAGCGTGGTGCCGCCCAGCATGCTGCTCCGGGCAGCCGCCTTTGGCGGGGCACAGCTGATGGACCAACCGCGCGACGCCGAGGTGACACGGCTCCGCCTCCGACATGGTGATGTCCTGGTACTTGCGAGCGACGGTCTCTGGGACAATCTCTTCAACCAGGACGTACTACGGATTGTGAGCCGGACGATGGCACGGGCCGGCGCGTGGGCGAGCACGGAGCGCGGCGTGCAAGTCGCCACAGACCTGCGGCCGTTTACCACGCTAGGCGAAGCCAACACGCCCGCGGCTACCACCCACCCGACGCTCCAGAGCCTTATCGCTACCGAGATTGTCGGCGCGGCCAAGGCCGCTAGTGTCAACGCGAAGCTAGACGGGCCGTTTGCGAAGGAGGTGAAGAGGTATTACCCGCACGAAGTGTGGCACGGCGGAAAGGAAGATGATATTTGCGCCGTGGTGGTGCTGGTATCAGAGGAAGAAGCCCCCACGAAGGCGAAGCTCTGAGCATAGTCCACGACCTGGAAGTCATCGTTTGAGAGCAGCCGTATTTGGTTTTTCAAGAAGCCAAGCGAGCGAGTAAAATGTTGCATTGCAACCTAGCATTTATAGATTACGAAGGCTTTGGACTTTGCAAAATGGCCATTGGAGTTTGCGCCCCTTGGGGGTGAGAACAAGACGACGAGTAATGAACTTAGAAACCATTTCATTGACTACCTAGATATTGTTCACCATCTCGTGTCATCAAGCAAGGCGACACAGCCTACCCATTGGCAACCTCCCTCCCCCTCACAAGGAGCCTGGCTCTCTTGTTACATCGAGGTACCTGCCCTCCCTTCCACCCCCTGCACTAGCCCCCTCTCCCAAAAAGCCGCTCCTGCCTCAACCACTGCAGGTCACGGTATATAAACCCCCTTTTCCCTCCCACTGTCACCAGCTCCTCCCAATGTGCCAAACAGCGTGTTTGGCCCAGCGGTATTGGGAGGAGCATCGCCGGTGCCGTCATAAATCGAAGTGGCCCTGGGTTCGATTCCCGGGGCCAGCGAAGAAAAATCTTTCACCGGAAAGATTTTCGTAACCACCAACCGCTATCCCTCCGGACGGGGATAGGTGCTTGGTGTGTGAGCTTTTTGACTTATTTTGGTCTACCCTATGTCCTACTTTCGTTTTTTTCACGTCTACCCTTTCGCAGCCCCCCTCCAATCATTAATACTTGTAAACTACCTGTGGTGTGGTTTATGATACGTCGGTAGGATTAGCCATCTACAGTCGTGTTGGGATTCATATACTGAAGCAGACTTGTGCGTTTGTTTATCAAGGGCTTCTCTCGACCAACCTTCCGAGGGAGACAACCGGACAACAGACACAAATACTTTAAACAGTTGTACCATGCTTGGGTCTCACATGGACGTAATCCCGTAAACCATCGTGCTGTGGAAAAAAACTTATCCGCAAGTACTGTATTCCCTAATAGAACCCAACAGCAAAACAAAAGGAACGAAGCAGCCTATTGGTTTTCAGGACTTGGAGTAGTCGTCTTCAAGACCTGGGAAATAGACTGGCGTTTCGCATGAACAAGCCAAACTAGGACTTGACGTCTGCTGCACCCCACAAATATGCAGCCTGCCGTCAACCCGCTGGCCCGCCTGCAGGAGACCGATCGGACCGCAGACCCTGCAGCTTTCCAGCCAACGACCGAAAAGTTTATACGTGAATAACCAGAACTGGAGAGTCAATTCCGACCTCTTCCACGACTCTTCCACGATAGCATGTGGGGGTGATATTCGACCTTGAAAAGTGGTCGCAGAGTGCTCATACCCGTAGTCAAGAATAACATTTATTAATTCTCCGACAGACATCCGATATGGCGGCGCCATTTGGACTGTCTGTCCTAACAAAAACGCACCACACTTAGGCCGACAAGTTGCCGAACAAGCCGCAATTGCCGCCAGCATACCCCATCTTAGCCCCCAACATAGCTGTGCATGGACGCAAACATCCCGGTGGATACAAGGCAGGTGAAAAACAATAACCCGCTAACTGAACCCTACAATTACCACGTCCCCATCATCATCCGGCCACGCCGGGGCGCACACACATTATGTAGTACCCGTCATCAACCAGCTCGCGAAAATCCACCCGGCTCCGAGGTCGAACATCCCGACTTGACTTGCCCGGTCTCCCCGGCAATCCCAAGTGCGGCATTGTTCAAGAAAACAAGGGTATATACAAGAAGCCGAATGCATTAGACAGGGGTATTTGTTTCATTTTCCCTTTCAAACCCGACAACGCCAAATCCACCACCCAGGACGGCTGTGGTTTTTTAGTTGAAGAAGATGAGAGCAGCGACGGTGACCAGGACGAAGCCCAGCGGCGAGGCGAAGCGCTGTCCGTTGTTCAGGTCAGGGGGGCTGTTGGTGCCGGTAGGAGCTTCGCGGGTAGTCGAAGGAGTCTGGGTAGTGGTGGAGGTTGACAGCGCTGCATCTTGCGTTAGTTCTCACTTGAAAGTATACAGACTAAACATCTGTGGGCCAACTTACTGGTGGAGGTGCTGGCCTCGCTCGACGTGGTGCTGGAGCTCTTAGTCTCGGTCTCAGTGCTAGTGACGCTGCTAGAAGTGGTGCTGGACTCCTCCGAGGTGGTGCTGCTGGCGCTTGTGCTGGTGGCAGTGCTAGTGCGCTCGACGGTCGACGACGCATCCGTGGAGGTAGGAGTCTCGCCAGTACCCTGGTAGGTGAACGGGACGCTGTAGTTTGGCTCGCCGCTGGCGTCGTCGATCTGGATAGCGTAGGTGCCCGAGGGCAAGTCACTCGGAGTCCACGTGTACGAGGTGCCGGTCTCGCCGGCTGCGGTGGATGTGTTAGCATTTGAGACAACCCGAGATCGCAAGACGACATGGGGACGCTCTTACTGGTGATAGTGGTGACAGGCTTCAGGTCCTTAGATTGCCCGGTCACCAGAGTAATGGTGACGGGTCCCTGGGCGTTGTCCCACTTGAAGGTGAACGGCTGGCCCTCCTCGATGTCGAAGGCAGAGTTAAGCAGCTTAGGCTTAGCGAGCACGGCGGCCGCGAAAACAAGAGCGGTAGCGAAGAACTTCATGTTGGCGGTTGGGTTCGAGAAGAAAGTTTATTTTCGATTAAGCGATTGCTGGTGGCCCACAACATCAGATTAGTTCGATATTCTCCTCGAGGTGGATGAGTTGGGACTGGGGTGTGGGTTGAGATGTCGTGCGTCGCAAGTTGACAAAATGTAATGTGATGCGCCGCGCGGTCGCCCAAGTGCAAACTTACCAAGAGCTGTGGTGGGGTGTAAAAGCGTAAGTTGTGCTGGACGAGCGATTGGATAGTAGTGAAATGTAAATTCGAAATGAACGATCGTGGAGAAGTTGAGGAAATTATCAAGGCAGAAAATGCCTATCTTTGTGAGAGCGAGTGGGACGGATGGGAGGGAAGGAAGGAGGAATCGAGGAAGGAGCCAGCGGCACAACGAACCAAAATACCCTCGGCCGCCCCAAGGACGCGATCGAGGTGGAAGTGACCGTTCCTGCAATGCTCCAATCAGATCCCTCGTCAAGAATTATCATCTCCATTCGCTTCACCCCAGACCATGTTGCAATGGGGAAGCGGCGCAGACGGGAAGTCTGGGCAACATGGGCCGAAGGTGCTAGGCAGGGGGGACGCAGGCCGATGAGACCAGGGTATCTCCGAATCAAGACTGGCGGGAATCGCCAGTTTCGATCCAGCGATTCTTTCCAGTTTTCACCCACGGCGCAGTGACCTTACCCTCAGAGCTCGATGAGGATTTCCAGCCCGTCCCCAAGCCAGCTCTCCGCCAGGAATCCTCCTGCTACACTACTACCGACAGTCGAAACAATCGCACATATTGAGCGGCGACGAAACTCCTTCGTAGCCCCTTAAGGCTTCATCGAGAAGGCAGCGATGACCGAGCCGCGTTCCCGCCGTTCGCAGGCTAGCCCTCGCCGGCGGTTCCCAGGCTAGTGCGGGAGGCGGCGACTTGGGAAATTAGTAGAGCACCTAAGCTGCATTGCTCTTGTTTTCGCGGCTGAGCTTGCACTCGCACTTTGCATCATTGTTGCAATTACCTGCGTACACAAGTCCTTGACAGATCGGTCAGCTCGTCAGACGAGTCTCTCCCTTTGACAGGCGGTGCAAGAGTCACACAACATTGGCCCTTTCAAAGCCGGATGTTGCGCTCTTATTATTTCAATTCTCTCCCACGCCTTTGGGGTTTCTCCAGTCCACACAATGCAGCACAAGGACCAGCACGTGGGAGTCATGTGGATCCTTCATCTCGCTGAGGGACTGATGCGCAAGGGTCTCACTCCGTCACGCAACCAGCACCAATTGCGGATTCTTCTTTCAGGTTGTCGTTGTCATTTGTGGGACAACTCAAGACATCCAGAAGAGTTGAACCGTTGACAAAACCCCCATTTGACACAGAGGTCTGGTGGCACGCAAGACAAACGGAACTTCCCATCGCACAGTAATTACCTGGTAATTGCAGTTTTCTTCCTCGGAGGGCCGGTGGTTGTTCGGCAGCAGCTGTCCGGAACGTTCGGGCGCCGGGGCGAATACACCCTCTTTGGCCGTTTAACTATTATACGTAGTAGTCGGGGAACGACAAGGGGGGTAAGAATAAGGTTGACAACGGCCTTCAATACAAGAAAAACGACCCCGGCGGGGACAAGGTTGTTGAGAGATTACAGTTCGAGTTATTTGACCGGCTAGCCCTTCATATACGTACCACATATCTTGCGAAGAGAAGTAGGTTCGAGGTAGGGTACAGTTGAGCCGATATCAGATGCTCGAAAATCACTGGTGGCGTTTAGTCTGTGCGAGTGTCTCGAAGAGAACAAGCTCAAGCTGGCACTGGTCGTCATTCGCTAGAAGCTAAGTACAGCGTTGTATATTCCACTCACTGCGCCCTCGTGGTTGCGCGTCCCTCTCGCCACCTTGACGATTACTCGTAAGTGTCTTGGTCCAAGGTGTCGGTGTTGTCGAAGGGAATGTCTCGGGGTGCCCAAACATGAGCCGAAGCATTTGCGACAATCACGTCCATATTATTCGTGGGGTTATATCTCACCCAAGTTGAAGGACCAACTCGCGCCTCGCACAACCTTCCCATCCTGGACGGATCGCTGACCAAAATCGCATCGGTGTGTGGTTTCAGTGAAATTCCCGATTTGGGATTCGGCTTTGGCGCATCCATCGCCCGGAGGTGAATGAGTCAACTGACCACACTGACTCTCGGAGCGTTGAAGATGCAAGATGCGACCTCAGCCGTGTAACAGAAGTGTGTTTCACAGATATTCCAAACCAGAAGTCGGCTAGGCTATTTTTCCCGAAACTTCAATTTAGGCTTCACATCTTAGGAACGCCGTTAGGCGCGGGTAAACGGTGAGGGAGAGATCGGTAGGATCGGCGCCGCAATACTTGAACAGCATGGACCGGAGTTGACAACCGAGAAGTTCTGAAACATATTTTCCCGTTCCGAAGATATCTCCCGGGCCGTACTAGAATGCATGCACAGTCCGTCGTACGGGTGCACTTGATGCGCCGTACTACGTACGCTCTTACAAACGGTACGACCTTTCAAGAGGCCAACAACGGCGGCAAGCGGTGAAAGTACTCAGCCGAGGTGACATTCAACAACACCGCGGTGAACTCCTTGGGTCTCTTCAGATAGTGTTCTGAGAGAGGATCCTAGACCCCGCATCTTGTCGATGAAATCATCGAGAGAACCGCCGACACCGAAGTATAACCGCTTCGCGGCAATGATTGCCTTCGCTTCACCCGCTGGCCGGTCGAGGGGCGCTCGCTGGAGGATCGAAAGAAGTGTAGCACCAAAACTCTCGAGTGCGAAGGGGGAGTAAATGGTTTCGGACCCCAACACAAGTGTCTTGGTGTTGTCCGGGAGGCTGGCGGGCACTCCATCTTGGCAAAGTAAATCAACGAACTCCGGAGACCAGGCACCGGAAAGGAAGGAAAGGGTTATCCGGCGTGAGGAAAGAGATTGCTTGAAGGCGTCCACTACCTCCGACGTCAACTCCAGTTCTCCATCGGGAGTGAACGCCTCCTGGACAACGGCGTTCTCAGTCCTCTGCTGCAGAGCCCAAGTCAAGATGAGGTTGGGCAGCGTCACGAGATAAAGGACGGAGGGGTTGTAATCTGCAAGGGTGAGCACTAACGGCGGCTGCTGCTGCGGCTCCTGCTGCTGCTCGGACTTCCTTGCCGCCAGCGCCCACTGGAAAAGAGCGAGCGAGGGCAACGCTGTGCCGCAACCAAGCTGTGAGCATAAAAGGTGGGGTCAGTCAGCAGGAAGCACATCCCCAGCATGTGGAATGCGGAGAAGAACCGACTCGAGACGCTCGGTAGGATAGGAAACAATAAATAAGATAGGAGACATCCGCACCTCGATCAAGACGCATGGCTCTTGTGCCAAGGTTTCCTTGACCCTCTCGTTGGCCAGCACTTTGACCAAATCCACGCTGCTCTCCCAACTCTTGAAGCCGCCTTCGTAAATGCCCGTCTTAACGTCGTGCTCCCCCAGTCCGGCTTCCGATTCGGACGCGTTGGTGTCGGTACCGTCCTCGGCCATCAACTGGACACGCACATCCCACAGCTCGCGACGAGGCAATGAGAGGCTCTCATTGTCACCGCCAAGGTCGACCTCGAGCAAGCTGAAGGCGATCTTGGATGGTAACCTCGCAAGGAGATTGTGGAGGTTGTGTTGGGCCGGGGGCAGCAGCGGTTTGCCTTGGACGGGGAATGCACCGGCGGTTGAGGCTGAGGGTGCTGGGGCGGCTATCGTGCTCGCCACTGGCGGTGTGGAAGTGTGTTGTTGCTGTTGGTCGTCTTCCTCTATGTCATCGCCGGCGAAGGCAAATGAGAATGCCATCTTTTCACGCCCCTGGTCCGGCTCTGAGATTCTTTGCCTTGGTTTTTGTGTCCTGGTCCTTGTCCTTGTTCTCTTCGAAACAATACAATTTCAGGATAAGGTCGCCACCCCGAGTCGATGGCGCCGTTTTGGCGTCCGAGGAATTGATGGTTCTTGTCAGGGTGCACTGCCCAGCTGAGAACCTGGAGAAATTATGATTGTGTGGACAGGAGTCTTTGATGGCCCGTGAAGACGCGCTTTGGAGGGGTTAGCTCACCTTTTTTTTTTTTGCGTTTGGCAGGGCCCTGTGGATCACAAAAAACATGGCGGGGCATGGGCCCCCACAGCGGCTTCCAACATCCTGCCTCCCGGGCCTGCGGGCGAGCCACCTTAGGCCCGGGGACTCTCGCACCGGCAGCTGATTCGCCCCACCCGCAGCTTTTCCCGAACACAACACCAAACGGCTGTGGTTGGACAGAATACGGCTGCAAGACCACGATTCCTAAGTGACGCAGCACGGCGGCTCTGTTTCCGCCCGCCCTCGACCAACACCCTCCCTTCACACTTCGGAACAAAGAAACGGGCAAAAGCATCAAAGCGCAGAAATATTCCCCGCCAAACAATCTGGAATGGCCGATTGGGCGAATGCCCCGAAATGGGACGGCCGTGCCCGAATGATGCCGTCAACGGCTGAACCAACAGCTCTCCTGCCGCCCTGCCACGTCCCGTGTAGTGTATCGTATTCTGTATGGACGCCATCCGCAAGCCTCCAAGCTCGCAAGCTCGCAGGGTAGCATGGAACGCAGCCGTTTCTGGACTACCGATGCACCGCGTGCCTTCTTTCTGGGATCGAGATCCCAGGGGCTCTGGAGCTCGACGCAACGTCCGGGCTCGGACGCCGTAAATCGACCAACGGTAACCAAAGAACGAGATGCGTCCCATCTTGAGCGGGAACTCCTCCCCTCCCCTTAGTGCCAGCAACCCGGCACCTGCAGAATGGTAGCGTCGTAGGTCGTGTCGGAGGTAGTATTTCTTTGAGCCATTCCCTCATGTTTGCCCAGGTCCGAAGCATTGCGGGATTGTCTCTTTTGGCTCTGGAGTTGACCAGCCAGTCTTTGAAAGAAACCTGGAATACGCCCCAGCCTGCAACGTCTTGCCAATCGTGGTCACCTCTAAACGCGCCCAAGTCGAGAACCGGGAGCGGACATTTCCTTTTCTAGAAGAAATATCCCGTGCCCTGCCGCCGCCGCTACCAATGCCTCCACCTCATTCCTTAGATTCGCCCTTGGGGCAGGATATAAGTCCAACCGTTGGCCGTGAGTCAAAAAGGCTCAAGGTTCAGACGGAAGATCTCCCTCAGGAACACCACCACCAGCCGCCACCCGCCCAGAACCAACGCCCTCCAACTCCTCCCGCCTCGTCTTGTTCATCTTCTGAACTAGCCACGACGCCCGTGGAACCCATGGCCCAGCTAAACCCCATCCAAACGACATTTTCGCCCCCACAGCACGGAGCCGAATACTCGATACAGGAGGCACCTCTTGGCTCAGCTCGGCATGTCCGCGTCGTATGCGTTGGCGCTGGTGCGAGCGGTCTTAGCTTGATCCGGGCTTTGCGGCTGCAACTCACCGACTATGAAATCACCGTCTACGAAAAGAATGCGGATGTGGGAGGCACTTGGCTGGTGAACCGGTACCCGGGTTGCCGATGCGATGTCCCCAGCCACAGTTACCAGTTCTCCTGGAAGCAGAAAAAGGACTGGAGCAACTTCTTTTCCGCGGCTGAGGAGATTGGGGCGTACCTTTGCCAGGTGTGCGAGGAAGAGGGGATGAGGGAGTCGATTAAGACTCTGCATCAAGTGGTGTCGGCGCGGTGGGATGAGAAGGAGGGACAGTGGGACCTGATGGTGCGGAATCTGGAGACTAAGGAAGAGTTCAGTGACTCGGCTACTTTCTTGGTGGATGGGACTGGAATTCTGAAGTAAGACGCAGTTGTTTCCGTGAAGACCCGTAGTTTATGGTCAGCGAACTGACCATACGGAACAGCAACTGGAAATGGCCGACTGTCGAGGGCCTCGATACCTTCCAAGGACGTCTCGTTCACACTGCGCAGTGGCCGAAGGATTTTGACCACACGGGGAAAACCATTGCTGTTATTGGCAACGGTTCCAGCGGGGTTCAGGTATTGCCGGAGCTGCAACCAGGTACGAAAATCAGCAGAAGACAGAGTCTCTCGGCTTTGAACTAACATTAACCAGGGGCTGAAAAGTTGTATCACGTTTTCCGGACACCCACCTGGGTAGTCCCACCAAGAATCCACTCCTGGAAGACCATGGGCCAGGCGACGGAGGCGCTCGACAAGATCCAGCTCGATGAACGGGAGAATTTCTCTCAGGAAACGATCGAGAAGTTCAAGTCAGATCCTGAGTTTTATCGCGAGTTTGTGAAGGCGATTGAGGCGGCGGTGAATAATGCGTTCCCCATGGTATGTTCCTTCGAATTCTGTAACAACCCTTGTTAAATTGCTCGCGACTAATATACCGAACCAGATCCTGACGCAAAGCCCAGTCCAGGCTTTTGCGAGGGCAAAAGTGACCGAGTACATGACACTCATGCTCGGCGGGAACCAGGAGCTCTGCAAGGCGTTAATCCCCGAATTTCCACTCGGGTGCCGGAGAATGACGCCTGGCCATGGGTACCTCCAAGCTCTCAGCAAGCCCAACGTTGCCGTGCGCAGGTCTGGTATCAAGCGGTTCGTTGAAGAAGGCATTGAGCTCGACTCAGGCGAGATCCTCAAAGTCGACGCCATCGTCTGCGCCACAGGCTTCAACACCTCCTTCACTCCGCGCTTCCCCATCATTGGCCGAGAGGACAACCTCCAAGACCGGTGGAAAAAGGAGACCCCCAAGGCCTACATGTCCTGTGCCGTGGCCGGGCTGCCAAACTACTTCAGTGCGTCCCGCCCCTCGTGCGTTGTCTGGCAACTCCCGCAATAAACTAACAACCTCCACCCTAGTGTTCTTCGGCCCCAACGCCCCCATCGGCCATGGCAGCGTCTTCACGCTCTCCGAGCACATAGCCAAGTACATCGCCGGCGCCATCCACAAATGCCAGACCCAATCCATCAAAGCCCTTGCTCCCTCCCACGCCGCTGTCGATGACTATTTTGCCCACATCCAAACCTTCATGCCACGCACCGCGTGGGCGGCCCCCAACGGCCGTTCGTGGTTCAAGAATGGCCAGGCTGAGGGCCCTGTCACGGCGCTGCATCCGGGGAGCCGGATTCATTTCTACCACATGCTGGAAGGGTTCAGGGGAGAGGACTGGGAGTATACTTATGTGGGAGAGGGGCAGGGGATTGGAAGGAAGAATCGGTTTGCGTATTTGGGGAATGGGTTTTCGACGAAGGAGTTGGGGCCGGCGGCGAATACGACATGGTATCTTGATTGAGCTCAGAGCCGTTTCTCATGGGGAGATAAAAGGTCTAGGGAGGTACAGAACCTAGGTCGTTTGGTGCATTTTGGCTGGCGGGTGGGGGCTATCCTTATGATCAGGCCATGACTTTTCTCATTTTTCTAACTTTCATCCTCCTTAGTTTAGTTTGGGGAGTTAGACGGGGACAGGTTAATAGTGGAATACACAGCACACATCATCGCCACCCTTGTGTCTCCCACGAGTGTCGGGCCGAATCGGGCCGGCGAATGTTTTGATGCTGGGCTGGGTGGGCTTTAAAGTATGCCTGCGGGCGTTCCTTCCTTCCTCCTCCCAAATCGCGCACAGCACTGTATAACCGCCCCTCCCTCGGCCTCTCCTTCCTAGCAGACCCTCCATCTGACAAATGCCCAACCCCCCGGATGGTGTATTTGGGGCAGCACCGAGCAGTGCCTGCGAAATTAGGCGCCTTCTTGCTCTTTCTGGCAGCTCGACCCACTTGTAAGATCGCTTCCCCGACCAACCATGACAGGTCTATTACGGGAGCGCTCAAAACATTCTAATCTTGGTTACACGCAGACAGCCCAATGCAACAATGAGTGATTCAATTCGACGTTCTACCGTAAGGCTTTCCACTCCCGTTTCCGGTCGCTCGGTCCCTGAAACCCGGGGGCGCTTCCATGGCTTCAAAATGAGGCTTTGAGACTCTGCCAGGCTAGGGACTTGCCGTTTGAACGGTATGCAGTATCTTATTTGGTTGGTGTGACTGAGGACCCCTGGTTGAACATATGAGCGAAGAAGTATGATAGATTTGGAGGGATTTGGTGACGGCAAGGCTCCGACAGGTAGGCGGACTCCTGCATCTATCTGCATGTTAGACGCACCTGTTGTACCCCTGTGGGTGTGGTTCGTGTCTCATTGGAGGACCGCAAAAGGACGACCTAGCCGGGGCGACACGACCAAATATTCCGACGTTGCGGAGCTTGCTCACTCAAAATGAGTCCTGTTCTTTCGGGTTTCTCCAGCCTTGGCGGAGCAATTGCTCAAGTACTGTTGAGAGAACTTGCGCTCGTGGACGATATCGCTGAGTGAAACACTTAATATGGCGTTTGAGGAAGATGAAGCCATTAACCTCCTTTCTCTTGGTAAGTCTGGGCATCTGTTAACTGACCTGAGCAAGTGGCTGACTTTGATCGCAGATGGAGGTGGTGTACGGGGGGTCTCATCTTTGCTCATATTGGATGAGATTATGAACAGGATTAAGGAGCAGTATGGCCTAGACGAAGTCCCCAAGCCGTGCGACTACTTTCACATGATCGCTGGGACCAGCACAGGAGGGTGGGTTTTCGATTAAACATCTGTTGTTTCCGACGAAGGCTAAATTTTGTTAGGCTTATCGCTATCATGCTCGGACGGTTGCGCATGTCTACCAAGGAAGCTTTGCAAGAGTACGATAATTGCGCTGCCCAGATCTTCCGGCTCGGTAACCGGAAATGGAGTCTTTCAGAGAGATTCCGTTCTGCTGCTCTTCAAGCCGCGGTCGAGGGCATTGTAAAGAGACGCGGCCTCGGGGAACTCATGCGGGACGCACAGCGCCATAAAAAAGGAAAGACAATCGTCTGCGTGATGCCATCCAAGTTGATTGAAAAGCCACGGGTTGTGCGATCCTTTGCTGGGGACCCAGGCGAGCGGCATTGGGACGCAAACATCACGATCTGGCAAGCGGCGAGGGCCACAACAGCTGCATCATCCTTCTTCAAACCTCAGAAATTAGGTGGCGAGGGGGATGATATTGAACAAACATACATCGACGCGGCGATCGGGGCTAACAACCCTGTGGGATATCTCTTGGATGAAGCTGTTCTAGAGTTTGGAGCCGGTCGGCGCTTGGGTTGTGTGATCAGCATTGGGACCGGCACCCGCCTTCTTGAGGTTGGGAGGGTGATGACAGGCATCAGGAACTTTCTTCTCGCGCCCTCGTGGTATATTCAATTGATCAAGACGCTGAAGGCTAAAGCAACCGATGCCGAGGAGGCCCACCGCCAGTTGGAGTTAAGGTTGGCCCCCTTTCCCGGCTCTTACTTCCGTTTCAATGTTCCCGATGCGGCGGCAAAGGTTGGGTTACACCATTACAAACGGATGCCGACACTGAAATCCTTGACGAAGGCCTACCTCGCCGACAAAAAGGTCAACGCCCAAGTCTCACAAATTGCAGAGCTGCTGAAAACCGACGGCTTCGAGCACGGCCTCGTGCTCGGTCATCTAAGTACGAAGCGAACTATCCCGAGGTATTCCCCTCCGGGGTGAATTATGCTAACACCATTTAACGTAGGTATTGACAAGGAACAAGTCATTCTGTCAACTTCTTTCCGACAGATGGCCCCATCAAGCTCTTTCTTTACCGGGAGACAAGACATCCTAACCGCCATGGACTTACTCTTCTCCCCGCGACATACTGGAGGCAGTCCCCGCCGAGAGTGTCTACTATACGGGGCACCCGGTGTAGGGAAGTCGGAGATTGCCAGGAAGGCCAGCGAGATGTTTGATAGGAGGTTTGTGATCCGAGTTACCCCCCCTGAATGCATCTAACCAGAAACAGGTTCAAGTACATCTTTTTTATCGACGGCACAATGGGCTCTTCAATCCGCTACAGCTACAGCCAGATTGCCAAAAAGTACAACCTCGGGAGTGGAAGCCCGGAGGTGATGCAAAGGCTGGCTATGAATTGGATTGAGGAGTTAACGGACGAGTGGCTCATGATATTTGATGACTGCAACATGGAAAATCGGCACAGCAATCTCCCCGGTCGAAGCAGAGGAAACATCATCTATACCACGCGGCTGACGACCCTGACCTACAGCTTGACCGCAGGTTCAATATTCGAAATTACAGAACTCGGCACTCAAGATGCGGTAGAGCTCCTTCTCAAAGCGGCTGGGCTGCCGGAGACTACAATCAGCGACGCAGACCGGGCCTTGGCTAGGACCATTGTGAAGGAGCTGGGTGGACTCCCTCTTGCGATCGGCACTGCAGCAGCATCAATCAGGGACGGGATGACATTGAGCGGGTTCCTTACACTCCACCGGGAACGCAAGGTTCGCGTCCTCCATGACCCACGCTTTGAGGACAATATTGAGAATGCAACAGTCTACGCCGTCTTCGAAGTATCCTACGACGCCCTCAAAGCACGCCAACGCCGAGGGGGACGACAACTCAGCGGACGGATCGCTAGAAGTGCCGCTAAGCTACTGAGCTTGCTCGCTTTCTACCATACCAGGGACTTCCCCTTATCTGCCTTGGGTCGCGCAGCGCAGGAGCGGCAGAAACGCAATGCTCATATGGCGTATCCGTTAAGCGGTATCCTAGAACCACCCGACATAGACCTTGAGATTCTGTTCGGCTGCGTCAATGAGGAGGGGAGATGGGACTCAGCCTGGGTGTCTGCAGCGCTGAATCTGCTGGAGACTTTGTCGCTGGTCAAGGTAAACCACGACCAGGACAGCGTCTCTATGCACAATTTAGTCCACAGTTGGGCTCGGATAAGACTGGAAAAGGACCTGTTCCAGAGGTATTCTCTGATCGCCCAAATCATCATCTCTGAATCTATCGTACTCTCGCCAAAGTGGAGGGACAAAGCGGATGCTCTCTCTGTTGGGCCCCACGCCCGTGTGTGTTTCAAGCACCCTTCGAAAGACTTGCGTCATGATCAATACCAGGCCCAGATGCAATTAAAAAGGGCTTGGATGTACCAGTTAAACAAGAAGTTTGACAAGGCGGAAATGCTTTACGCGGAGTGTCTTCGTTACTGGAAAGTGGAACACGGCAACGACTCGTGGAGTGTGGTCAACATTTTGAACCGGATGGCGATGATGTATCATGAAATGGGGCGCCTTGGGGATGCCGAGCTCACTTACTTGGAGCTTATAAATAAGCTTGACACGAGGCTAAAAGATTTCGACGGGCCCCCTCCGAAACGCCCTGTTCAAGATCCTGCAGATGAGCCAAAGACAGGCCATCGAGATCCAGATGGGACATATTCTCCGACTCGGCCGCACGACAGCCCGGCACTCTCCATTCAAAATCAGCAAAGGATGAGACGTCGCGTCGCTAACGCCTTCGAAAGTGTGCTTCACGGCGATTCTTCAAAGCATGGGAAGAGTCTCGAAGGAAACCCACCGACTGTGTTAGAACCAGAATGGCCAAGACTCATTGAATCACGCCGCCCCAAGGCTCCCGAGGACCCGGATGAGATCTTGGCTGTACTTTGCGTTCACCATGCGGACCTGGCAAAAGTTTACATCGACCAGGATAGAGAAGGTATGGGGGTGCGCATGCTACTTCAAGCTGCTCGCAGGCTCGAAGCCCTGCTCCCGCCAGACAGTCCAGAGCTCCAACGGGTTCAGAACGAGGCTATGGCACTTACTGAGCCCGGGAACCTTAAGTTTTGGAAGAAACGCATGGAAGAAATTGAGAACAACCTTGAACCTGGAAGCGACTTCATGGAGTCCGACACGGTCTGGCCGGTCTTTGTTTTTCTCGCCGACTGTCTGCTAAAGAATAGGGGATATCGCTTTGCGTACGAGAGGTACTGCGACGCGTTGACGCTTTTCGAACGGGTTCACGGTCCGAACGACAAAAGAGTCCTTCAGATCCTCCGCCACATGGTTGTCTGCACAGTGGATAGCGGCGACTGTGACCTCGGCGTGAAAATTGCGAGGGACTGCCTCAAACGGGCAAAGCTGGCGTATGGGGAGTGCCATCAGGAGACGGTGTTGGCGATGGAAATGCTTTATGAGGCCCGGTTCTTCCAGCAACTCGGACTCGACGACGAAGGGGAGAGGTTACTACGTGATGCCATTGCGCAATCGGAAAGAGCCGTTGGACTCACCCACTCTATAACTGTGCGATTACAGAGACAATTGAAGAGATTGACCAGGGACCATAAGAAACCGGCTGTCGGACCTCTTGCCAACCTGGACCGAGATCCCCCGACACCGGAACGAAGGTATTATTCGTTGAAAAAGAGCGTGGAACAAGCGGAAGCCACGTTTGGGAAAGACCACGTCATCACCAAAACCTATGCACGCTACTTAGGTCCCGCGCCGACAAGAACGCTCGAGGAAGAGTTCGAGCGGTTACTTGCCGCCTTTGGGCCCCATAATCAATTGACCATAAGCCGCCACGAGGAGTTGATGAGCCAACGAGGTCCTTTTGACGAGCCCGTTTATCAGAAGGCAGCACCCATCCCGGTCATCGGGTACTGTGCTTGCGGTAGCCAGCTGCATGCGGAGGGATCACGAGAAAACGAAGCCTTCGTTTGGGAGCTGGAGGGCTTCGAGTTTAATGATTGGAAAACAGAAGACTCGGGCGTTGCATTTGGGGATGAGCTGAACAGCGTGCCAAACACGCCGGGTAAAACAGTTGACAGGACAAAGGGTAACGTTGGGGACCGGTGGCGAAACAGGCCTGTCTTTAAGTGCGGTTTATTTTAGTAGTCGATCGCGATGATAATCTAGATTTGACGTTAGAGAGTTTTAGTGTAATGACTGATTAAAACCCTGTAAATCAAAACTGACATTCGGCTACGTTTCTAGGATAATAAACACAATAATCCGTAATTATCAACTGATAAATTCCGAGGCCAATTTTCCCAGCCGTTTGGATTGGGAAGAAGATGCCCGGGCATGTCATATCGTTCGGCAAATGTTAGAGTTGCGGTATGCTCTTGATGATTCAGGGGCTTTCAATTGCGGAGGGATCTCAGGGGTTTGTGTCCTCTTAGTTATGTACACCCCACTTCGGTCCGTTGGCTGGCCACCTAGGTATGTCGCAATGCGGGTAGGCGCCTCCCAGGCCCCGGCAGAAAGCCGCAAGCTGCAGGTCTCTTCCCCCAACACGCCAATGCAAAACTGCAAAGGAATTCGTTACACCTCGGCAGATTGGACCCCTCGAGGCTCTCCAGTGCTCGGCGACAATATGGCCCTGCTGCGACCCGACTTCCTCACGGCTACCTTTATCCATCGATTTCCTACGGCGTTAGAGCTGATGAGAGGACCAGGCTGCTGTGAGACAACAGACTTGTTTGTTTGCCCTGCGAAAGCTCAAGATGAAGCCTTTTTCGGCTAGGCATCAGTTTTTTAGTTTTTTTTTTTTAGTTATGTTCAATGTACATAGCACTCACCCTGTCTGTCATGGCGACTGCTAATCTCAGCCTGCTCTCCATCCCTCAGCTTGAACGTTTTATTTTCGGGTCTGGCGGTTAAGTCGCCAGTCATTTTGAAGCTTTCCCATGATCGCCCCACTCTGATCGCGGTCCAGCCGCCTGAGTTGTCATGGGAAATGGAAACAAATCACTCAGCAGAGGGGCTTGTTTCAGCACCCGGTGGCTTCTGCGGGCTGGAAATGTAACCACAACCCCTGCGCCTACGCAGTATGATCTGGCCCCAATTAGAGGGCCGGGCCACGCTTCAGCTATTGTGGGCGACGTCTGTCCTGGGCCGACGCCAGACTGAGGTGATAAAACGAAACCACAGCCTTGCCTCCCGGTTTTGTTTTTTCCTCTCTGTTCTGCCTCAAGAGGATGGGTAACTCGTGTCAAACGTGTTGCCGACGCCGGTGAATCACACTCCCTTTGACCAACAACTAATAAAAACCATGCCCGAATACCACTCTTCCCAGCATGGGCCCGTCAACCTCCTGTCGCTCGGTAGGTTCAACTTGAGGCGTGGGTATGGGGGACTGTGTTAACTCGGTGTAGATGGCGGTGGTGTCCGGGGTGTCTCATCGCTTGTTATTCTCGACGCGATCATGAACCAGATCAAGGATCTGTACCAGCTCCCAGAAACCCCGAAGCCCTGCGAATTCTTCCACATGATCGCCGGAACCAGCACTGGGGGGTAAAGCGCTCTAGCCAGCTAAAATGCATGAAATTGAATCGTGATACTAAGTTTTATTTCCTAGGCTCATCGCTATCATGCTTGGGCGGCTGCGGATGTCGACGCAAGAGGCCCTCGAGGCATATGATGAATGTGCTACGAAGATCTTCTCAAGACAAAATCGCAAGCGGTCAAGCTTATCGGACAGATTCAAAGCTGTTGCCCTTCAAAAAGCCATCGAGGAAATCGTGAAAAAGCGCGGGCTTGGCGACGATATGCGAGACCCGGATGACACTGACAAAGGCAAGGTCTTTGTGTGCACCATGCCGTCTAATAACATAGGCCAGCCTAGACTTGTACGCTCTTATTATCCGGATCCGGGGCTTGGGGATGATTGGGACGAGGATGTCAAAGTCTGGGAGGCCGCAAGAGCAACTACGGCCGCTTCATCGTTCTTCAAGCCGCAGAAGCTGGGAAAGGGGCATTTGGCGCAGGCGTACATTGACGCAGCAATCGGCAGCAACAATCCAGTGAACTATCTTCTCCCAGAAGCACGTGGGGAGTTCGGTACTGCGAGACGACTTGGTTGTGTGGTGAGCATTGGCACTGGCACCCGGAATAATGAACTCGACAGGGAGTCGGTGAGCGGGATGCGAAGTTTCCTCACTCTTCAAGGGCTACGCAATGTCTTTGGCATGGTCAAAACGCTCAAGAACACGGCGACCGACGCAGAGGAGTCTCATCGACAGCTCTTAGCACGGCTGAACTCGTTTCCCGATTCATATTATCGCTTCAACGTACCCTCGGCCGCTGCGCAAGTCAAACTGCACCACTATCGGAAAATTCCAGAGCTCAAGTCCCTGACAGCTCAATACCTCGCCGGGCCAGAAATTTCGGGCCAGGTCGTGCAGGTCGCGCGGGCGCTGAAAACAGGCATATTTCACCATGGACTCACACTGGGTCTTGTCCGTACGTGATCCCCACTTTGTATCCGTGGAATGAAGTACATGTACTTGACATATTGGTGGGCGTGCTAACATGAGACAGATGATCTGGACCCGGAGCAGGTACTTCTTCAGACCCACAATCCTCGATCCAGGGGCATGACAAGCGCCTTTTTCACCGGAAGAGAAGATGTCCTGCAGAGATTAGACACATTTTTCCCCCAACGCGACACTGGTGGGAAACCTCGGCGAGAGTTCCTGCTTCACGGAATGGGCGGTGTTGGGAAGTCTGAAGTCGCCCTTAAATTTTCCGAAGTTTTCGAAGAAAGGTTCGTGATATCCTTACTCGTCCTCGTGTTACTGAGGAGGAAGAGGATTTAACATAGCTACAGATTCAAATACATATTTCAAATCGACGGGTCGATGCCTGCTACAGTCGCTCAAAGTTATGCGGCAATTGCTAAAAAGTATAATCTCGCCTCCCAGGGGAGTGTCGAATCCTTGATGAACGTTGCGAAGCGTTGGATAGAGGAGCAAACAGACGAATGGCTCATGATATTCGATGACTGCGATTTGGATGATCGGGACGGCCATCTTCCTGGGAGAGGGAAAGGGAGCATCATCTACACGTCCCGGTCAACCGTACTTAGAGGCGACCTTCCTTCTGATTGCTCCCTCGAAATCGAATGCTTCTCCGAAGAACATGCGATCGAACTTCTTCTCAAAGCATCCGGGCGAGAATCCGGGCCTGACGCCGAAGATCTTGATTCGGCACGAGCTATTATCCAGGAGGTTGGCTCCTTACCCATGGCCATTAGCAATGCAGCAGCAACCATCAGGGAACGGAGATCATCCTTGGACCGTTTCCTCAAGAAAATCAAGGAAGAAAAGGTTCGCATCCGCTCAGACCCTCGTTTCAAGGGCAAGAATATTGAGAACACAGCAGTCTACGCCGTCCTAGAAGTCTCTTACGAAGCACTCATGACGCAAAGGAGAAGAACTGGGAGGGGTGGGTCGGGCGCCGCGGCGCGCGTTGCAGCCAAAGTTCTCACGATTCTAAGCTTCTTCCATCATCAAAATATTCCAATAGAGACTCTAACGAGGGTAGCTAAAGAGAGGGCAACCCAGAAGACGAATTTAATCGTCCCTCTGAGGGACTTGGTGAGCCCACCCGACCGGGACTTGGACCGTCTCTTTATGCTGAAGGAGGACGGTGAATGGAACCCCCACTACTTTGGCGTGGGGATGAACGTCCTCGAGGCGTTTTCGTTGATCAAAACTAACGCGCAAAATGCCACCATTTCGATGCACGTCATGATTCATGATTGGGCACAGGACAGGCTGGACGCCGAGATGTACAGGCAGTACGATAATTTGACGAGGACTATTCTTACCGAATCCATTTTCATATCGCAGAACTGGACTGACTCCTTTTTTGTCCATGAATTGCAACCGCACCTCGATCCTGCTCTCAAACGAGGCTCACCCTGGTCTCCGCACGAGAATCATCAGGGCTGGTTGCATCTTAGAATCGGCTGGTACCACTTCCTCGCGAAGGATTTCAAGGCGGCCGAGAAAGCGTTTTTGGATGCTTTGAGCATTTGCAAGGTGCAAAAACGCCTTCAGATCGGGGATCTACTTCAGACCTTGGCTAATTTGGGTTTACTATATCATGAGGTCGGACGATTGGGGGAAGCTGAGCTTGTGTTCTGTGAGCTTATCGACAGGGTCAGGGGCAAGATTATGGACTATGAAGCCCTCTTAGTGGAACACCGGGGTGAAGCCAATAACCAGGCAGAACAAGAAAGAACAACTCAGGAACGGCATGAGAAGCAACGGCTGGGTCGCGCCTACCGCGAGGGCTTGGATGCATTTGCGAAGCGCCTAGGAAAAGTCGATGCCGAGGCGCTGCCTAGCACTATTTTGCGACGATGCCTGCCCCAGATTTTACAAGGCTGGCACAATGGTACAAAATTATCTGGACCTAGGGGACCAAGACCTGGCCACCCAGACATCAAAAAACTCGAGGATGAGGTTCAGCACCTCCAGCTGCTGCATACAGAGATCCACGCCGAGCTAGCAAGAGTGTACGTGAGCCAAGACCGGATGGGCCAGGCCAAGAGTCTATTTACGCAAGCACTGCGGTTCTTCAAGGAGGACGGGTATCTATCACATCAGAGTCCATGGATTATGCGACTGGAACACGCTATGAAAACCTTCACAGACCCCGGAGACCTACCATACTGGAAGGGTCGTATCGACATGACGTCGGATCTTGCGGACACAGGGTACCGTGACTTTCCGGAACATGACGGGTTTTTGGAGTTGGCGATTGCTTGGACGAACTGCCTGATGAAAAACAACATGTGGGACGCCGCGCTCAATTACCAGGAGAAAATTCGTCATCACTTTGTCATGATTCGAGGACCCAACGACTGGAAGGTTTTGGGGTTAATGCGGCAGCTGGTGGACTGTTATGTGCACCGCGAAGGGCGCGGGCCGGCCGTGAAAATCGCAAGGGAATGCGTTGACCGGGCAGAAAAGACATATGGGGAAAACCATCATGAGACGGTGTTGTCGATGGAGAAGCTTTGCGAAGCGCTCCAGTTCGAAACCTTGGACGCGGATGATGAGGTGACAACAATTTTGCAAAGCGCGCTTGCCAGATCAGAGATAGCTCTGGGCGCGAACCACCGGACGACGAAACGGATCAAAGAATGGTTCCTTCTCTCCAGATCAACTTCCAAGCAGCCCAAGGAACTTCCCATCGAACCAAACGGAGAACGTGTGAACGGCATCAATTGGCAAGATAGCATAGACCTCCTGAATGATTTCACTGCTACCTTGGGTGAGCAACACATCCTCACCAAACGCCAAGCACGCCTTGTTGGCGATGGGCCGCCGAGTACGTTTGAAGAGTACGTCGAAAGAGTGCAGGCGTCTTATGGGCCACAGAGTCGAGTAGCGAAAGCGGCAGCGAACTTCCTCGGAACGTGGCAAGAGCAAGCAGCGGAAATAAGGAGGCTTAAACAGCGGGCCGAGCCGCGACACGGCGAAGGCCTCCCCGAGTATTGTACATGCGGCGAGCTAGTACACGCCGAGGGGTCAAAGGCGCATCGGGTGCCCATACCAATTTACTTTGAGGGCCGGGACATCGGGGCCACTGGAGCCCGCTAGACGGCCTAAGGCTAAGATGAATGAACGCGTGCCGGTTTATATGTGTGGAATGTGCTATTAGTCTTAATCCTCTCTCATTCTTTTGCTACGGGGCCGGTCTTGGTGCTAAACATGCGCACCTGTCATAGGAAGAGACTAGGTACGAGAACGGCTGATGAGTATTGATGAGAAAGTCGACTCCGGCGAGAAAAAAGAAAGAAAGAAAATCCAGGGAGGAAATGCGAGCGTGCTCAGGATGAGGCTGCCCATAAGGCATCCAATACACAATATAGGCCGTGGCCTTCCGCTAATACAGGTTCTTTCGGCGTAAATAGGTAGGTACCTAGTGAAGAAACATGTTCTTGAGCGACATTCCAAGTTCAGAGCTGTCTCGCATTATACTCTTCATTTGGTTATTTTCGACAAGCACCTCACTCACTTCTTCCCCATCGCACTTAGATACAAGGTTCAGACTGCTGTTGCCAACTGCTGTGTCCTCTGCTGGGCAGTGATGTTAACTAGGTAGGTATCATTGGAGTGCAGGCCCCAAAGATGCGCTCAATGAGCGGCAGTGCAATCAATACCGTGCGATAACGCAAGGCACCTCGACTTAACGGAACCAACACGCCCTTTTTTGAGACAACGTGTGAAGGGGCCCTGATTTTGCACATAAGAAAAATGAAGCTTTTTGTTATTTTTATTCTGGGACCGTCCGATAGGTAGGATGCATGTACCCGAAGCACACAACTAGCAGGCTCAGGCGGTTAGGATGCCATGCCATTGGTCTGCCCACCAATGAGCCGCTGCGTGTTTGACACCGAGAGACACGACTGGGTCGATTCGGACTGGACAAGGCTCTGACCGTCAAGCACTATAAACCTCAACAATGAGACCCAATTCAGAGACGGGGCTTTCCTCGTTTATTTCCTCTTTTCCCCTGCACCGTGCAGCCCAACGGGTATGCTCAGAAATCCCAATGACAACAGCGCAATGGCTGCAAGAGACGCTGGAGAGGCAATTAACCTCCTCTCCCTGGGTAAGTTTAAGAACTTTGCTCTCCGTTGTTCATGAATTGCGGTGGGCTAATGCGTTTAGATGACGGGGGCGTCCGGGGAGCGGTATTACTTCACATATTACATGAGATCATGGTTCAGATTCAGCTGTGCTACGACCTCAAACGGCTCCCCAAACCTTGCGAATACTTCCATATGATCGGAGGGACGGGTACTGGAGGGTAAACCTGGGATTCAAGAGGGTATCGAAGTATCAGGGCCACACGGCTGACGTAGTTCTAGTCTTATTGCCATTATGCTCGGGCGGCTTCGCATGTCCACAGAGGAAGCTCTACAAGAATACGGCAGATGCGTCAAGGAGATGTTTTCCCTTGGCAACAGAAAGTGGACAACGGCCACTGAGCGATACCGAGCTACCGGGCTCAAGGAGGCGGTCGAAAACCTTGTGCGCCGGCGGAATCTCGGTGACGATCTTGTGGATCTATCCCTTGAACCGGACAGCAAGGGATTATGCTTCGTATGCGCGATGCCGGTCAGCAACCTAGGCCAGCCTCGCCGTTTCCGGTCCTTTTACACCCCCAAAGATATCTACAAAGGGGTCAAGATTTGGGAAGCGGTTCGCGCCACAACCGCGGCTTCGTTTTACTTCAAACCCATGTCAGTGACAGCCGGCGGACGAGAGCCTGAGGAGTTTGCCAATGCTGCCATTAACTGTAACAGCCCCATCAACTATGCCCTTCGGGAATCAGCAGCTCACTTTGGGGCCAAGCGACGCTTGGGTACCATTGTCAGTATTGGCACAGGAATCACAGCGGTGGGAGTGGAAAATTCCAAGATACGTTCCAGGGCCACGGGGAAGGAATTGATAGGAAGGCCCGAGAACCTGGAAACTGACGCCGAGGTCGCACATCGGGACATAGAAGAGAGACTTGGCCCTTCCCACAACGCATACTTTCGGTTTAACGTGCCTGATGTGGCCGATGAGGCCGGGTTGGATAAGTATCTCAAGATACATGTCTTGCAGGCGTCTACAGCTGCCTACTTAGCCGATCCATCAGTGATGGCTCAAATGGTGAGAGCGGCTCTTGCACTTGACAACGGCTCGGTTTTCCATGAACTGTCTCTTGGCCGTGCTGGTAAGGATAAGGTTTTATTTTTGTCAATGTCTTCTCCAAGGACAACTACTAACTTTCCCATTAGCCGGGGTTGGTAAGTGGAAGGGCGATTTTAAATCATACGCAACCCAATTCCTAGGCGAAGCTAGCCGCTTCTTCACAGCCAGGGACAGCGTTCTACAAAAAATGGACGTTTTTTTCTCGCCCCGTGATGCCAAAGGCAAACCCCGCCGCGAATTCCTCCTATTTGGCCCTAGTGGAGTCGGCAAGACACAAATTGCATTGAAGTTTGCGAATCAAGTTGAGAAAAGGTATGTTCCAGTTACCCTCAAGAAAATGTCTCGTCTTTTTGTTGTTGACTATCCACAGATTCAAATACATATTCCACATTGATGGGTCAAACCCTTCGTCCGTGAGCCAAACATACGCCAATATCTGCGAACAGTATTGTCCGAGATACAGCCCGAGGACGCCCAATGATTCAGCAGACGTCGAGGACATGAAGCAAGTGGCATTGGATTGGATATCTGGGCTATCAGTCGAATGGCTGATCATCTACGACAACGTTCCCGACTCCAACCTTCCGGGGTGCAAGCCTTTTGGGCCCGAACTTCCCGGCTCTGGCCCTCCCGGTTTCATGCCAACGCTCCCCGGCCAGAACATCGGCAACATCATCTACACTTCCCAGTCTCAGGGGATGTTAGCGAACCTGCCTCCAAATTGTACGCACGAAGTTGGCCCGTTCACGGTGGAGGAGGGTCTCCAAGTACTCCTGAATTTGGTCGGGCTCGAGAATGTAGAGGAGAATAACAAGGAGATAGAAGCCCTTCGAGAAACCGCGGTTGAGGTTGGCTGTCTGCCCTTCGCTCTTGACACCGCTGGAGTTTACTTGAGGAAGGAAGGTTGCACACCGCTCATGTACCTCAGGAGATTCCGTGAGCGTCAGAACAGGCTAGGCTTGCGGGGAGAACCGACTCGCTCAGGCCTCTACACCGCGCTTGAGCTTTCGTATGAAGCACTCCTTGACATGCACCAAAGCCAAGTGAGCAGCCTTGCGGGGGTTGGTGCAGCGGCAGCTTCGGCCATCTTGAACCTGTTCTGCTTCTACCACAACGTGGATATTCCATTCCTGATGATGGGGCTCTCAGCCGAAGAGCTGCGGAACTTTGAAGGGACTGGCGTTCATCCATTATCCGAGTTCCCCAATCCTCCTCTTATGAGCCCAACTCTCTTGATGACTTGCAGATCAGCGGGCAAAGGTTGGGACAGCACCGCCCTTCATCTGGGCATTCAGTGTCTCCTGCAGTTTTCTCTCGTCAAGTGGAACACCAAAAAAGACACTGTTTCCATGCACCCCCTGGTTCAAGATTGGGCGAGGGATAGAATGAGCACAGATGCTCGGAGATATCAGGCCTGGGCAGCTCAGGTTGTGCTTATTGAGTCCATCAAGTCCGGTTGGGGCAGGCTTGACCGAGCAACCTTACGAGGCCTACCGCCTCACTTAGACGTTTGCATGTCCTACGAGAGCGAGTCATTTGGCCAGCACGACAAGCACCAGGCATGGCTGGATCTCAAATTAGCGTGGTATTGCTACGAAAAGAGAATGCTCTTAGAGGCGGTGAAGCTTATCGAGAAAGCGCTACGTCTTCAGAAACGCAACCACGGAAACTATAGCAGAGAGGCGACCAACTGTCTTCGCATCCTAGGGCGCGTCTCCTTTGAGAACGGCTATCTGGCCAACGCGGAAGCTGCGTATGCATGTGCATTGGAATTACTGAACATCCGCCGGGAAGAGATTTCGGATGGCCAACAGAAGCGGCTGCGTCCCCGGGAAGAGAGCCCAATTTCGAGGCCGCGGTTGACTATGCCTCGTGTTCCGAGACTTAGGAACTTGGCCGCACAACCCACCAATGGCACAGGTGTGGAACTCAGGAATCTAACTAAGGACGGAACCTCAGCCAAGCCGAAAACAAGAAATCCCGACTCGGGCCAGCCCCTGGCAAACCATGAGCACTTTGCTCAAAACATTGATCGAGCGTGCACGGCTCAACCGCTCGTAGAAACTCTGTCCGACTGGGAACGAGAGGTCGGGGCCGTTCTTTCAGATATGGCCGACCTTTACTTCGACACCGGGAGGGAAATCACTGGCATTGAATGCCTCCAAAGGGCCCTAAGCACAATCAAGAACGTCGATAAAGCGGATCAAAGTTTCGAGATTTGGAAGTGGGAAAACGAATTGAACCGGCATACAAAAGCGTACGACTCGCAAGACTGGAAAAAGAATCAAAAGACCTTCAACGCACTGTCACCGGACGGCCTCCGAAAGTGGCACTTAAACGGGAATGAATATTTCTGGTTGATTGGGTGGGCATCAAGACACTCCCAAGGTGGCAACTTGGACAAAGCCTACGAGACTTATGAGGATTTGTTGCCGAAGACCACGGTAGCCCACGGACCAAGCAACCCCAAAACGCTTTTTTTGCTCCGATCCCTAGCGGTGGTTGCTGCAAAGTGCGAACGCTATGAGAAAGCAGAGGAATTGGCGAGGAAGGCGGTCGAAGCGGCCAAGGCTGTTTACACCGAGGGACATCATGAGACTGCGACAAGCTTACACACGCTTGCCATGGTCCTACCCCCCCGAACGTTGAATTTAGGACCGGGATCGGAGTTCTGGGAAGGTTTTAAGCGTGCTTACAAGTCTTGTAAGTGGGCATTCTTGCCAGGGAACCCCCTGACAGAAAACCTCAGGCGTTGGTTGGGGGTGTTCGACTTTTCTCAGAACAAGACGAAGCAAGAATCGTTTCCGAGGGCGGTTGTCGAGCTCTTTGCCGACGGGTTTCCAAGATCGAGAAAAGCATACTTAGACCGGGCATGCTTTGCCTGCGAGAAGGTTTCTCAAGAGGTTGAACGGGAAGAGAACCGTCTTCGGAGAGAAGCGAGAAAGGCAAACGAGGACTCATCGCGGCTGGACGTTATGCCACCCCAAGATTTGTCCCTAGCCACCCAGGAAGAAGCAGCCGAGCACCCAGACTCGGAGAGAAAGGAACTTCCGGTCATCGTGCCGCAACTAGCTCTCGATGTTGAGCAAGAGGCTCAAATACAACACCCTTTAGTGTCCCAAAACGCAAAGGGAGGACCCCTTAACAGCGGCGTTTGTTTGGGCGATGATGGAGCAGTCGGCAAGCAAGAGAGCAACACTTTGAAGGTACCAGCCAGGGAGAAAGGCGGGGGCATTGGAACGGGAGGAACACAAACGGCGTCAACGAGGAAGTTGCCAGAAGAGCTATGCGCTGAGGAACGCGGACGTCGATGGGTGCTTACGTCCGAGATCCAACTTGGGCCCAGCTGGAGGTCTCAAAGGGCGTCAAGTTTGCATATGTGGACGTCAACGCGGCCAGATAAAGGAAGTAAAAGGTTAAGAGAGGTGCTCACGGGCGCAATCGCCACCAAAGGGGAACCCCGTTGGCGACGTATTAAATGCTGGGCTGATTTAGATGCATTATTCCAGAACTGAGGTTCAGAACCCAGTAGATGATCACACCAAATAACAACTGGAAAATATCACAAATTCTATGAGTCATACCCTTGTGTCCCTCGCTTCTGTATCGCCTTCATAAGTTCGTAAAGTTGGCCTAACTGTTCGTCTGTTTCATGTCAAGTTAGCAAGTATAATGGAAGCAAGATCCGATGTCATAGATAATACCGCTCATCTTTGCAACCTTGCCCTGATCTAGCTTCTCACCGGCCCACGAGTCGCCCTCGATCTTCTGCGCATACAGCTGCCACTCGGTGAGAAACCCGATCTGGAGTAGGCTCATGGAATTAGCATATGTCATTTTGATTCCACGAACACGCTTAAAATTTCCGCTATAAGATGGCAGGGGGGGACAAACCAGATGCACGGGATTCTCAACATCACGATGGGCCCGAAATTCCGCCTTGACATACTCATCCCCTAATAAACGCATCTCAGAAGGCAAATGCTTCCTATGCGCTCGCAATAAGCGACGGTAGAGGTATATTGGCGGGAGGAGGGCCAACGGCCCAGTTGTTAACCCCTTTGTTGGGTTTAAGGCAGACGCTTGGAATAAGCGGAGCGAAGGTCTCATGGTGAAAAGAAGCTGGAGGGTTCAAGAGAGAGAGGTAACCGGCAGTTAGCAAGGTAGGTCGGTTCCACTGAGGGAATTGCGGCCGCCTTGTTGGGTAGTTCTTTTTATATATATTTTCCGTGCTTCGTGTCGGAGACCTCAGGCACCGTAGTGGTTGAATCTGAGAAAGCCTGTGTTAGGTTAGGGGTGAATCTTTAATTCATGCCAATTGATGGGATGGACCTCGGTTCGAGAAAATTCGTACAGTGCTAGATATATGTCGCACAGTCCTGGAACGTCGCTTCTCGTCCTGCAAAACCCAACACGCTTGGAGAGAGCCATTTGATCACAAAGTTCGCAAAAAGGTTCGGACATTTGAAGACGAGTAGCAGATTTTATGACTACCAACAGTAAGGCTACCCGTTATTTTTATTCTAAAGCCTCGGCTATCCACACCGCCTGGATGATGCTGACTTTCTTCGCATAATTCTTTTGAGTGTACACATGTTCTAAGAACATGATTGCTTCCTTCTTCTGGCCGTGCAAAACGCTTGACGGGTGTATCGCCACCACATGTTTCCCATGGGCCGTGACGTAACTGTTATCTGGCGCTAGAATCGCCGTTTTGAGCGAAAACCCGCTTAAAAAGCATTTGAGAATGGCGACGGCAAGCTCTGGTGATACCGGCGTGAAGGGCTGAGGATCAGCTGGCGGAGGTTCTATCATGCCCAGGCGGACACACAAACCGCGAAGCTGTTTGCGAATGTTCATCGCTTGCTTCATATTTCTGACATTCATCTTCCGGTCCTTGCACCATTTCACTCGGTCTGCGTTCTCCGCCGCGTACAGCTGCATTGTGGTGAGGTACGTAAGGAGATCACCTTCGCGGCGATAAAGTTCTTTTCGGTAATCTTCCGCTTCCTCTTTCGCCTCTTCTGTACGCAGCTGAAGAAAGATGTCCTCGCCAGACGTGATGCACGCGATGATATCAATCACCTCTAGCAAACAATCGAACTTCGGATCTGCTGCGGCAAGAATGACACGGGCGAAGGGCGGAGTGACCGGGAAAGATACCATCTTGCGCCCCGTTTCTGTGATGGAACCATCATCACCGATAGCGCCAAGAATATGAAGGTGCAAAAGTGCCTTCTCCACGGATTCGACACTGGGCGCGTCCATTAGGGGGAAAGACAGGACGTCGGCAATGCCCCTGGCCTTCATTGTCAAAGTGGCGCCGAGTATGTCGGTTCTGAGGATCTCGGGAAGGTCTGTCTCGTACAAGGTATCGTAAGTTTCCTCTGTGTACAGCCTGAAGCACTTTCCAGGACCTTCACGCCCTGCTCGCCCAGCTCTTTGAATGGCAGACGACTTTGATATGGGCTTCGCGAGGAGCGATTCCATGCCCAAGCGTGGACGGAATTGCTTCACCTTGGACTTTCCGCAGTCGATGACATATCGCACGCCCGGCACGGTGACTGAAGTCTCGGCAATGTTGGTCGCGAGAACAATCTTTCTTGTCCGTCCACCCTTGATCGGTTGGAAAGCTTGATGTTGCGCTTCCATGGAGAGCTGGCCGAACAGGGGAAATACCTTCAAGCCAGGGAGCTTCGGCCCAAGCGTCGACGCGTATTCTTCAATCAGCTTCTGAGCGGATTCGATTTCCTCTTGACCGGTCAGGAATGCTAGGATGTCTTTCCTGCCGTGCTTATCTGACAAAGCCTCTTCGGTGTGCAGCTTAAATATTTGTTTGAGAAGCGCTTCTTGGATGTCCGGAACGGGTTTAGGGGTGTGCACAAGATCCACGGGGAATTGCCGGCCATCAATTTGGAGGTACTGGACTGAGCTGTTCGAGAAAGTAGGTGTGGTGGAAGCGGTGCTCGTCGTTTCGGGTTCAGCCTTAGAGAAGAATTGCTTGATCTTGTCGACGTTGGCAGTCGCACTCATGACCACAACTCTGAGTGGAATGCCCCCGCGGCTAGCCTTGTCCCCAGAAACAATTTGCTTAAGGAAACCGGAGAGGAGGTCGACATCAACGCTCCGCTCGTGGATTTCGTCAACAATGATGGCACTGTATTGCCTCAGCCCCGGATCGCGGAGGAGCTCTTGAAGCAGCATTCCTTCGGTCAAATACTTGATCCGCGTCCCAGGTGGGACTTTGTGGTCGAATCGAACCGAGTAGCCCACCAAGCCCTTTGAAACTGGCTGATTGTTATGCCATCTTTGGATTTGCGCGTCAAGAGGGGTACCTGCTTCACGTGAGACGCGATGGGCGAGTGTCGTTGCTGCGACCCTTCTTGGTTGTGTGATCGCGATCATTCCTCCAACGTTGATTTCTTTGGTGTGCTCGCCATCCTTAACCTTTACTTTCCTCTTTTGACACCATTTCTCCTGGTACAGAAACTGCGGTACCTGTGTACTTTTTCCAGACCCTGTCTCCCCCACGAGAAGCAGGACTTCATTTAGTTGGAGGATGCGGCGGATCTCATCCTGTCGTGACCAAAGCGGGAGAGTTTCTCTTGCCGCAAAATATGACGGGTCACCAGAGGGAGGCCTGCTGGGCAGCGGTGCCGCGGAGTGCAAATCTCCCTTGATGTGATTCAATTCAGTCGGTGTCGACGCCGGCGAGGTATCCAAGTCGGTGGGCTGAGGCGCGCTTTGTTCCTTCGGCTTTTTGGTCAAGTATCCCTCAAGGGATATTGTCTTGTCTCCGATCCTGACTGAATTTTCGGTAGCACCATGCTTTCTTTTCTTGGCCATTCTTGGATTTTGGAGCCGGGCTGGGGCAACGGGTTCTTTTGTTGGTCGTGATGGTGAACAGCAGAGAAAATATATTCGCCTTAGTAGATTTTGGCCCCACTTTGGTAACAGACAATGCAGTACAACCTCGCAAGCATGTAACGTGTGTAAAATACCGCTCCACTGGGCGTATCTTTGTAAGATCCTGACGAGGTCTTAAGGGGTTGGTACTAAGAGAGAAGAGAGTACCGTGGTAATGTAAAGAATTCGCAGCGGTCGCAGTGGAATCTTGCTTGAGTCCATAATACATTGATGGAATTGAACTCTGAACCTCCCAACTATCTTAAGCTTCCTGCCCTTCCTATTTATATTTTAGAGTCAGTGCATTAACCCCTCGCTCAGGCATTGAGATCATACTACGACAGTAGTGCTCGGTTGCATCGATATCGCAATGCGGGCATCACTACTCCTATCATGCCTGAGCACTGCAGCACACTGTCACATCCGTCTAATAACCAACCGGTAAGGTACGTATGTACCCAAACGGCTGCATGCGGGCACAACCCAAGGGCGCAAATTCGCAGACGGGAGGTACTGTACCTAATTACTGTGGCCAAAGTACAGGCGCTTGCATCGAATTGTGTTACCTAGACTATTACACCCGCTACAAGAACTAAAACCTGGCCGTCCAGGCAGCGAGGACGGCCAGCCTCTCTTCGATCTCATCTGCCCCAGATACTCCCAACCTTGCCATGGCGCGGCAATGCGGCTAACAGTCGTACTTGCTTTTGAGGTGAACCTGGTGCTTCCAGAGCACGTCACGGTTTCGATCGACCTAGAACCCTGATAGTTAGCCATCATCGTCCCGGAGATAATCAATTTCAATCACAACTTACATCCTCTTGCATTTCAGCAATCTCGACGTTCTGCCTCTTGAGCTCGCCGCCTAGGACCTCGAGATGTGCCCTGGCTCCCCTTAGGCCGGTTAAAATTTCGTTCTTTTGCCCCTGGATCGTCCGGCTGGCTTCCCGCTGAGTGCCATCATCATCTTCAAATTCCATGTCCTCAAACGCATAAACATCCCCCTTACCACCCGCCCCCGCTGTTCCGAGAAGCTGGGGCCCAGAGCCATACTCTTTACCTAGGTTAGTCAATTGCTCACGGGATTTTGCGAACTTCCGATCCATCTCCTCCGTTTTAATCATATGGTCCCGGTCATAACCCATATGCTGTCGTTGGCGCGATTCAATCGCGCCTTTACCATTGCTGGCGAACTTCAGCATGCTCTGTGCGTTGTGGAGATCCGTGAGGTTGCCTCCAGTCTTTGCAAGTTCCACTCCTAGAAACGACTCAAAGTTAGTTCAGCTAAAATATGGAGCAGTGCAAGTTTCATACCAGCAGCCTTGGAGTTTTTATGAGCTTGATGCATCATCTCTCCTTGCCTGAAGCCCTGTTCGGTCACCTCGTAGGTTTGCTGCACAAATCTCTGCACTCCCATCAGAGCCCGCGCCCCAGCCTGTACGGCCCCGGCATTTTCTTGCGCTATTTGCTGCTTTTTCCATTGTATGTCTTCTTCCTCAGTCATAGCCTGTGAAGACTCGCCATATTCCGCTTGCGGGTCTTGCAACTGGTCCTGTCCAGGACCCGCATACTGAGGTTGCTTGGTCGAGCCGCCGTAGCCTTCAGACAAGCCTAAGCCAGCTGATCCCCCCAAACTTCCGTAACCGCCTTGACTCTGTTGTTGCGAGGCGAGTCGCGACCCATTCTCGAAAGTCGTCTCCGCGGGCTCGAACCTGGCCCTGCCAACACCACCCGTAGCGCCAAACTTCTCCTTCGGGAATCCACCACCGCCCACCGCCAGACTAGGGTCGGCGGACGTTTGCGGGGTCGTGGCCGCAGTTGATGGTAAATCTTTTCCGGGGTAGGGTGAGTACTGAGAGGACGAATGCGGCGAGTATTGCGGCGGCGGTGACTTGTCGGCCGAGACCGTCGAGAACGTTCCTACTCGATTCTGATAACCGCCATTGGGGCGGGGGCCGCTCGGGAGGCCGGACGACTGGGAGACGCTCGAAATGCTCTGGTTGTCGTTGAACTGAGCGGTATTGTATTGGGCGTACTGTGAGTGCGACGGTTCCTGGCGGTAGTGAGACGCCTGAGAAGGCCCGGGATACTCAGAGGACTGGATCGAAGGGGAGGACTGGTTCTGGCCATTCGTCGGTTGCGATTGTTGAGCGTACGGATTCTCCTCAGGCTTCCCCTTTTCGGACTTTTTGAAAAGTCCGCCGAACCTGCCCATGATGCAGCACTGCCAGAAGGCCTAATAGAACGATTGGAACAATTAGAACGTGAATATAACACAGCAAACGGGTGGAAAATTGGAACGATTGGCAGAGGACACAGATGGTTAAGGGGTGGGGAGAGGAGTTGGGGGAAGTTCAGGGGCATTGAAGCCGTCTGGGCTTCCAATGTCTTGAATGCCAGCGACATAGCCGGTGTGGGGCGAAGTGGGACGTGTCCTTGTGTGGCGGACGCTGGACGGCTCTTTGGGCTACCTGACTGGGACTGCTGCATCCTGAACCAGCCTGTGTCTGAGGTCCGTTCCAGATCGCGGCCCGCCGTAAAAGTGGATCAATGTCCAACTTGCGCCTCTCCATGCTGACGACCCTTTGGGCCGCAGCTGTGCTGCCCCAAGGAAAGCTCGCCCATTCGCCACCAATCCCAGCGTCGCGTTGCGCCTGTAAGACGCTTCGGAAAGGGTTCCCAATGCGGGCGGATCAATTGACGTACCTTCTTGGTGTTTGCTTCCTCTCGCTCATCGTCGTCATGCTTCTCCTTCTCCGTTCCCTTCTTTTCCACCTCATCCTTCTTCTTCATCCCCCGTAACCGCGATCTTAGCCTCCTTTTCCGGTTTGTCTGCTCCTCCTCTTTCCCTCCGGCGTCCTCGGCCTTCTCTTTCTCTCCCGCTTCTTCGGCTTTCTCTTTTTCGTCCTTCTCCTTCTCAGACCATTTCTTTTCGGCCCCTGCCCTCCTTTTCTCCGCCCAGAACCGCCATTTTACTCTCTTTTTCTGCTTTACTTGCTCTTCCTCGGCCTCGTCGTCTTCCTCGTCTTCCTCGTCCCACCCGTCCACGTGATCTTCCTTGTCTCCACCCCTCAACCGATTTTGTTTTTTCTCTGTCGGCCAATATGTCGTGTCGTTACTCCCTCTTTGATGCAATTGGCAGGGTCGATTGGGTGGGTCGAGATCGCCAGGCGGGCCTGGCGGCGTCGAACGGTACACCGCCATCTTTGCCGCTCTGCGGCGCCTAGGAAAACACATTGCGCTGAGTTGTGTTGTTTTGAACCTATGTTTGGTTGGTTAAATTGATGATGCATGATGCGATCTAAGAGGTTGGCTTTACTTATGTTCTTTGCATGCAGTTGGTTTAAAGCGCTTCGTTGTGGCGGCCGGTTTCATTGTAACAAATCAACAATAGCAGCGCGTTAAAGAAAAACTTGGCTTTTTGCCGCGGGGTGTGCATTGTGCGGGGTACCTTGCCATCTGAACTTTAACCCAAATCCAACAAGCCAACAATCTTAAGCGCCGAATGCGTCAGAGGGTCGCGGTTCAAAGCCCACTCAGGAAAGCGCACTGTTTCGTCACCTGCTTTTATCGTCGGATACGAGTCACTACCTTCCACTCCAACATTCCCGTCCCACCCTTACCGAATGGATTTCTTCAAACTAGACTTCAGCAAGACCATCATCAACCGCACATAATGGCTTTCTTCTAACTATTTACGCTTCCTCCCGCAGCGGCGTTTGGGCACTCTCTTCGTTTATTTGAGACTGCGCCCTACCTTCGGTTTTTATTTTCGAGCTTGATCGCTCTCGACAAACCCCCAAGATGATACCACGAATACAACAACTTTCTCCCCTTGAAATGAACGTTAATTGTGCAATATCCTTACTTTTATCCTTATGTTGAGACCTGTATACCAATCCACCAATCATCAACTTTCAGTGTCCTAGTTCTTTGTACGCCCTACACCAGCGAACCAAACAGACCTCCTCTTAACACCGAGAACTCCAATGTCTGTCTTCACTTTCGACCCTGACCCGCCCCGGGTTGCATCTCCATGGCTGCGGCCGGGTGACGCCAACAGATCACCAAGTTCGGGCCATCTGGCTGGCCAGAAGGGGACGGTCGGCCTCGGGCTGCTCTCCGACTATGGTGTCTCCAAACTAGAACCCGAGCCCCAGGACGGTCCAACCGAGTATAAACTTCACCTGCTCCTCAGACCCCGCAGGAAGTATGAGAATGTGAGCACCACGGCTCGGATCTCCGGTTCCTCCTTGCCCAGGCCATCGTCCGAAGTAAAAACGTCAAAATCGGCCTCCATCAGCCCTGGACCATCCGCCACTTCGGCCCAGACGCGCCAGGATCGTCTCGAGCACTTGACGACCCAGCTCCTATGGCGATTGCAGCAATCATGCCCTTACCATGCCGGCACTGCTTCTCCGGCGCTTGTCATCCCTCAGCTACCCGACGAAAGCGACGCACTCAATGCGCAGGTCAAGATAGGCAAGTTGGTCCCGGGCTTGGAGGCATCGAGGGGGGCGCTTTACGAAATTGGCGTGGCGGACGATGGAACCCTGGCTGGTCTGACCAAAGACGAGATGGACGAGAGCCTTACTACTCTCCGCATTATGGCCGCCAGCTTGGGCTGTAATGTTGAAGTGCTCCGTATGCTGAGCGTAGGCGAGTGCGAATGGATTGAATCACGCGGCACGGAGGACGCTGCGGGGATGGGGTCAGGGGGCACATTGCGCAGGGCCCAGTTGTGGGTTGTCGAAGCGCTGGTGACGCCCGACTTGCGGCCCAGAGACGAGGCCCAGTCACCGGCCGCCAGATCGCCTGCTGCAGCGCGGGTGACCGAGTCCTTGCCCGACCCAAAACAAGGCCCGCTGACGGCAAATCAGTTGCGAGTTACCTTGACTGGCCCAACGACGTCGGGTAAGTCGACCCTCTTAGGCACGCTCTCGAGCGGGACCCTGGATAATGGCCGGGGCAAGGGCCGCTTAGGCCTTCTCAAGCACCTCCACGAAGTCGCCTCTGGTATCACGTCCTCTGTCACTCAGGAGCTTGTTGGTTACAACGACGGGGAAATCATCAACTATGCTCACAGTGGTGTCGAGTCTTGGATTGATATCCACGACTTCACAAGGGATGGGCGGCTAGTCTACCTGTTGGACTCCGCAGGCCATCCGCGATACCGGCGGACCATTCTCCGAGGCATCGTCGGGTGGGCACCTCACTGGACTTTGCTGTGTATCGCGGCGGACGGATCGGAGTTCAACCCCGCTGCTGGCGCAACGACCGGCCCTCAAGACACTCTGGGACCCGCAAGCACTGGTGTTGACCTTGCGTCTGCCCACTTAGATCTCTGTTTGCGGCTCGGTCTTCCTTTGGTCGTGGTCATAACCAAATTGGACTTAGCAAACAAGTTAGGCCTCTCTGCAACGCTTAGCAAAATCCTGTCAAGTCTGAAGAAAGCTGGCCGGATACCCAAGATCGTGAAAGGAGGCTCACAAAGCGATGCTGACCCTAGCCGGGTGTCCGACCTCGACAGGATAGCCGTCAGGGATGCGCTACATTCCATCGGGTTGGATGAGAACCTGGTTTCTGTTGTCCCAATTCTCTTAACCAGCGCGGTCGATGGCCGCGGTGTGGGCGCCCTGCACGCCTTGCTCCAAGGCCTCCCTTTACCTCGACCCCCAACGTCCTTTGACTTCATCGGTGCAGCCTTAAACCCCGAGCAGCCGGCCTGTCTCTTTCACATTGAAGACAGATTCAGTCTACCTGCGTCCTACGCCTTGGCCACCAATGACGCAGACGAACAAACTGACCTGGGTACCGTCGTAGCCGGGCACCTCCGCTTCGGCAGCCTCTCCATTGGCGATCGAGTCGTCGTTGGCCCGTTCCCTTCCGAAGATGAAGACAGCCATGGTGCGACGCCCGATGAGCGCGGCTTAGCTTTACCTCATAGCTACGGCCTTTCACCCGCGCACCCGTCGCCTTCCGAACTGAGCCGCGTTCCTTCGCGGAACGCAGTGTCGGCCTCGGCGACAAGCGGTGAGTGGCATACGGCTTCCATCGTCAGCATCCGTAACCTCCGGTTGCCGGTACAGACCCTCACCGCCGGGCAGGTCGGTTCCATAGGGATGGTGTTTGACCCGCTCCCAGCAACAGCAACCGCTGGCGATCATACCGGTGGCCAAATTATCAACAACCACCACGGCATCAAGGCCAAATCTGCGCCGGCGCATTCGCCATTATCGGCGACTCCGACACCCACTACCCCGGTCACTGCCTCTGGGATAACAAAACACCCTCGATTACGCAAAGGCATGGTTGTAGCCGTACCCAGTCAGCACATGGTCTCGTCCGGCCTGTCGCTTCAAGCCGTGAGCGGGTTGACAGCCACGTTTGATGCCGAAAACCGCGAGGTTGCGACCCTGACGGCGGGTGTGCTTGTGAATGTGTACATTGCAAGTGTGCGGTCGGCCGCAAGGGTCGTGAGCATTTCCCGTGTAGGCGGCAGTACCAATCATGGAAGTAGGCTGACCACTGGCCAGGAAGGCGAGGCAGATGAAGAGGAAGGGTTGTTTGGACTGACCGAGGAGATCGAAGATGTTGAAGGGAGCGGTCGTCAGGGTCAGGGGCCAGCGACGATAGATGTTGAGAAGAATGGAGGTGTGGAGGTGCATTTTGAGTTGTTGTCGACGAGGGAGTGGGTAGAATTGGGGTCGCAAATTCTGGTGCTGGAGGGCGGGAGACAGGATCGGTCTGGACTGGAGGGGTTTGTGGGAAAGGTGGTTGAGATTGTGGAATAACGGTGGCAGCGACGGAGCGTGTGTTTGACTTTGATTACATGTTGTTTTTTGTTTAGTTGCGTTTCTGTTCTTATTCTCATGATTTGTTATTTACAATAGAAATATATGCACATACCGGCATCAGCGTACCGTTCATCATTGGCGAGAAAGCTTGGAATCTGACGTTTTTGGTATGTTTCCGACAGGCTGGAGAAAGGCCAGCATTGGGAAGTAAAACATCATGAGTTTTGGGACAACAACCTCGTGTTATTTATGGGAGATGACTACCTATTAGCCAAAGGGACGGTCGTTGCCCAAGGCCCAGACCTAACATGTCGTGTGACCCAACATTAAACAGCGTTCCTTCCTCCGGTAGCCCCCCCGCCTCCCGGCCCCCATCTCACCGAGGTCCCGACGCTCTTTCCCATCTCAACCCGCCCACCCTTTATAACCTAGACCCCTGGTGCCTCCTTCCAACTACCTCACCCGCCCAAGCGGCGGCTCCAACATGGTGCGTAGTGCACTTGGGGGGTTGCACCATCAGCAACTCTGCCACTCCGGGTTCGATTCCCGGGGCGAGCATCAATTGTAAAATCTGTTGGTTTCCACCAACGATTTTCGTAGCCCCTCGGCTGGGGTAAGCACGAGGTTACTCCAGGGGCGAGCTTTTTTTGGCTTTTTCTTTTCTACTTAGAATTGGCCCACATTTCTTAGTATTGATTATTGTTTCATCAAATCTTAGCTTGAACATACAACTGGATTTGATGTCCAATATATAAAGTGCCTCACGATTAAGGGTTGTCTTTACAAAAACTCCTGCTCAATGCTCGGAATTGACGGCCGTAGTGCCCCCCAAAAATTGGATTGTTACGTCGTTTTCATATCTCTCTTCCATGGTCTTTCTACCCACATATAGTTCACCAGTCTACCCGAAAGCTAACGCCATGACGCCATCGCCCTTCTCTTTTATAGCCCACTACCCATTTAATCATCGTATCTTCAACTCCCATAGTCATTTCCCCCTCTTGATATTAAGCCCCGAAATAACCCCCTTCTCCTGCCTCGCAAAAAGCACATCCCATCCATCACGCCCTAACCAACCCATAAAACAGCGTCCACGTCAACACAAACCCAGCAAACCCATTCATCAGCCCGCCCGCCCAAACATCATATGCACCACGGAAGTACCGGCTTGTGTCCAGCAACGGTTTCCCCGCGGCCAAAGAGGTAGGCGCCACGCGCAGCGCGTACACAAGCGTGGCCGCGAGCAGGGAGAAGACGAGGTAGAAGAGGAAGCCGGCGTATGACTCGAGGCCGAGGATGCCGGCGGATACGCCGAAGAGGGAGGCGGTGAGGGATTGGAGGTTGTAGAGGGTCTGGAGAGCGGGGTTGTTAGTACATACGTGGTGGGTTTCTGAAAGGCTCGGTTGGAGGCCTGGCCTGGAAAGGTGGTCTGGAGTTGCAGGTTTGTTTCTGCGCGGGGCTGATGGGCCTGGGGGAGGGGGCCAAGGGGGTGGAATATGGGGGACAAACCCGGGTGTTGTGGACGAGCGACTCCTGCACAACTGGAGATATTTGAAGTTCCCGTTCGGATGGCATGGTTGCGGAGGTGTCGGTAAGGAGTCGATTGGTGAGGTAAGCTCTGGATCGTATCGTTCGTCTGGGTGATTAATTCATGTGCGTTTGGCCCGATGACGTTTGATCTAGCATCGATGGGCTGTGATGATGAAGCGCGCGGGCGGGCGGGACGTGCCTTGTTCGGTCGGTTTGCTTGAAGTTGTAAAAAGGCCGTGGTTGCGATGTCAACCGGGCCGCTGCGAGCTTTGGAGCCGCGCCGCCATAATGCAGGGGCTCCGCTTGCTGGGGGATCGGCAAGCCACATGGCCTGCAGCTCATGTGGGGTTCAGAAACGCAGGACCGTGAAATACACATCTCGCGTATGGTAACTTACCGTCACAAACTCATCTGGTCACACCGAGATTGGCTCTGCTGGCATCCTTGCCGAATAACGCCCGCAGCAATTCCATTCTCAGGGGTTGAAACTTTCCAGGAAAAAGAGCCGGCCCACAGAACGATTGGAATGAAGAGCAAAAGTCAAGTGGAACTTGCGTTCTCGGCAACAGTTTAAGGACAATGGCTCAATTGCTCAATACCTTCAATGTGAGCTCAATGCGGCTGTGGCGATGATGGATGGAGCAAGGAGTACAAAGGACCCTGGGTTCCTTTGACATCTGACAAAACGTACGGTGTCCTGTATCTGTAATAGATCCGAGACGAAACGTCGTGTATTGATAGCGAAAGCCGCTGAGTAACAGGGGTTCAAGCTCAAAATCCCCAGCCAAACAGCCGCCAAATGAATTCATTAAATGTTTTGCGGCCTTCCCCCCCGGCGCATGGTGTCATTTACGGTGGAGATCCAAGGAGTTGAACGCAACGAACGCTTCGAGCCGAGGGTCTGATTCCCCCATCCCATTTCTTCGTCTTGTCCCGGCCGCCCACCTCGACCCCGAAACAGAAACAATGCACAACACCCGTCGCAACGGCCCCATTCAACACTAAGAAACGAAACAAAGCCCGCATTCCCGTTGCGTCCCGTCCGATCGCCGCCGCCGCCGCCAGAGGCCTCGACCTGCGCCAACCTTGGGGTCCCGTTCGTTCAACTGGTTTTCGAAACGCCGTTTGCGAAAACGGCCGGGGAACGAGGAATCTCTGGTGTGCACCAAGGCGAGCAGATGGGGGGACTGGTACCATAGCCGCGTGACCACCCAGCAGCAGCAACAGTGTCGCTCATGGAGGCCATTATTCAAGACCATACACCACTTGCCGATTATCTGAAGGGTTAGACGCCGCCCGTTTTCCCTCTTCGTTTTCCCGTTCATCGCCACAGTTCTCATTCGGAGGCTTCTCGACCATGGTATTTCAATCGCTAACAGCTATTCTCCACCTAGACGAAGGCGAAGAACAGTCGTCCTGGATTACGCCGTCCGTTTCGGAGAACCACGATGTTTCGCCACCCCCGAGTCCGTCGTTCGCCCCGGTAGGGCGCCCGATGGTTAAGAAGCGCTTTCGCGCCAACCCGCCAAACCCCTTATCCCTCAACATCTCGCGAAACCGATTGAGTTCGCTACAGCATTCGTGTTCGGTGGGTTACTATCAAGCCTTTAAGTCATGCAAAACAGAGTAGGACATCTAACCCTTGAACTCGTGACGCAATAGAAAGCAGTGGTGTCGACAATAGACCGGGGCGACAACCTCAAATTCATCGAGCAGTTCCGATACACGATTGTCGCGTCGCAGCTGCTGAGTGGGCATTCGATCGCGGCACATCCGAATTATGAAAATCGGCCTAAGGAATCGCCGGACCCTCCGCCAAGCGCAACCGTCCCTACGTCCACGGGGTTGCTTGCCACGGCGGCCGCTGCCTTGGTTGTTGCATGGGTGGCAAGGTGGATTTACACGGGAGGCTATGCGCACTTGACGAAGAAGCGGGTGACCTTTACGGCGTTGATCTTGCTTGCGGTCGGCGCGGTATCGCAGGCCTATTTACGGCAGCAATGGCTACGGTATCTGAGGAACCAAGCCCTAGGCGAAGTGACTACGTTCGTTGCCAGGGCTCAAGATTTTGATGGCGCCTCCAGCGCTGCCTTGTCTCTCGTTCAGGAGGTCGAGCTCGTCTCTCGGGGTTACAGGATGTGAGTCTGCATCTGTGTCGCATTTCCTCGCAGGGTACTAACCTTCATCTAGAAGCGCGCCGCTCCCTCCCATCAGCCGCATTGAGGATAGGTCGCAAACGCGTCGGTGCAGCAGGCTGCGCAAAGCGCTGAAGGTCGGGTTGTCCGACATGATTGAGAACTACGTGCAAATCTCCACGGCCATCAAAGGGTTCGCCGAGCAGATTGACTTGGAGAAGTACCATGACATCTATGATATCAGTGATTTCGACATCTCCGACGCCATGCGAGGATTTTCGGAGGAGGAATTTGATGATGCGGAGTCGTTACGATCTTTGAAGATTGCCGCAGCTCGTTTCCATATAATCCGGAAGCTTTTTTTGTGTTCTCTCCTGGCCTTTGACGCGGCGGGCGACAACAACGACTATTTGCGATGGTCGACGGCGGTGGAAGGACTCAGGACTTTGAACGAAGTAACGTCTCAAAGTTTCGAGAGAGTCCGTCAACTTCTTAGTGAAGAAGAGAGTATGCTAGCCCCGTCCGTAACTGCTTCTACTCGATCGATCACGCTAACGTTGACAGATTTCACCACCCTCGCGGATACCAAATCGCCCTTGTCTCCAAACCGAGAGAAACGACGGTCTCAGTTTATGAAACTGAATTCCCTATCGATGGGCATCCGAGGACTGCAAGCAAAACTGGCTCTCCTACGAGAAGAGTCGGAGAAGACCCTGAACGAAGCGAATGACGTCTCGGACTTGGGGTCCAATCTCATGGCTCAGTATGAGTCCATTGGACAGGACCTGAAGCTGCTGACCCAAGCTTGGGAGGAAGGGAAAGCCGCTCTAGCATCGGGCATCGATCGGAATGAGAAGAGGCTGTCATCCATCAGCACGCTCCTCTCCCCAGCGACATCATTGAGCGGACTCACGACTGTGGATGAAGGCGGAGCGCTGGAAGCCTTCAAAGCCCTGACCGGAGAGTCGCCACCGGCTTCGACGTTCGGCAGCCCAAGGGTAGACTCGGACGAAGCGGAGGTGTTTGAAGCGGTCTCCTTGCCGTCCCGACCACGCAGCCTTCTCACGAGGGAAGAACGAATCGCCAAGATGAAGGAGGAGCGAGATAAGAGAGAAGTGGCTCGGGAACAAATCGATGCGAGCCGCGGCATGCTCCGAGAGCTGGAGACGGTTATCAACCTGCGGCCGAAGCGGGCCACTATGCCAGCACCTTCTCGCGTTTCATTATGACAGTGACGACACAAAAAACAAAAACAGACTAGCCAAGACTAACTATCTCGGCTTTCTTTCTTTCCTTTGTCGCCTTTATTTCCCGTGCATCGCGCTTGCGGCCCGAGTATCTATCAAATATGGGGTTATAGAGCTGGGTGGTTTGTCTTTTTGCTTTTGATCGGGTTGGCCTTCATCGGCGAGCGGCATCAGTTTGATTTTCATCTGGATTCTTAGGGTTCAATCATGGCGTTCCTGGGTCGGGAGTGTTGCGTGCATGCACAGTGGCGAGCATGCTAATTTTTCAGTTGCTTCTAATTAGACTTAAACCGAGTATGTCCCATACAAATCATTGAGACAAAGACTGTGCCATTGTTTCGTTTGCCCTGTGTGTTCGGCCTCATGGTGGAGATTGGATGTGCTGGTTTCTGTGTTTCCTCGCTCATGGAAGTTCTTGTGATCTCATGACCCCCTGAGCCAGGGTCAACAAAGGCCTGCAAATAAACAGGCACCAACTGCCCAGCCCCCACCCACGGTGCTCAGCTCGAGACCGCTGGTGGAGCCCCCCAACCAGGAGGGGTAATCAATCTCAAAGGCGGTGGGCGCCAAACGTCGCGTCGATTTAACTCCCAAACGCGTCGCGTGCCACAGCTTTCTTCCATCTGAACTCAAGCTCTCAACGCAAGAATTCGACTACAAAACAGCCCGACCCACGAGACCCGACGACTTTTTACCCTTCGCACAAAGTTAAACGGATTGTCCTTACACACCTGCCCTTTTTTACACAACCTTCCGCCAACACAATCAGTAAGAAGCCGGCCTTTGTTGCTAAGGGCGTTTGGGCCGCACTGCAGCTTTTGGAAACTAACGGACGGCAGCCATGTTAGAAGCACGATTGGAACAGGCGGCGGTCCTGAAGAAGGTGCGTGATCTCCAAAGATGCACTGCGGTAGTTGAGAAGTCACGCTAACAAGATTTGCGCAGGTCGTCGACGCGATCAAAGACTTGGTGCAAGACTGCAACTTCGACTGCAATGACAGTGGTATCGCGCTGCAGGCGATGGACAACAGCCACGTTGCGCTGGTGTCCATGATGCTGAAGGCCGAGGGTTTCGTGCCGTTCCGCTGCGACCGCAACATCGCGCTCGGTATCAACCTCACGTCACTCACCAAGGTGCTGCGGGCGGCACAGAACGAGGACATCCTTACCCTCAAGGCTGAGGACGCGCCCGACGTTCTTAACCTCGTTTTTGAGAGTGCCGACACCGACAGGATCTCCGAGTATGACCTCAAGCTCATGGACATTGACCAGGAGCACCTGGGCATTCCGGACACCGAGTATGCGGCCACTATCTCTATGCCGGCGGCTGAGTTCAAGCGCATCACAACCGATTTGATGGCGATGTCGGAGTCCGGTATGGAACCTTTTCGAGTAACCGAGTTTGAATACCGTCACTAACACACAAATGCGTCTAGTCACGATCGATGCGAGCAAGGACGGCGTCAAGTTTTCGTGCCAAGGTGATATCGGCAACGGGTCTGTCACGCTCCGCCAACATTCCAATGTGGACAAGCCGAACGAGTCGATCGAGATCGAGCTCAGCGAGCCCGTCCAACTCACATTCTCGCTTAAGTACCTCGTCAACTTCTGCAAGGCCTCGGCCCTCTCCAACCAGGTCAAGATCTGCCTCTCGAATGAGGTGCCTCTGCTGGTGGAGTACACTCTGGCGGGAAGCAGTTACTTGCGTTTCTACCTTGCGCCGAAGGTGAGTGATACCTTGTGCTTGCATTTTATGGGTAGAGTGATGCTAATTGAATTTGTACAGATTGGCGACGAGGAGTAAAGGGACCAGGGCCCTCGGCGATGACTTAAGAACTGATATGACGGACATTCAAGCGTTGACCTTGTATGGATACCGATCAATGACGATCGGACGGAGGTGTTTTGCAACAGTAGATACATTGGCAAGAGTGTCTTCAGCTTTTGAGACGAGGACGATGAAATCTGGGCCGTGTATGGTGATGAAGCTATTTACACCCAATTGCAGACAGACTCTATATCCTTGCACAATTAAGTTGCGGTTGAACCCGTAGTCCCTGCATTAACCATCAACTTGAGTGCTTTGAACCCACCCGGAATTCTGGTGTCAGCGTGGGGCTCACGCCGTGGACGGCCCGTGGGGGATGGCGGGGTAATTCCATGACAACTGCCGCAGAAGGGCGCAGACTCGGCCCCGTTTTTTTCTTTTTCAGCCCCTTTCAACACAGGATTCCAGGTCTTCCGGGCCCACGATCCCGGTTGGTTGTCTCGGTTGTGTTGATTTCGAGTGACTAACTCGGAATAAAAGGTTTGGGTGAGATCGCAGTGGGTTCCTCAAGTCATCCGGCTCACCCGTCTAACGTTCACATATCTCCGCCGACGCTCCCCCTAACCTAGCCGTCTACCGCATCTGGGCATTAGCAGCACACCTCCACCTATGACAAATGGTCTCGTGCCTTTTACTATTTTCTTTAACATCGTGATTCATACTTCTCGTTCGTGATACCCCTTAGACCGACCGAAATCCCGTCCTCCCGAGCAAGTGACAATCGGCTTTGCATACGCTCCTCCGCCCCCGAGCCCCTCACTTTGATTACCAACCCAGAGCACCTTCACGACAGACCACAAACCTCCACTTCATTTGTCCAGATATACCGTCACAAATATGGGAGAAGGCACTCTCGTCCCCGAGACCCGCGTGTTAGCGATTGCCAGTCATGTAGGAGCCATTGGTTGACCTTATTCACTGTTGTTTGGTGCTAATTGGCTTCTCAAGGTCGTGTCCGGGTGAGTCCCTCCTCTGCTCCCGCTGCGTGGTTCGGTCCTCTGTTTGAATGCCGCACGCTCCGATTGCTGGCTGACACGGGTATCGTCAAAGATATGTTGGGAATAAGATTGCTGTCTTTAGCTTGCAGTCACTCGGGTGTGATGTGGCCGCGCTGAATACCGTGCAGTTCAGTACGTTGATCCCTCCCCCTTTGTCAAGCCGAGAAACCACAAACGCGATTAGACGCTCTCTGCTTGCAACCACTTTCTAACCCAGGCATATCTGATTAGGCAACCACACGGGGTACCGACAATGGACAGGCTCGCGCGTCTCGGCCGAGGAAATCACCGATCTCTACAAGGGCCTCACGCAGTCCTACCTGGACGATTTTGACATGATGCTATCCGGATATGTGCCCGGCGCGCCGGCGCTTGAGGCGGTCGGGGCCATCGCACGGGATCTCAAGAACAAGGCGAAGGCAAAGCCGGGGAGCTTCTTCTGGGTACTGGACCCAGTGATGGGCGATAATGGCTCGCTCTACGTCGCGCCGGATGTTGTGCCGGTGTACAAGAGTCTGGCGCACTATGCGGACCTGATTCTGCCGAATCAGTTTGAAGCCGAGTATGTCCTCCCCTCCAGGTATCTTTTCCTCCCTCACAAAGACGCAAGCTCACGGGAACAATCACAGACTCCTCTCCGACGTACCAATAACCGACATGGCCTCGATCGGCCGCGCCATCCAAGCCATGCACACGCGCTACAAGATCCCGCACATCGTCATCACCTCAGTTTCCATCCCACACCCCGATCACCCGACCGCCTCACTCTCTGTCGTCGGTTCTACCATCACCTCCGACGGCAGCGCCCGCGCCTTCAAGATTGTCTTCCCGGCCATCGACTGCTACTTTTGCGGCACCGGCGACATGTTTGCCGCGCTCATGGTGGTGCGCATGCGCCAGGCTGTACACGCCGCGTCCTCGTCTGCTGCTGGTGGTGTGAGCTTGGAGCAGCGGGAGTCGTGGGTCAGCGATGACTCAGTGGAAGCCGTGGATCTGCCTTTAGCGCGAGCCGCGGAGAAAGTGCTGGCTAGCATGCACGAGGTGTTGGGGCAGACGGCAGAGCGGAGAGCGGCTGTGGTGGAGGCTGCTGAGAAGGAGGTTGGAGGAGATGAGAAGAAGTTGTATTTGCTGAAGACGAAGGCGGCGGAACTGAGGTTAGTGCGACACCTGGATAGTTTGCGATTTCCAAAGGTTGAGTTTAGGGCGACTGCGTTGTGAGGTTGCGGAGACGGCGATAGATGGCAAGAGACGGGAAGTGAGAGGTTGGATTACATTTAGGTCAAAATGTTGGTGGATGTAGATGGAGCGTCATATAGAGAGTGATAGACGATGCCTGCGGAGATGATGGCGAGCTCATCTAGAATTCATCTGGAATTGCATCAATCCATGATCTAGACATAAAATCATTGTAGTCTATCCGCGCCTCTTAACAGCCTGCAAGATGCGCCCAGTTCCCGCCCGCAGCATCAAAGCCAAACCCTTCTGCTTGCTACAATACCCGCTCCACTTCGATTCATGCATTGAACCCCAATATCATCTCTAGTTCCGCCCGGTACTCCCAAACCCACCCGCACCACGCACCGTCTCCTCCAGCTCCTGAACCTCCAACACCTCGGGTGTGTAGATACGCTCAACGATCAGCTGCGCCACACGGTCACCCTCCTGCACGGTGTACTCGGTTTCGGCGTGGTTGAACAGCAGCACCTTGACGGGGCCGCGGTAGTCGGCATCGATGACGCCCGCGCCGGTGTCGATAAAGTGTTTCGACGCGAGGCCAGATCGCGGGGCGATGCGGCCGTCTATGGAACGCAAATTAGTTTCGTCCGGTCCATGCATGAGGCGGGCACAGGGCGAGAGGCAAGAAAAGTGTAGACCGATATAAAGGAGATGGGCTAAAACATACAAGTGTCCGCGGGGAGCGAGATGCTAATGTCAAGATCAACAAGTGCCTTGCCCCGCGCCGGGATAGCAGTGGGCCGCGCAGCAAAAAGGTCGTATCCGGCAGCGAAAGCACTACCTCGGGTCGGCAGTTGGGCCTTTTCCGAGAGCTTCTTGACGAGCAGCGGCGGGGGCGGTAGCTTGGCGAGAGAGGCCATGGTTTCGTTGGTGGTCGTGGTGGAATCGTCCGTCTTGATGCGCTTTGCTGGGGGCGAGGTTGGGACAATGGGGTCGTTGGGAGTGCTGGTTGTCTCGGCGGTCATGGTTTGGGCTGAGTCGGGGTTGATTGTTCGAGATTTTTGTTGTTGTTTTCAAGGAGACAAAGTTGCGGTGGGGAAATCGAGGGGTTTGCCGAGAGACGTGTTGAACGCGGACGCGACCGCGTAAAGTGGGTGCGTACATCGGCCAATTGACATAAATACACACCAGGGTCGCGGGAAAGGCCACTGTAAATAACTACAGGCTACAACCAATGCAGCTCCGCTGCCTATAGGAATTGTGACCAAAAGTCTGTTCCAGCATCCTGGAGAAGATGTATTCCCGGGTTGTCTCTTTCGCACATGTCTACACTACTATCAACGTTGAGGACGAATCTTGTATCGATTGGGCGTGTGATTAAGGCTAGGGTCAGATGGGTCGTTAACGCCTTCCGTACTTGTATGCAGTCCATGTGGCCGCCCCCTTTGAAAGGATGGGATGGAAATGCATTAACCAATCGTTGATGCTTCTCAACGTCAAACTCGGCCCCGGCAGCCCCGAGGACGAGTTTAATCCTCGAGGTCCCGCCCAAAGTCAACCAGCCGAAGCTTTCGTGCATCCCTTGGGTGAAATATAGCCACCTTAGATCGGACAAGAAATCTGGCTGCAGCAGACTCCCGGGGGATTTCTACATAGGCCGCCGAGGTCTCCCCGTCTGCTTCTATTAGCTTGTTCATAAGCTGCTCCGTGAGCTCGCGCATATCCGCACCCGCAGCGGCCGCCTCATCCCGTTGGGTTTCCTCCCTCCTGATGGGTTGCCCGTCCTCATCCCGAGGGCCCCAAATATCGTCAATCCTTTGCTGGCGTTTGTCCTGGTCCGGTTCACTTTTGGCTGTTTTGAGTTTCCCATGAGTGCTAAACCCGGCACTCAGGTCGTCCGGGTCGAGATCCATCAACCCTCCAACCACCGGCCCGCCAAGTTCCTCCGCAGCCAACATCGGACCGAGATGCTCGCCGATGAACCAATCCAACTGCTTCATGAGGCTGGATGTCTGCGTAGCCCAGTGGTCATTCTGCTTCTTCAACTCTGCGATGCGTTCTTTGACGAGCTGGCTTTCTGGCTTCTCGACCCTGCTTTCCAGGCCGTCGCGTAATGACTGGATTCGGGCTTCAAGTGCTGTCTGCAAGGCCTGTTGATCGCGGAGGCTGGCTTGTTCTGTTTCTATTCTGCGCTCAAGCTGTTCCTTAGTGGCCACTTGCAAGTCGCTGTATTCGTTACTTTCAGTGGTAGCTTGTTGGGCCCTCCGGATAGCCAAAAGTGCCGGGAGAGGTGACCCGGGCGGTGGTAACAGCGGCTCTGCCTCGGCCACGTCCCTATAGGCTTTCGTCATGATTTCTAAGGAATCTTTTGCCGATAGCCCAGGCCCAAGGGCGGCAACGGATGCCCTCAACTGCCACTAGTTTAGCACAACAGTTGCTTGATGGTACGGCAATGAAACGCACCTGATGCAACGCATCCTCCAGTTGAGCTTTCCTGCTATTGAGCTCCTGAACAGTTCGTTCCAGCCTAGCCTCGTACCCGGCGCTAGGACTCTCGGAGTCATCCATGACACAAAAGCATGCGTCTTCTCCCACCAGCCGATCAATCAAAAGAAAACCTCCAACCTCCAACACTACCCCGTCGTTGGGGTTGGAAAGGAGAGTCAGCGTTTCGCCAATGAGCGCGCCTGAGTGATCGACAGGGGATGGTGCCCGAGGAAGAATCTCGTCTCAACTCCGGTTCTGGGCTTGTGATATCACTTAGCGGTGGGTGGCTTCACACACTCGCTACAATTTGAAATAATAGGGGAGTTGCTTGAATCCGGCGACAGAAATTAACGTGGTATTGGTCACAATCGTGAGACGCTTGAGGAATGAACCAAGAACGGAAGCTGGCAATGTGCCTTGGTTGTGACTTGCTTGTGCCACGGCGGATGAACGTGCGCCACCGCACTAAAGTACTGTGCAAGCATCACTCCCCCATTGGTTGCCTGGTCTGTGCTCATTGGTAGCTCCAACAAGCAAGGCTGCAGCCCGTTGCGATCCTTCCCCAGTTTCATCCCTCTCCTTCCCAAACTTTCTTTCCCCGTTTCTCTCATCAAGCCCCGCGTTCGTCACACCAACTCCGGCGTTTTTGAACACATCGGGGGACAATTCGACGCATTTTTCGAGTGTTTGCGCTGTGGCACTCTTCTCTACCCAAGGCTCCGTCGGTTACTCGTTTGCGACCCAAAATTCGAGAATTCGCCACCGCGCCCAATTTCCCCCGAATACCGCGACGGACCAGCTCCCATCCTCGCCATCCCGTTTCCGCGCGCGACAAATAAGCTTCGCATCCCGAACTATCAGCGCAAGTTTGCAAAACTTGTGGTTGCGCGACTAGGTATTGCGGAAAGGAAAACCGGGTTGTGTTTACTGGTTTGACAGGCAAAGGTTTGAGTGACCTGAGCAGTTCCGAAACACAGCTGCCCTCATTTCAGCGCCCTTCTGCCTCTCACTCTTCACTCCTTTTTCTTCTCATCACCACTTTCTCTTCAACTACACCATCACCCGACACACCACCTCGCCTTCTTTTTTTCCTCAGCCCTCCCCGGATAGTCGCCAGTCATTCGTGCCTTGCACATCTGCGCAAAAGCATCTCGATTAGGGGGCTTGGCCAATTTTTCGTCATCTTCTCACCACGCCTCTCAACACCGCGTTCTCGTCCATCCGCCGTCACTACCCCGTCCTTTCGCACGGCACCCTCACTTCCTCGACCCATCCCGAGCACAGACCTTCAACTCTGCCCGACCCCGTTAAGCACCACCACACCATCCTACCCGGCCCAACCACTACACCTGCACGCACGTTTTCCTTCGAAAACCCCAAAGGTGTAGATAATTGCGAGATATCAATTGAGACCATCGATTGTTCCTACGAACAATATCCACTCGCGACGTGAAAGAAAGAAAACATTCCAGATTTAGCCCAACATGTCTGCTTCGCCCCAGCCGACACACTCCGCGAAGCGGCCCCTTGAGGAGACTTCCTCTCCGTCCGTTGCCGACCAGCCGGACGCCAAGCGACCGGCCCTCGACAAGATTGTCAAGAGCGACGAAGAGATCCAGGAGCCCATCTCAAAGAGCAACGGCGATGCCGCTCCCGTCGCCCCCGTCACGGTTACCGAGGCCAACGGCACCGAAGAGACCGAGACGAACGGAAGCAAGCCCGAGCCCGAGGTCACAGATGGACAAGGCGACACTGTTGTGCCGGACGCCCCCGAGACCAAGCCGATCACAGCCGCCGCAGCTAGCAGCGTGACCCAGAACCAATCCGGCCCGCCGCCGGGCGCCAACGATGAGACCGCCTGGATTCACGTCCGCGCCGTGATTTCGAGTCCCGAGGCCGCTACCATCATTGGTAAGGGCGGCGAGAACGTTTCCAAAATTAGGCAGATGTCTGGTGCCAAGTGCACCGTCAGCGACTACCAGAAGGGTGCTGTGGAACGTATTCTCACCGTTAGCGGCATTGTTGATGCTGTGGCCAAGGTCTGTCATAACAACCGTCTCTCGAGGAGTATGTGCATTAAGTGAGCTAACGCGGTCGCAGGCCTTTGGCTTGATCATCCGGACCCTTAACAATGAACCCCTAGGCGAGCCCTCCAGCCAGCACTCCAAAACCTATCCCCTCCGTCTGCTCATCCCCCATATTTTGATTGGTTCCATCATCGGCAAGGGCGGCGCCCGGATCAAGGAGATTCAGGAGGCGTCCGGAGCTCGTCTGAACGCTTCCGACTCTTGTCTCCCTGCGTCCACAGAGCGTTCGCTAGTCGTGATGGGAGTTGCCGATGCTGTCCACATTGCGACCTACTACGTTGGAAGCACTCTCCTAGAGCAGCTCAACGACCGTTTCGGTGGTGCCGCCGCCTCCGCTTACGCAACGCGCAGCGGCGGGCCAGCCGGCGCTGTGCCTGGTGGCCTGCAGGTGATTCCCTACAACCCCCAGCCGGCCTCTGGCAACTACGGCAACCGCGACAACTACCACCGCGGTCGTCCGGATCCCCGTGGCCACCACGCGCCCCCCCAGCAGTATCCGCCGCAGTATGGCCATCCTCATCAGCCCCACGCGAATCCCGCCGTCCAGATGCCCTATGGCGGTCACGCTGCTGGAGGGTACGGAGCGGGACCACACGTGCAGCCGCACCCAGCTGGTCCTGCCGGCCCCCATGGCCCCGCCGGTCCCCACGGTCCCCCCATCGCCGGTGGCCCGGGTGGTCCTGGTGGTCCGGGGGGTCCGGGTGGCCCGCTCACTCAGCAAATCTACATCCCCAATGACATGGTTGGCGCAATCATTGGCAAGGGTGGCCAGAAGATCAACGAGATCCGTCAGATCAGTAACAGCGTTATTAAGATTAATGAGCCACAAGACAACAGCAACGAGCGTCTCGTCACAATCACTGGCACTGAGGAGTGCAACCGGATAGCGCTGTATATGCTCTACTCTCGCCTCGGTAAGCTCCGAGAGCAGCAACACAACCCAGCTCAGTCCCAGCAACAGCAGCGCTAATGCAGAATCTCTTACCCTGAATAGAAAGCGAAAAACACAGGATCTAACCGAAGCGACCGAACGACCGAACGACCGACCGACCGACCGACCGCACCCACGGGCTCGACTTGGACTCGATCTCGTCGCTCGCTTTTTTCACTTCTCCCGGTATTCGATGGCGTTGGGTTCGATTTGTGTGGTCGAGGGTGGAAAAACTGCTTCTTAGTACTTCCTCAACCTTGAGCTAGCAAGGTCGCGAGTGCTATTTTCTAGGGCTTTTCTTCTTTTTTTCTCTTTTTCTTGCTAGCTTTTCCGGGGTCTTCGTAATGAGGCACTTGCAATTTCTACACTTCACCCAAGTCATTGAACAAGTGTAACACCTCCCTCTCCTCCTCCGTAACCCAACATTGCCTCTGTCCACACGCTGCCCGTGTCCCACACAACCCGTCCCGCTTCTCCCTACTATCGCAACATAAACGACGCCGAGTCCAGCGTCTTAAATACAAGTCTCATAGGAACATGGGACCCCCTGTGGCGGGAGAATAAATGGTTTAAGAGACTTTATTGACTGCTGACGAGTGTTTGCGTGCTAGGCATCGACATCGAGAAATTTAGTCTCGATACAAGAGACCCGACACAGCAAACGAACAGAAGTCGAACGCAAGTGGCGGACGCGGAACCGCCAACACCTTGGTCCTACTAACTAAGTGTCCAATTAAGCCAAATATGATTTGCGGTTAAGAAACGGGTTATAATGACTATTCGACTTCTAACAAAGCATCGTTTAACAACCGTACCGACGTATCCGACTCCTAATGGCTTTTTTTGTTGATTTGATGTTTCTAATTTAACGAGATATACAGACAGTATCGAATCCCATACAATACACAAAAACAAATACAAAACAACTCCACATCGTGACAAGGACCGACTCCTATTTAATTCTTACAACTCCATCAAGTGCGTAGGTGAAGCTTGATCGAAAAACCCTCCAATATGGAAAACGAGCTCTCGTAGTTGGTCTTTTCCCTAATGTATCTACTGGCTAGGACCGCGGACCCAGCTAGAAAGGTCTGTTAGTTACAGTGTCTCATGATACATAAGGTGTTGGTAAGTTGGGAAATAAAAGGCCGAATTCTCCCCCGCCCAGTACCTGTAACGGAAGCAGGAGGCGAAGCGAATCGGCAAGATAAAAGGTAAGATGATAAAAGGAGAGAAAAGGAAAGAGAGAACAAACCTATTCCACATCGACCCCAAAAACCCCGCCGTCGGCCTCTGCTCATTCAAACTCTGCCGCCGCGCCAGCGACGCCGGATCATCCTTGCGCTTCTGCGCCTGGAGCGTCTCGAACAGAGAGTGCGAGGGCCGTCGTCGGGACGGGGAGCTCGGGGAACCGGCACCACCACCGGGGGGTGAGGAGGACGAGGTGGTCGATGACGAAGACATGGACGGCGTGTGCTGGGCCACTGATTCCCGTGCGTGTTGCGCGGCGGAGGTGGCTGCTGCGGCCGGCTTGTGGGCTGCGTTGTGTAGCATGTTGGTCACGTTGTGGCCGGTGCTGGTGCCGGCGTTGCCGGTGGTGCTGCTGGTGGAGCTGGAGGAGGAGGTTGAGTCGGCGCGGGCGGCGCGGAACTCGGAGCCGGAGGGGATGTTGTCGGCCATGGTGATGGGTTGTTTGTTTTGTTTGTTTGTTTGTTGATGGATGGTGTGATTGTGTTGTTATTTGATGGGTGTCAAGTCAAAGCGAGGTGTCTTCGGCAAGACTAGACGTGGCAAAATGGAACAATGGGCGATGAAAAGGTAGGAGGAGGAGCGGGGTTATATGTCACAAGCAAGAGGAAGAGAAGCTCCTTTGCCCAGGGCACGCCATAACAGTTCGACTTACTGTCCACCGCATTGAACGCTTAAAAATCCAGGCCCGGCCACGAATAATACGCAACACCTATCTATCCCTTCGGACGGGAAGTGGCCTTGCTCGCCTCGATCTCCGCAATGATCATCATCCCAGTGCGGTGCTATTGGTATCTAGCACGGTGTCACGCATCAGGGGGGCCAAAGCATGATGACTTCACCAATGGGAGCTTCCAATATGTCGGGATGGTCCAGACATACACAGTAAAAGGCCCAAACCGGTAGACATATTATGTCAAGAGGCGTGCGGGGAACTAGCTTGTTCCTTATTAGCCGACTCAGTTGCCGTCTGGGTATCAACCAGTTAGGAAGATACGGCCCATCAGCGTTTTCTGTCTCTGAGACTTGGTTATTACGTACAACATCACCCGAGATTGTTGTCTCCAAATCAAGAGGGCCGAGAGCGGGCGAAATCAGTCGAGTCTAGGATGGCTGGATGGTTCAACCCAAGGCTTCACCATCCGATGAGTCGAGTTCGTTGCGTTTCGTGGAAGACTTAATAGTAGAGACGGGAACTTTGCTTCCCGCCGAGAACGATGATTATGGCGCCCACGCACCCTGAAGATCCTCTCTCTGTGGAGCTCCATCGCCTATGGCTCACGCGACCGTCAAAGGAAAGGCATAACGTTAACCGATGCCCATGCGGATCGGGGTCGGTTATGATCGAACGTGACGTCATGGCAGCCCCAGCTCAGGTGATCTTGCGCAGGAAACAACCCTTCGAGCTGCCGTAGGAGTCTGTCTCCAGAATGAGATATATTAATGCTTGGCGATTTTCTAACGTACCAGCGGCTTGTTACACTACACTAGGCGACTATCTGTCGTGTGAATGAGCGTGGTCCTCGTCTTCTATGGCCGGAGTTTGGCGAGATGGAGTTGAGATGCCCAGCTGGTGGGGGAAGTTGATGGTTGAGAGCAGTCTGGGGAAGTCCTGATTAGGAAGGTGGGGCACCGTGTAAGTTGACCAGCCCGATGATGGTATGGTCAGGTAAAGAAGAGGTTCCCAAACTTTAGTTGGGAAGCACATCGTGGGCGTGAACTTGGTGGTTTATGGTAACTCGAATGAAGTATAGTCCACTAATTCTGGGAAGCCGCGCTTCGTTCCTCTGAGATACCGAATCAAGTCGAGATGCTCCTTCCTCTGCAGAAGACAGACCCAACCAAACGTGCACCGACATACATTAGGTACCTTACGAGGTACCTTAGGCAGCTGCTAAAATGCGCGTCACCCCTCCTCGCAGCAACAAGACCACAAAGTCACTAACCGACCCTGGAACTCTTTCCCTTGTAATTTCTTCAGCAGAAGACTCTAAGTTCTGCCAGAGCCCGGAACTTCTCTTTACATTCCACTTCCCTTGATTAATCTAGGAATACGGGATACACGAAAGCAGCCAAAATGACAGCCGACCAAGAGGCCAAGGAGTTCGACATCTTGGGTAAGGACGCCCTGGTCATCGGTTCATCGATCTTTGGCTGGACCCTACCCCCTTGCTGACATTCCCATAGAGAACAACCCAGAGGTCATGAACGCCTTAGGCGAAAAACTAGGACTCTCCAAGAAACTAGCCTTCTACGACGTCCTCTCACTCGACGAGCCCGAGCTCCTAGCCCACATCCCGCGCCCTGCCTACGCCCTCCTCGCCATCATCCCCTTAACTAAGAGTTGGCAGCGAGACCGCGAAGAAGAGGACGCCAGACTCGGTGACCCGGTCGCCTACTACGACGGTGGCGAAGCCGCGGCAGGCGGAGACCGACCCCTCGTCTGGTTCCAGCAAACCATCCGCGAAGCCTGTGGTTCGTACGGGTTCGTGCACTGCGCCATCAACGGCGAGGCGGCCAAGTTCCTGGTGCCCGGCAGCACTCTGGATAAGCTGCGCACAGCTGCCCTGCCGTTGGCGAGGGACGAGCGCGCAAAGGTGTTGTATGACAGTGTGGAGTTTGAGGAGGCGCATAAGTCTGTTGTTGCGCTGGGTGATACGCCGGAACCTATTAGGGGAAGCACTAAGCACGCCGGTCAGCACTTTGTTGCGTATGTTAAAGAGAATGGACATCTTTGGGAGTTGGAGGGTTCGCGCGGGGGACCGTTGGATCGGGGTACGCTGGCGGAGGATGAGGATGTGTTGAGCCCTCGGGCTTTGGAGCTCAGCTTGAAGCGTATCCTGCAGTTGAATAGGGATGACCCGGATGTTCGGTTCAGCTGTACCGTTCTCGCTCCGGCGCAGCCTTGATTTTTATGGTGGGCTCAGAAGTTATGAGGACAAGGATGGACGGTAGTGTGGAGTAGGTGGAATAAAGAAAAGCGCTTAAGAAGTACAATTCAGACGTTCTTAGATACCGATCTGAGATCAACCCACGTACGTATCAAGCGTCTCATCTAACTGATCTATTGACAGCCTTATGAAAGAATCATCATATCCAGTTGTCACACAACCTCCTCTCTACCCCCTTCCTCATCCCCCCACCCCTTCCACTTCACAAACCATCTCACCCCATACACCAACCCCAACAACACCGGTACCTCAATCAACGGCCCCACCGTCGCCGCCAGCGCCTGATCCGACTGCGGTCCATACGCCGCAACCGCCACCGCAATCGCCAACTCAAAATTATTACTCGCCGCCGTGAAACCCTGTGTAACCGCATACCCATACCGCCATCCCAGCCTCCGCGCCAACACCATTGTCACGCAAAACACCACCGCGAAATACACCACCAACGGCGCCGCCACGCGTACCACGGATACTACTTGGTGCACGACTCGTCGGCCTTGCGAGGCGAAGAGCACGAGGATGGTGAAGAGGAGGCCGATGAGGGACAGGGGGCTTATGAAGGGGATGAAGTGGGTGTGGTATCGTTTCTTGTCCTTGTCGGTTCCGCGGCCGAGGAGTGGGAGGAGGGTGAGACGGGTGAGGATGGCGGCGGCTAGGGGGATGCCGAGGAAGACGGCTACGGAGGTGGCGACGGTGGGGTAGGTGATTGATGCGGAGGAGGTGGTGGAAGAGGGGGGAGGGTGGGGGTTGAAAACGCGGATGAAGAGGAGCGAGAGAGGGGCGAAGAGGATGATTTGGAGGAGGGAGTTGATTGCGACTAGGATGGCGCAGTAATCGCCGTTTCCGCCGGCCTGGTGGGGAGGATGTGTTAGGCTTTCTTTCTTTTGGTTTTGGGGAGGGGGCCGTGGTAAGGGGGAAGACATACTAGAGAGTTCCAGATCAATACCATGGCGATACACCTCGCTATGCCCACGAGGATGAGACCCTCACGTAGGTCCTGTTGGTCTGGTAGAAAAGCCCAGGCGAGACCAAGCTGTGAGTATTAGTTCGGTCGGTCGCTTGAAGCCGATATATCTGCCCAGCCCGGATAACCACATACCATAAACAACGGCGCTACAATCCAGTTGATGACAATGCTGAACCCCAACTGAATCCAGATCTCCTTCGTTCTGAACACCTCGTGGAGTCTCTCGTATTGTACCTTGCAAAGAATTGGGTACATCATGACGAGAAGGCCGATTGCTGGGTTTTAGGTATTAGCATAAGCACGCGGGAGTTGGCCTTATCGGTTTCGGCTTACCAATGGGCAATGAGACACCCACAAATGTCCCCTTTTGCAGAGCCGGGCCGACGCCATCAACGAAATTTCCCAGGAGAATTCCAATGAGCATGGCTAAAAAGATCCAGACGGCGAGATACCGGTCGAGGAAGCCGAGGGAGCTGAAGGCGGACAAACTGGCGGGTCGTGGTTCGCAGCATGATGCCTCTGGGGGGGTATGTTCGGGTTGCGTTTTCTCGGGATCATCATGGTTTGGGGTTTTGGAGCTGTTGTTGTTTGGTGTGGTTTCTGTGGGATTAAACCTTTTCTCCGTCTCGGGTTGCGATGATGGTGGGTTGGAGGACGCCATTGTTTACACCTGAATTTTCCAAGTTTAAGTGATTGTGTTGTAGGAATTTGTGGGTGGGTATGGCAGTAGTTTTGTCAGAACGGGATCGTAATTCACCACAATCTTGACCAGCAAGTAAGTGAAGTAAGATGATTGGGAGCAGTTGGAAGAATTACCTTCCGCGACTTTAAAATTTTTGATCATATTGTGTCTAAATTAGGTGTTGAATCTTTTTTGGGCCGTTGCCAAGGGTTCTCAAGTCTGGGACAGAGAGCTGCCGAGGCCCATTGACCAATCATAATGAGGCAGTGACATCCTCTTTTCTCGCCCATGCGCTAAGATATCAGAGTTCCTGTTGTCTTTTACACAACCCAAGTTTTTCAAAATTTCTTGAAGAGTTCGTCGGAATTTGACTTCGATGTTAAGTGACTAATCAAAAAAACGCCGGCTGAGTAAATAAGTGCAAAATAATTGGAAGAGTCTGGTTGTACGACGAGATATAATTTGCACATTTATGGATAATTAATGAAACATGACTCTATCAACACTTACGGACCACCTCGAATATCGGAAAGCAGCCAATGTCTGTTGCTTCCTGCTCCTGTCTCTCTTGCCAGCTCGGAGTAATTCTCATCTCAGGATCGTGAAATTCAGCGAAGCTGTCTCGCATGGCTAGCTGATGAAAAGCGAACCCAAGTCACCGCTGTTTACAAAGCTCAACCACACAACGAGGGTCAGAAGAGACGATGCTGCATAAATTCTCCGTGGCCTTACCAAAGCTCATCACGTCAACGCCGGGTGGGTTTCTCAGATGACCCCACAGAAAAGATTTGCGAGACAGTCGGTCGTGTCGCTCAGGCGGGCAAAGGTGTGCGGGAGGTTTTACTTTTCAGGGTGTTTACTTCAGGGTGGTTTGGGCCGTGGGTCCCGGATGAACGGTGTGTTGTGCCTGTGAAACGGGACAACAAGGCTTTTAGAGGCAACAACACTCGGGAGGTGTGTGAACACCTTCCCCCGGAAGGGAGAACCCGTAAAACAGGTCGGACGTGACGAGTTAGTGAGCGAGCATTCGGGAGAGCTGAGCCCGAGGTGGCGGCCGGACAGAGGACCAGGCTGACTGAGACAGCTCCAAAACCTGCGCGATGCCTTGTATCCCCCGGAGCCTTCTTCTCGAGTGTTTCTCATGCAGCCGGCCGACCGGCAGTTTTGGAGGATGACCCGGAGATTGGGGGGAGGTGGTTACACCACAGACGGATTGATGCTGTACATGGGTGACACACGGTGATACAGAGCAAGGAGCATTGCCTGGGAGCCGAGACCTGGGCTGGGAATGGGCTGGTCGATGGCTGGCTGGCCGCGTGGTTTCCAAGGCTGGGTCGAGGAGGACGACAAAACATTCGGGAGGAGAGTGTGCGCGCGGGTGAGGGGCAGACACACATACGTAAGCTTGTTGACGACATCCCGACGGACCTCCCCCAAGTTGTTCCCTTGGAGGTCTGGTGTCCGATTTTGACTTCCCTCCACCCATTCTCTCCACATCTCCCAAACACCTCCACCATCGAACGTCGAAAAGAGGAAGAAAGACAGCCGGAAGAAGCTCCTCGGCTTGGCGTAGAATGGCGTGCAGGCGAAGGGTCGCTAATGCACGGAAGGGGAGCGGTTGGGCCGGCAGCAACCGGATGTTTACCGCCCCTTTTTCTGCTTCTGGCAGCGACGAAGTGGATCACCGGCGGTGTTGAGCTGTCTCTAGAGGTGGGGTGGAAAAGGGACCCTGAAACCGTCAACACCGTTTTTGAGCTCTATGACAGAGAGGGATTTGAGGGCCTCATCCGTGCTTTGACGCTTTTCTCTTTTTAGAGTAAGTTGACGGCGTCGGCGATGTGTTTGACCCCCCGCGTGGCGTCTGCCAACGCACCATGCAGGCGTAACGAAATGGCAAGAGACCAATATAAAGTAAATAGAAGACGTACTACATTTGAGACATGACGAGCGAATTGAGTTGGAACTGCGGTCCCATTTACCTTGAATCTTTTGACGCCGTCCAGGTGGGTGGTCAACAGGTGGTCAACAGGTGGTCAACAGGTGGTAGTAAGATGTGCTTGTCGTGTTCGGTCATCGGAACGATAGCCTTGTTGAGACAGTCGCACCCGGAAGTCGATTTCGGGGACGGACACCCAAAGCTGCGGGTTTCGGTGGGGGTTCCCCACCCCTTTTTTGGGCTTGCAAAGGCGAGCCTTTGGATTTTTCCGGTAGCGAGCGAGGTTCCGGTTTGAGGATCTTCGATATGGGGCGATTTGCCGAGGCCGGAAAACCCGCTCTCGCGACACGACACTACTATAGTACACTACGCTCGGCGCGAGGTTCCTCGACCCGGGAACGGCGCCCGAGCCCACGTTAGTTTAGTCAGTTAGTTACAGGATCGATCTCGCCTGCTTGATCCGCAACCGCAACATGTCGAGATGGCCTCACCGCGCATCTCCCGTTCTCCATCTTCCTCTTTGCGCCGTTTTGCAAAAGTTCCCGAAGGATTTGCTCTCCCACTTTGCTATGACGGAACGGTTACTGGATGCGGGTTGTCCTGCAGCTAAAAAAGCTGAGCGCGTTTGCCACGTCGCAGATTATGAGCAACGATCACGATCGAAAGGACGGGACGAAGATTTCCAGCCCTTTTCGGCTTCCCCTCCCACGCATCTCCCTCCAAGCCCCGTTAACGTCGCATCTGCCACGAGGGTGGAGCGATCCACGAACCGCCTGGCTCAGCTCGACCAGCATCTCGCCTTGGCATCCGGCTCGCTGAGCGAAAACGGGAAGGGCTGAAGCGTCTTTCATCGACCTGTGTCGAGCTTTTTTCGCGATCATCTGGGGTTGGCTTCCTCCACGTTGCCGACCGACTGGCGGGCCGCTTGTCTCTGGCTAGGTTGTTTGGGAAGAGGTCGGGCGGATTCGCCGGACTGGACAGCACGGTCGTTTTGAGGAGGTTAGGCTTACCAATTGTTTTTCTTTGCTTGGAGTGCTGCAGCTTGCGAGTGGTGTGCCCCAGTCGATGGATCTTCTCGTGCAGGTTCCCGTGCAAGGCGACCGACGAACGGCATCGACACGCTCTGTTGCTTCTGTGACGGCCCCTGGCAAGCCCTGACGCAGTGTGTCTTTTTAGCCCGTTCTGACCACCGCCAGGAACACCCCTCCTCACCGCCCGGTAACGTCCTTCGTGGCTTCCGTCTCTGTGTAACTCCCCGCCCGGTGTGGCCGTTCGCAACATCCCCAAAGAAACACACATGGACATAGACACCCCGCCGCGCCGAGTCCGGGTTGAGCTTCCAAACCTCGAATGGCCATCCTACATCGTAAATTACCTGTTTTTGAATTGGTCAAGCGCCTTGCTCCAGCAACAAGACTGCGCTCGCAGCCTTGCCCTAGCCTCGAGTCACATGGGTTATCCCAGCCAGCTGTGCCAGCCCGTGATAAAAGATGCAGGAATCATCAGCGTTCATCAACATACGGGATCGCACTCCCCGATTGCGCCAATTCGCGCTCGGCGGCCATCATCAGGGGTTCGGCCGGCCGGTCGGTCGCCAGTGTGGCAGGCCGACGGTAACACACACGCCATTCATCCCACACACCCGAGACGGTTTCTCCGGAATCAACCGCCCTGCGATCGCCCATGTTAACTGCCTTCATGGGACGACTTGTGTTGACTTGTGTGAAGCCGAATTGCACTAGCGTAGCGCCCGTGCTGCCGCACACCGATGCGCTGGAAGCAATTGGCCACCGGAGGTTGTCTCGTCCCAATCTGCGTCAACAACGCGGTCAATCTGTGAATTTTTTTTTTCCCTCAGAGGAGCCCGCTGCGCGCTGCGCGCCCCTCTCCCTTGACGCCCCTCATTCTTGACACCCCTCCATCGATTCCCCTGGAGCTTTCCCCTGGAGCCAAGCCAGGAAAGCGCGACCGCCAAAGATCTCCACCGAAGCGCGCGGCGAGTCAAGGAAAGACCTACCTGAACAAGGCCATCAAAGTGGGCTGATCGGGTTCATCTCACCTTTTCTATCCGTGCTCTTTTGCGTGTGTGCCTGCCCCTTGCACTTGATCCGTATTAAACTTGATGTGCGCCTTCCCAATCGACCCCCTTCCCCATCCCCCACGCGCCTTTGAACTCGACCTGTTTCTCTCCGTCCGAGCCTCCGTTTCCGATACCTACCGTAAATCCAAACATCCCTTCCAACAAATTCATCAAAGCCTCCAAACAACTGGAAAAGGTCTCCGAGGCCAGGTGTTGCGAGCCACAGCCATTTGTTTCGCCGATATTCAATATTTTTTGAGATTTGCGTATGCCTAGCAGCACCACAGCGTCATCACTTCGATAATCCTTATCTTATTCCTCGCCCGCGCCAGGGGGTGATTCCCGTTCCAGAGAAAATGTTCTGAGTGTGGATCGGAACCCAGCAGCGTCGCAGCAACAGCTTTTTGATCGAAGAGGCAGAATTCCCTGATTGCAACCAACAATTCGGTTCCCGGCTGAGGCGGCAGGCAAAGAGCACCGTCTTTTGCCCCCCAACACCCTCGTCCCTCAACGTTGCACCGCTCGCAGCGCTGAAGCAGAAGCACCACCAGCAGCACATCAACATCCCTGCCTGCGTCTGCGCACGCTGTGTTGTGTTGTGCTGTGCTGGGTTGTGCTGTGCGGTGTGCTGTGCTTTGGCTTACGCCGCCCGCAGCTCCCTTCCTTTCCGTCCCATCTTGCGCCCAACGCGGGCCCTTTCTCGCCAGGTCCAACCTTGATCTTCGGCCCTTGGTCTTTTAGTTCTGAGTCCGAGTTCTCGGTTCAGTTCCTGCTTTCCCTCTTCCCGGCAGAGCTGAGGAACCAACAAGCGGACGAACCACTGGAGACCACGACCGAAGCCGCCTGCTGTGTTGTGCAAAGAGTCTTGTTTTGGGCGTCGACTGTGTCTGTGCCATGCAATGAGTGGTTCAAGTATTGCGGTGGCCTCACGGGCTGTCGAGTCCAGAACGATGTCGCCCTTCCATGCCTCCCACCCACCACCACAACCACAGAACCGACCGGTGCTCACCGGCCGTGCCCTGCCCAAACCCCCGCCTTCCGCTTCCAGCCTGGATGCTGCTCCGGTCGATCACTCCCCCGGTTTCAAGAGCCTGCCGCCTCTGCCAGGCTTGGCCGCTTTTGATATCCCGTCCTTCGACCTTGTCAGCGAGTTCGAGAGATCCTTCAGCTTCTCCTCCGCATCCTCGGAAACCACCGCCAACGCCGTTGTCGCAGCCCTTGCCGAGAAGCACAAGACCACCACCACAATCACCACTATCGCAATCCCTCAGCGGCCCGCCACAGCAGTCGACAGAACCGTCCAGGTCGACTTTACAGGCCAAAACGAAGCCGTGGGCGAAACGGTAACCGGTTCCACAGTGGTGGGCGGCCACGCTCGCAACAGGAGCAGATCAATGGTCGACCGTCCACTCTCATGGCTTCCGGGCTCCAAAACCGCCCCTAGTGTGGTGGTTACGGAGGAGCAAAGCCCTAAGCGACTTGCAAAGCAGAATGTAGCGGCTTCACAAAACGGCACGACACCAGCAGGCAAGCCATTGGAAAGATCGCGGACCGTGGAGTCGTTCGCCGACTTTGCGAGACGGTCTTGGATCTCGAAATCGAGGTCGCCTTCGCCCCCAAGCAGCAAACCGGACAAGTCGCGGGGCACCGCGGGCCGCACTCTCTTTGCTGAGAGCTCGGCGACCACACCCGCCAACACCGTTACCGCTGCCGATGCACCGAGCGGCAAAAAGAGCGCGCTAAACCGGGCCAGTATCTACCTGACGAGAATAAAGCAGAAACCCCAGGCCGTCTTTTCTCGAAATTCCGCGTCTACCACCAACAAAGCCCCTGCCGAGGGGGGCCAAGCAACAAGCGACTCCGAGAGCGTCACCCCCACACCCTCGAGCCTCAGCCTTCCAAGCCCGGTGCTCCCCACAAAGAATGCTTCTTACAATAGTGTCAGCTCGTCCACGTCTCGTGCATCCTCGCAGGCTCCATCCGTCGATACCGAGGCGGATACCGACACAGCGACGGCTAGCAGCACGTCCGAGATTGCATCTCACTCGACCGTCGAAACCAACCTAACAATGCCTCACCCGACCTCACGGGACCCTCTGTGGGCAACCTACCGCACGCTCGACCTGGAGTTCTCGAAATTTGCCAGCAAGGGCTCGACTACAGGGCGAATGAGTGTCGTGCGCGCCATCCTAGTGCCCTTTTTGCGGAGCACGGCATACCACCCGTCAAACTCGAACCGGTCCATTCTAGCCGCCGAGGACGTCGACCGCCGAGCGACCATCTTGAACAAGTGGTGGAATGGCCTTTTGGCGATGCTTATCGGCGCCAATTCGAGGCTCCCGTCCGGGTTTGGCCAGGGTATGGCGGCTCTCGGTGTGAACTTCCCAGTGTTGCAACCCGTGGCAGGCGTGGATCGCCCGATCCTGCTGGAAGCGACCACTATGATCATGATGCGCCCGGAGTGGAGGGCTTGCACAAGCCAGTACCAGCCCCTGGACGAACGCTGCTCGCAAGAAAGGGTCCGCCCCAGGTCGGGAACGCGCTCGAGCGTGGACACCGACCCCGATTCGCTGCTTGCTGAGTCGGCCGAGCACAACATCCGAACCATGTTTGTTGCCAACCTCACGACGCAAATGGCGCTGGTTGTCGACAAACTGTCGCTTCGGCACGCGCCGATGAGCTTGGTCAATTGGTGTGGCAAGGCGTGTGCCTACGCTTTCTTCTTTGTCCCGGGCGTTTCGGACGTTCTTGTTCGGCTGTGGGGGTTGAATGCCGATCTGCTGCGCAGGGTGGCCGACGAGTTTGGGTTGCCGAGGAGGAGCAAGGGAGAGAGTGACGATATTGTTGCCCTGTTCCCGTCACACATGCACAAGCTCGGCTGGTCCTCGGTCAAATCCCTCGGGGATAAGTTGCGAGTGGCTGCGAAACTGCCCCTCTTGCTTGCCAAAATTCACTGGCACGGCCCTTGGATGTCGAGGTGGCGTGGCGGGGATACCGACCTGGTGTTCATCTTCTGCAAGTATTTTTACATTCTTTCGCAGGACTTCATGCCAGAGGGTCTCCCGCTCGTCGAGAAAGCGAGGTCTCCGGCGTTTGTGCTGGTCCATGCCCAGTTGCTGTCGATTCTGGACAGCACCATCTGCCGCCAGGCCTCGCTCGATGCTCTCCTCGGGCCACCCCTTTCCGACACTCTCCACGGGGCGGACGCTGCCCTCACAGCACCGCAGCTTCCGAGCAACCTGATGAAGGGCATGGATGAAAACCGGCTGATAGTTTTGCTGAGGGACATGTTGTCGGATAAAGCTTTCGGGGTGTTCCAGGAAGTCAAGCAAACGTTTGCTGAGGCGTTCTTGGCTGTGACGAAAGCTGCTGCAAAGCGGACGCCGCGGTTCGAGCACGCATCGTGCTTCATGTTGTGCGACTTCCTCGAGGAAGCCCTCCTGGCCCTTGACACGTTCCAGACGACCGTGAACACCAGCATTGCAACATCACCGATGGAGGGCAGTGAGCCCTCCGATTATTTCACAACCCCCAGCAGCCCGACCAAGGCCATCGACTGTGTCGATTGGCCGTTCTGGTTTGACGTGGGCAAGATAATCATGGACTCGAACAACACCATGTCCGAGATCCGCATCTTATCCTTTCTCTATTCAATGTGGGATTCTATCACGGCGGACCCCGCCCGCAAGGAGGCCGTCTGTCTCGACTGGTTGTTGTCTGATGAGATCTTTGCCAAGTTCTTCAGCCACTGGTGTCCGATGGTGCGAGCCTACTACATGCGCTTGCTGTGCTGGCGGATTTGCAGAGACGCGGGGAGCTCTAACGAGGTAGACGTGTGAGTCGACTCTTCACCTTTTGCTGTAGCGCTGTAAAACATCAGAGCTGACATGTAGTGAACAGAAAAATCTTCCTTGTTGTGTCACAGCGGTTGAGGACGGTCTGGTCACACTACCTCTGGCTTAGGCAGGACGCCGAGCTTAAAAAACGGGTGCACCCATCCACAGCGCCCGCGTACCCGGCACCGGGCAAGCGGTTCTTGATCATTCGCAGCGAGGTTCACCCCCCGCAACCCTCACACCGGCTCGGCTTCGACTCATCTGGCACTTTCCCACCTTTGGACTCGTTCGACCACATTGTGCCGACCCAGGTTAACAACGATGACAGCTCGCCCGAGAAGGAGAAGGCGGACGCGAATCTCTCTTTCAAAAAGAGATGGTCACTGCTCGGCAAGGTGCTCCCGTTCGGTCCAATGCAAGAGGGGCCAAAAGAGACGAAGCGCACTTGGGAAGAGGAGCTGGAACAAGCTCGCCGCGATACCGCCGCATCTCGGTTGACAGCCCGAGGTGGGAAGTGGAATGCCTCGCACCTATCAGCCCCGCCCACTCCGCCGAAGCAAGGGCCTTCAGGCGGCGTGACGCCATCCTCGAATTCGGTGTCGTCGGTTGGGTCGGTGCCTACTTTTGATGCTACGACGTTTGTCTTCCGTTTCACACTCACCTGGCAAGCCGGTCCCGGGGGTGGGCCAATGCCGTGCCCGCCTAGCCGCGACCGTATCATCACGCGGCCTCGCCTGCCTGCGCCCGCGCAGTCCCGGGTTAGTGTTCGCACAGCTGGCCAGACCAACGTTTCGGCGACAAACGGGTCCTTACCTTGCCGGAGCGACAGCCCACCACCGCTCTCGCCTGGAATGCCGCCCGAGACGCGCCGGGTCAGCGGTTTGCTGCATACGGGATTGATCAGCGAGGCCCGGAACGCCCGGCCCCTATCGATGATCGATAACGGACCTCGCAAGTCGTTGACCAAAGACAGTGAGAAGCGGTTGTCGTTGAGCATCAACATTGCGCCACTACGCTTGGAGAACGACCACGACAACGCGGGTGATGCCGAGAAGGGATCCGATGGGCGAAGTGTGCAGTCCCCGGCCAGTATCGTGGAGTTCAGCGGTCTGGATACGGATTCGACCACACCTTTGCCACTGCCGGCTCCAGCGGTCCTTGCTGAGCGCCCCACGGGTGTCTATGCGCCTGCGGCTGTGTACGCCGGGCGGGCTCTTGCCGAGTGGGCACTAGTGGTGAGCGAATGCAATAACTTCGTGGACCGCCGACGTGATGAGGGCGTGCTGGGTTTGAGCGATGTTGAGGTCCCGACGCTGAGCGTCGATGGCCTGGGAATGCGAGCGCGCGGTTAAGCTGCGCGGGAAAACGGACGGATGGGTTCAAAACCGTCGTTCGATGCCCCGGCCGGCTGGCCGGGAGTGCATATGGAGTTTCACGATCTTTAACCATATGATTTGTTGTTACAAGCCTTGGTCAGGCCAAGACGCCGACGAGGCGTGAAGGAGATACCCCGGATATTTGGATGCATCTGGCTTTTGGGAGCGCCCCGCAAAGACACATACACTTTTCCACCATTACCATATCATGATCGCCGATCGCAGAGGTTGATCGGGATCATTTGTTGATTACTTTTATGCGAACTGGACGGCCGCAGGACAGGGAGACAAGCAGGAGTGTCATCATCATCATCGGCGTCGCTATCATCTCACTTTTTCTTCACATCATTTTCAGCATCTGCATCTTACAGCATAAGCGACAATCAATCCTTCTAATCGCATTTCTTCCATCCAAGGGGACTTTTGGAGATTGGCATTGGGGAGAGCTGGCACTTGATTATTGAACATACACACCACGCGGCCCATTATCATCGCTCAGGGTATGGCTCAGGGGATGACCCAGAATAGGGGGGTTACGCTGTTTACACGTCGACCGTATATATACATTCTTCACAAAAATGGCCCCAAGCAGGATGGCCATGTTGCATTGCCGGCCTTGGTTTTTATTTTTTATTTTTTTCTTTACTCGTACCTCGTACGCGCTGTGGTTTACGCACGGAGAGAGCGAGAGAAAATGAGGAGCAGAAGACATCAAGTCAAGGCGTTGTGTTTTGGAGCGGCTCGGGAGCTTGAATTCTAGGATACGTGGGATTATTATTTAGAATGGGATGGATCCGTGTGTTTTTGTGTTCGTGGATTTCGTTTGCATTTGGTCTATGGTACTGGGGCGTTGATATCCTGTTTTTCTTCGTCTTGTCTTCTCATCTTGATTTCGATCGACTACCACTACTTATCTTATTTGGGGTAATGACAATACTTAATGAAAGCGGAAAAAACTCTTTTTCTTTTTGAGAGAAGAGTTGATATTCACGCTTTGAGTTACAATTATTTGGGCTTTTTTGGTTCTTGAGTTTGGTATTGCTACTGCGGATATTTCCCAACCCAACGAAAAGCGGCGTTCTCCTATTCATAATCTAGTTACAATGTATACCCTCGGCACAATACGATGTGGGATCGGGCGGTTTCCCACTTTTGCGTTGTTTGTTCGTTTCGGTCAGCGCTAGCTGGGTTGAGTGGTCATTCCGTGTGTGTGCGTGTGTGTCCAGCGTCGGCGGGTTGGAAAAGGGGCGATGGCGATGATACATGATGATAAGCTTGGAGCGTGCGGCGTGGTGCGTGGTGCAGGAATGGTTGGCTAGCTATGTGGGCTAGAAATTTGGTCCTGTACGTAGATAAGGGATTGAGTCGGTTGTGTGGGGAGTCGGGTAACTGCGTAAGGGGTCCAGTCAGGGTTGATACATATGGACTACTAATTGGAAACGTAAAATAATTGAATGGTAGAGCATTAAAACCCAGCCTTGGTGCATTTCTATAGATAAATACCAGGAGGTCTTGTTTCTTCTCCATGTCGAAATAAGGATGAGGCAACGTTGATCAAAACTGTGCCCATCAAAAGACATATTGGAATACGCGGTCAGCGTTGAGTGTCTTATCTGTGGTGTGCTGCTCGTGATTTTGGAGTTCGTGTCGTTGTAGAAAGTGAAGCGGGAATAGAGTGCAAGCATCAGTTAAATAGGGGGATGGCTGCCGTGCACATTGAAGGGCGCTAGAGAAAACACAGGATAGATATCAGGACCTGGATATGGACAACGAGTAATCCAACAACTCCAAAGCCACCATCCTGGCTACTATGTTAGATCCGCGATAATGAAGGAGAGTGGCTTGTGAAACAGCCGATACGGAGTCCTACCTCCCGAGTTTGAGCCAGATCTTCTCGGGCCGAAAGTGCATCCTGTCAGTCTCGATATTGTCCGTAGCAAGGGAGGGAGTACATAGTAATGTCATGGGTCCGGTGATACATACCCCGGCGTCAATCCGGTCTCACTCGTGCACACCATAGCAGGGGATCTGTGAATGAAGTCGTAGGCTCATAGGATAGGTGACATGAATGTGACTCCCTGCTTTGCTTGATTGTTCGTTCAATGGGTTGATGGGAGTGTGTCGAGCCCGATGGTAGCCGGGTCCCCCGCACTCATTGGATATCACATCACTTTCTCAATCAAGGTCACGTCGCTTACTCACAACGCAGCAGCGAGAGAAATTTGGGACGAAGAAGTGGAAAGATTTTTCCTTTTTTTGAGAGGGAGGGAGAGAAAGAGAGAGAGCAACAGAGATCTATTCATTCATTCACCTGTGCCATGGTAATTCGATATGCCCGTCCGTAATGAACATGAATGTCGTCTCCGTAACAAGCCATCATCTCCATATCCCCGCCTCCCGGGGATTATCCCCCATCTCATTCATGTATGTGTGATGCAACGATGCGAGTACGCTCATGCCTTTCTTCCGTCCCGCGCTCCTAGCCCTGCTAAACCCTTGCTATGGAGATAAATGAGGAAATGGGAAAAATATGCAGAGGTTGAAAAAATGAAATTTCGCCATGTCGTGGTCTATCAGTAACACGTTGTCATAGATATTCACACCCGTAACGCCTGTATCGTTTTTCGTCCGTTTTCTTTTCTTTCTCTCTCTAAACCCAAAGCAGGCCCTTTTTAAGCCCCGTTTGTTCCGTTCGACCCATTAACACCATTCTCCGCCTCTGCTACGGCCTTCTCCAGCGCCTGAAGCACATCCCGCTTCAGGTCCTCCGCGTCCTCGACACCGCAGCTGATGCGGACGAGATCGTCGAAGACACCCACAGCCTCGCGCTGCTCGCGGGGGATCCCCGCGTGTGTCATGCTGCTGGGCACCTCGACGAGCGACTCGACGCCACCGAGCGACTCAGCGAGCGTGAAGATGCGCGTGTACTGGCAGAAGCGCTCGGCCGCGGCGTGGCCACCACGGATGCGGAAGGAGAGCATACCACCACCCATGCCGGCGCGGTGCTGCTTGAGGGCGATGGCGCGGTGTGGGTGGGAGTCGAGGCCTGGGTAGTTGACGGCCAGGACGTGGGGGCTGGCTTCGAGAGCGTGGGCGACTGCCGTGGCGTTGGTGGTGGCCTCACGGGCTCGCAGGTGGAGGGTTTTGGCGCCGCGGTGGGCGAGCCAGGAGTCGAAGGCTGACGGGACGGCGCCGAGAGCGTTTTGGAGGAAGGCTAGGCGCTTGTGGAGGTCGTCGGAATTGAAGGCGGCAACACCCATGACGACGTCGCTGTGGCCGTTGATGTATTTGGTGACGCTGTGGACGACGATGTCGGCGCCGTGGTCGAGCGGGTTCTGCACGTAGGGGCTCAGGAAGGTGTTGTCGACCACGACCATGATGCCGTGCTCGTGGGCCTGGGTAACGACAGCGCGGATGTCGACCAACCGCAGGGTCGGGTTGCTGGGGGATTCGATCCAGACCAGCTTGGTAGCGTCGGTGATGTGATCGCGAATATCAACCTCGATCTCGGGGGTGAAAGTGACCTTGACGCCGTGGGCCTTGGCGACTTGGGTGAAATACCGGTGGGTGCCGCCGTAGACGTCAGACACCGAGATGACGTGCGAGCCGGCAGCTAGCGACTGCAGGATGACGGTGGTGGCGGCGCTGCCGGAGGAGAAAGCGAGTGCGTGCTTGGCGTGCTCGAGGGCGGCCACCATAGTCTCGAAGTTGTTCCGGTTCGGGTTGCTGCTGCGGCTGTACTCGAACTCGCCGACTGGCTTGCCGACTGCGGTCTGGGCAAAAGTCGTGGAGAGCGAGATGGACTCGATCACGGCCCCGGTCGCCGGGTCATGCGGCGACCCGGCATGCACCGCCAGGGTACCGAAGCCGTGGACCGGCGACGGCGCACGAGGCGGGGTGGTGATAGGCTGGTCGGTGTGACCTGTCATGGCGCCGGCCGTTTCTTTTTTTATCTTCTTTTCTTCGGAAGCCGGAGCTTTACAAGGCCCGCGGATTGGGTGTGCACGGGGTTTGCAGGCGGCGACGACGACGGCGAGGGCTCTGTTTGGTCAATTGATGTCTTGTCGCGGCTGATGCTGAAGTGTTGTGGCACGAGGAACGTGGGGGTTTGGACCGTTGAAATATGCTGCAGGGTCCTTGGAGGGGCTGAGAAGGGGCGTAGGAGGGGTTGTGCGATTTATCCCGAGAATGGTGCAATGTTACAAAACCCGCAGACGCCTCTCTCAGATTTTCAAGTTATCGGTCCCTCTTGTTTAATTTTTTTTCAACCTCATACCTTTCGACCCCGCTCTCTCGTAACGGCGCGCCCTTCTTTTAACCACCAAATCCCTGACCGACGGTTTTTGGTGCCGCTCTGGAGTGGATTCGAGATGGTCGCACCTAGTTCCATGGCTTTCGGATGGCGAGCGCTGGATGGTTGATTGCTCATCTGGATTTCAAATCGGTGTCGCAATCAAATCGACCACGCAAACCAACTTGGAATTGTCGGATACCGGATGCCGTTGGTTGCAAACTCGCCGGTCTCTGCTGCATTGCATTACCTACACCGGCCGCATCTCACTGGGCGGATGTCGCCGCTGGACTTGGCACATGTCCATCTTTGTCGGAACGGCCATGGAGCGCATCCCGGAAAGGAAGCTGTTGACGAACGGGCGAGGACACGACTTGCGACACCGGCCCACACGTCCATCCGTATGCGTGTGCTCTGGCGGTCAACGTCCACTCGTTGTGTTGACTAGCAGGACGGCGTCGAACTTGCAGAACCTGAGAGCCGTGGCAAGCCGGAGAACATGGATCGGTAATCGGGTTTGACGATGAGATCATCTCGGGTCTGCACAGATCTGGAAGCCAATGGCCTCTTGACCCGCTCAGGGTCGCATTCCGAGACACCAGTTTTGCGGGGTGGAAGCGCGAGAGACGGCTGACAAACTCGTTTCAACCTAAAAATAGGGTCCATTGGCGGTGATGCGCTTGCTGACAACTTGACAAGACAGACAAGTTCAAGTGTGTTCGGTATTCTCGAGGTAGTCCGATGCGGAACGCACTGCTATCGGGAGACATTCTGAAGAAGTACACTATTTCGGGCAGGTGCAAGGGCCGTGTTCTCGGCCGTTTGGAGCCCTTAGCTGCGGACTCCACAACGGGATGCAGCAACGTTGACCAAAACGTGCATTGAAGGGCAGGGAACAAAACCCTAGTTGCAGCTCAAGAAAATAAAATAAAAGCTAAAGAAATGCCACATGCACAATTCTCTTCCATGACTATGTACTTGAAAGTAAACTGTGGCTGCTGTGGGATTCAACAACATCGCACCAAAAGGCTGCACGTGGGTTGTTATGGACTTGGTCTTGCCTGCCGCCGGGGTGTCGGGTCTTCCGTACTCCGTTTCTCTTCGGCAGTCCCCGCGCTGCTATTGGCTGGGCCCCTGGCTGCCTCGTCACTGCCTCAATGGCATCCACTGTTCATCTCATGGTCGTTTTCGCCTGCCAACCCGTGGCGCGTCGTTCGCTATTGTAGCCACTTGGGCCTCCTGTGCAGCGCGTTCGAGTATGGAAAACTGCGTGTTGGCATTGCAGGCAAACAACGCCGCAGACTGACAAGGCTCTCCAAGAACCCGAGAGTTGAACCCTGAAAAGGATCGAAAAGGGGGAAAAGAGGAACGAACCGAGTTCGAGCCGGAAGACACGTGGCGCAGCTCCCTCAACGGCAACAACAAGATCGCGAGTTAGCGAGGGCAGCGAGGGCAGCGAGGAGTGTGCGGAAGAGAAATGCCGCCACGACGCTCTCACAAAAAATCCCGGAGCGGTTGCCGGCGGTGCAAGTCGCGCAAGATTAAGGTAGGCTGGTTGCAAATGCGGAAGCACCGGACGAACTGGGACGGACGAGTGGCGTATTACAATCTATCAGTCAGGGAATCTTACTCATCTAATCATTCTGTGTAACAGTGCGACGAGGTCCATCCACGATGCGGCAACTGCGTCAAGCACGGCGTCCAGTGCGATTTTGAGAACCCCGAGGTTCTGGTCGAGCTCCAGACCGCTGCCGCCAACTCCGAATCGCCGTCCACGCCGGCCTCGACTATCAGCGCAAGGTCGCCCATCGCCCGTGCCTCGCGCCCGGCGCCCGGGTTTCTAAATGTTGCGCCGCTGTACCGAGCTCCGGCCACCCAAGCGGTGTCCCAGACTACGCCTCCGGGCCACCGGCTACTCGAATTGCGGCTGATGCACCAGTACACGATCATGACCTGCAAGAGTCTCACCTTCACAGCACCCGTGACGGAGGATATCTGGAAGATCACGGTGCCGAATCTCGCCTTCGGTGGTTCTCAGCACCTAGCCGACGCTATCCTCGCCGTGGCGGCATTGCATCTACGGAGCTTACGACCGAACGACAAGGAGCTCATCCGCGCATCCCACGCCTACATGGCCGCTTCTCTCGCCGAGTACAGCTCCGCTCTCACCAAGGGCATCAGCCACGAGAATGCTGAATCGCTGTTCCTTACATCGACCCTCATAGCCTTCCAGTCGACCGCTACGAGGGTGTTTATGAAAGATGAGGTCTCGGTTGGCGCTGGACACGACGGAGACGCCGAGGCCGGAAGGCGGCGAGACCATCCGTCCGGGTGTTACTCTATTCCATTCTCGTGGTTCCACTCGTTTCAGGGCGTCAAAGCGATCACCGCTGCTTCGTGGCAGTACCTGCGGGCTAGCCCCGTTGCGACCGAGGTAATCAACTCCCAAGCCGTCCTTCAGCTCGATTTCACCGCGGGACCGAAAACGTTCTTTGGGCATCTTCTCGACGGGCTAGAGGAGGAACTTGCGACCATGAGCGGCGCACCCAGCCCATCTTCACCGTCCTCGCCTCCCAGCTACCCGACTGCGGACCCTTCCTTCACACCTGCAAGTCCCGAACTCATCACTTCCACACGCCAAGCCTACCAACACGCCGTAGCTGTGCTCAACTGGGCGCACAAGATCCCGCACAAGGGCGCCCCCCTCGCATTTCCTGCCACCGTATCGCGCCGGTTCATCGAGTTGCTCGAAGAGCGCCGTCCTCGTGCTCTTGCCATCCTCGCCTGCTTCTTCGCGCTTCTCAAGTCCCTGGACTCCATCTGGTGGCTACAGGGCATGGCCCGCCGCGAGGTTCTCGGTGTGGTCTCACTTTTCAACTCCGACTTCTTCGGCCCCGACGCCTACCGTACCTGGTGGCCACATCTCGAGTGGGCGATGCGGATCGCTCTGTACGAGCCCCCTTCCAACAACGGCCCCACAGATGGTCCTGGAGAGCCGATCCCAGCGGAGATCTGGGGCGCAGATTGGTATGCTGAAGAGCAGGCGCTAGAGGAAGGCCAGCGCCGGGAGGGCGGGTATGTCCGGCATATTGAGCTGGTTAGTCAAATGGGAAGTGCCTTGCAGAGTATACCGGCGGTGCCGGAGTTTGTGCCTGTCATGGGGCCAAGTGATCAGGGGTGATGTTGCTAAGGGCTGGAAAGACATTATTCCTGAGAGAGCTGGTCGCACCCGAAGGGGACATTCGATAAACGTTGGGCAGTCCCGGTGCAGCTCATGAGATGGGAGAGGACCCCAGACGCAACGCTGCGGCTACTCTTCGGCTCCATGGCTATGAAGGCCCACGGAACAAGGGCAAGCTGAGATACGAAGTGGCCGGTGTCCGCGTGGGTCGGCCGCTTCACAGCAACTTCCCACGGGAGGGGGCCCCTAGTATACCGCCCCAAGTCCACCGAGGGGCGAGTCCGAGTGGCGCTGAGCGGGGGATCAGACACACGCTGAGGGACAGGTGACGGGGCGGGTGGTTGCTTGATCCGATTTAAACGATCGGCACTTAGGTCTCAAGCGACCAGAGCTAAAGACAAGCAGATAGACAACGAGAGGAGCAAGGCAGAGACATACGCGTTGGCCAGGCGCCAACGGGGCTAAAGATATACGGAGGACACTGCACCATATTGAGACTCAACATTAGCATAAATGTGTACAAGGTACACACACATATAACACATATAAGCATGAAAAAACGGATTTTGCGCAACAGAAACGCCGATTTTCTTCCGATTATTTTGAAATCAAACCTGTTCCTCTGCCGAAAACGCCCGCATGCATGTCCCCTCCTCAGATAATAACAAGAAACCAGAATTATCTTCCACCTCCGCGCAAAATCAAGCCTTCCTCTTCCTCGGCTGCGCCTCCTCCCCAACAACCGTCTCCTCCTCCTCCGCCTCTCCAGTATCATCATGCTGATCCCGTCCCCTCTTCAACCCCTTCATCTTCCTGGTCTGCAACTCACTCAAATCCAATTTGCCGGTATGGATCCGTCCAATCTTATCACCCATCAAATCAGTCGAGACGTTCTTCTTGGTTCTTTCGTCGCTCGCCAGACGGGGCCGGCGCATGGCTTCTTTGAGAAGGGTTTCGTCGGGGGGTTGCGATCGGCCGAGGCGGATGTCCAGGCGGGGTCCGTGTTCGGAGAGTTCGATGCGCGGGAGTTTTTGGGAGGAGCGATGCGTGCGGATTGTGTAGACGCGCAGGCGGAGGAGCGGGGTGGATTCGGGAGTTGTGGGAGTGGGATCAGAGGAGGAGGTGGTGGGCTCGTCGGCGGTGATGACGATGCAGTAGCGGAGTCCTTCGACGTCGATTTTGTCCGAGGTTTCGCCGCGGAAGAAGTCGAGGAGCATGGACTTGGCCATGGTGAAGTTGTTGGGGACGGGGGATTCACTAACAAGCGGAATATTAGTTAAGAATAAGCAATGGACGAAAGGGGGGGGCTGCGTACAAGGCCGTCCCGGCAAAGACCATCAGCGGCCGGGTGCCTACGGGCACCTTGTCCGTCTTGAACTGCGATATACTGCGGAATGAGTCGCCATCGATCGAGAACTCGAGCATGTCGAGGATCTTGTAGTCAAACGTGCGGGCGAAGGTGATGGTGTGGGGGCGCTTCTTGTTGCTGCTGCCGAAGAGGAGCAGGCTGCAGTCGTTCTTCTCGGAGAAGAAGGCTAGCGAGCTGGAGTCCTCGAATGGGTGGACTGGAGATGGGGAATGTCAGTGGGACTGGTTCTTGTTTCCTGTGGCTGTCGTGGAGGGACGAGAAGGACAGGGGCGCATACCGGGATTCTTCTTCTGGAAGCGCTTCGCGTGCACCTGCGTCAGGGCGTATAAGTCTCCGAGGGCATCTTGAGTCTGCAATTCGAAGTCTTAGTATGGCTGTGGATCCTCATTGGTTGTGTGAGAGCGATGGGCGACATACAATCTGGCTGCAAGAGGTGCCGCGCAGGAAGAGGGCCTTCTTGGGGTTCTCGACAGCCTTGGGGGCGCGCTTCTCGAGAGCACGCTTAGAGCGGGCATTCCGGGGTTTTCTGAAGAAGCAAAGGTTAGCTATGGAAGTCAATGCCTGTGGGGATCTTTGGAGTATCTCACATTTGACGAAGCATGTTGGCGATGGGTGCTGACAACGGAATGGTCAATCGCCTGCTAATTGACGGTTTCTCATGCGACAGCGCAATGTTGCTGAGAAAATCCAAGATGCGGCGTTATCGATAAGAAAAGTCGATGTGGGGCGTCTGATCCCGGGGGTAAGCCACAGGTCCACACCAGCCACAAGTCTCAACAACGACAACGACGACAAGCTTGATCATCAAGTTCTCAGGAAAAAACGCAAAATTTCCCAAATCAGTGATTTAAACGTTTGACATATTTCCCAAGTGTCCCAGAGGCATGAAAAACGTGGGTTTGGCTTCCGAATCTTTACCGTCCCAACTAAAGGACGGCACACCGAGTTTGTTTACTTACGACGCCACCCCCTTTTCGTATGAAGGAACTTGGTCTCATAGACAAGAAGTAAGTCCCACGGTTGGAGGCTGAGTACTTGCTGCTTCATGAGCTCAGATACTGCATTGCAGTGATTGTCAAGTTGTCCCAAGGGCAGGCTCTTTCAAGAGCCATGGACAGTGTTCACACATGAGCACGCTTTTCAGAGACATAACTACCGAGTCTCTAGAAGCCATCTATGTGTGCTGCGGTGAATATGTTCTCCTACGACATGCCACATGAATTCACATTTGTTGTCAGAATGATTAACTTGATAAACTACATGTCGAGCATACATTTTGTTGATTTGAGGCCCTGGAGTATCTACTGCTTTTACGCATGTGCTCCAACCAAGCCCCATCTTTCTCCCATGGAACCCATAGTGTTGATTTCTTTCAAGCTGAAGGCATTTGATGATCCCATTGTCGTAAATTTCTTACCGCTTCAACGATGGACCGACACACCGAGCCCTCATCCCTATGCCAGGTCCAACTTGCTCACGGAATTCGGGCCAATTTGCATTCATAGGCATTTGTCGACACCTAGCGAACGTAAATCAATACACTAAGTTTCACAAGAGTTGATAGAAAATCAGCTGGACTTACACGCCGAGACCTATTCCAGGGCATGGCCACTCGAACGACCATGCTGGACTTCAATCTCCGCCGGGACTTCCGTCACGACTTGCGAGATCTCCCACTCTCGCACAGCCGCTTAACACCAGCTGCCGCGGCTCGAGCCCACGACCATTGATCTAAATTCGGGTCTTGTGCCCTAATTATTTGGCGTTGGCAATAACCTTCCAACTCCAAAACAAAACCACGATCTTCCCAACTCTCTCTTCCCAGGTTGCGTCGTTCTTCTTCTCGAACCTTCACCATGCACAACAAACAACACGACAAACATCACGACAGCAAGAATCACAAGATTCACAAGAACAACAAAAACAATAACTTTCTCAATTCTAGTGAGTACAAACCTCTAAAGTTTACCAATTTTCTGGGCCCAAATTCAATCAAATCGCCGCTCGCCGCGTCGAGGCATCGAACCGCGTCGAGGAATCGAACACGTCGACGGGTCTTGGAACCGCAGCGAGTTCTTCCCTCACAACACCCCCAACTTCCCAGATCTACTCCCCAAACCTACTTCTAAACTTACTCCTAAACCTACTCTTCAAATCTACTTCCTAAACCTCTTCCCAAATCTTCCAATCCCAGATCCAATCCCAAATCCACCCCCTCAATTCACCACCCAACAGCTCGCTAACTTCCTCTCCAGAAACCAACCAACAAAAACCACCAAGATGGACGCCACAACCAAAACTCCGGCCCCTCCCCCACAGAGCCAGAACCAGAACAAGCGCGCCCGCCAAATCTCCTCAGCGCTGACCTCCCTCCGGGCCCTCCTTGTCGACACTGCCCCCGAGGATGGGCCAGACCCGTTGGGTCTGGTCAAGGACATGGTTGTGCTTGCTGAGCGGGTGTTGGAGACTTTGGTTGGTGTGTCTTCGGGTCCTGTTGTGTCGTCGTCCGTCCCTGTTGTGTCGTCGGCCTCGGTTTCGGTTCCCGGTTTGGCTGCTGGTCTGGGTTCGGCTCCGGACACAGTTCCGGTTGTCAAGGTTTTGGTCCACGATGTGGACGAAAAGGTGGACCATGGGAAGGACCACGGGGTGGACCATGGAGTGGGAGATGTCGCGTTGGGAGTGATGCCCCTCGCGGACATCACCAACCTGCCGGCCGAGGGTCCGGCTACGCCGCTACGGGCCGGCGACGATGCGGAGGGTGCGGCCACCACCACCGCTGCCGGTGCTGCCCCCGCTGCTGCTGCCGAGGAGGAAATTCGCCCGGCCGCGCCCACGCCCGAGCCCACCACCGCGCCCGCCACGCCCGCCGAGCCCGCCCAACTCCCCGCGTCAGCGCAGGGAGCGCCCGTCAAGCCGGGCACCCTCACCCCCCAGCCGGCCACCGACACATCCCAGTCGGACAAGACCGCGGTCGCGAAAGCGACCACCCCAGCCCCCGACACCACCATCCCCTCCCCCGTTCCCGTCCCTGCCGCCCAAGCGGCAAACACCACCGACGCCGTGCCCACCGTCAAGGGCAACCCCCACTATGCGGCCGGGGTCAGCGGCAGGGACTGGGACGCGGAAGCGGTGCGTGCCCACGTGGTGGCGGACATCGCGCGGGCCGAGGCGGACCCGGATGGGCTGCGCGGGTTGTGCGTGGTGTGTGAGGAGGAAGCGGGGGGAAGCGGTGGCGCCGGGGGGCACTGCGTGCGGTGCAAGGTGGCGCGGTACTGTTCACGGGGCTGTCAGGAGGCGGACTGGCCGGTGCATCGGAAGGTGTGTGGGGAGTTTGCGGGGGCGGTGGCGTATGGGGAGAGGCCGAGTGAGGAGCATCGGAGGGTGGTGTACTTTCCGATGAGGGGGTACAAGCCGGTGGTTTGCTGGGCGGTGTATCGGGAGACCGGGCAGGAGGCGTGGTTGGAGTTTGAGAAGGAGAATCGGGATTTGGAGGAGTTTTTGGGGAGGATGGGGTTGAGGAGGATTGCGCCCGGGAGGATGCATGCGCCGTTGAGCTTTGGGTATCCGATTCGTGACCGGTAGGTGACTGAAGAGAGAAAGGGAAGAGAAAATGGGGGGAAAGGTTTACTGTTTACTGACTGACATTTGGGGATAGGCGCATCGGCAGCATCATCAAGGTCATGGCGTACTCGCAGATCCATCCCAAGCGCCGCGGTATGGCCCCGGCCCTCGTGAACCAGAGCATCAACGCCATGAGCAAGCCTGGTTACATCCGGTACGTTGGCCCCTAGACATAACCCAACTGCTTACCTTTCCTCTGCACTTAGCTATCCCCATATATCTTGCACCGAACTGACCATCTCCCCCATCGCTTAGCCCCTGGTTCGGCCCCGCGGTCTTCTTCGCCGACGCGCGCTACCCAGACCAAGACGAAGCCGCAGCAGCCCCCAAGATCCGGGACATCACCCCCCGCGACGTGCACACCATCGCCCGGCTCCTCGAAGTCAGCGACGCGACCTGCATCGCCGAGCCCGCCCTCTACCGCGGCGATGGCACCACCCACGCGGCCGCGCGCACCGTCATCGCCGGCCTGCGCGTCAACGACCCCGTGGCCGAGCTCAACTCGGCCCTGGGCGTGACCGAGGTCTATGATATGACCCGCGTGCCTATGACGCCGGCGTATGGACCGGATCGGCCGATGGCCATGGCTTTTCATTTGGGCTTGCGCTGGTATGTGCGCCCGGGGAATTTTGTGGGTGATGATGGGGGTACGGTTAGGTGGCATGATGGGAGCTTGAGGTTTATTGCTTTTGTTTGTGATGTGGTGCAGGTGTCGGGAGGGGATCATCCTCATGATCACCAGCATCAACATCAACCTGATCAAGACGACAACAACAATGCCGACGAGACAACCAGCGAGAAGATGCTTTCGTACAACACCGTCTACGGCTACGGCCAGTTCGAGGCGAGCATCATCCTCATGCACGGCTCAGGCGAGCCCATCGACACCCACCACATCCTCGCCCTCAACGCCTACCTGGACGAGGCATACACCATCTCCAAGGGCGCGCCCTCGGTCGGCTCGTCCTCTGCCCCGGTCGTCTCGGAAGCCGGGTTCCGCCGGTACTGGGCCAGGTACTATAAAAAGCTCCGTTCATCGGACCCCAACGTGAGCGTACCGTCGCCGTATGAGTACGAGAAGAAGGGCGTTGTGGATGTCATTGGCGAGTATGAGCCCAAGGCTGTCATGGGCAGGATTCGGTCCGAGTTTCCAAAGGTTTGGGGGCTGGTGTGCTATACGATCAAAAACTTTAGCCCGCAGACGTTTGAGAGCGTGAAGCGGCAGCGGTTGATTGAGGAGGGCAGGAAGGCGATGGAGTGGAAGAAAGAGAAGGGTAGGAAGGAGCAGAAGAGAAAGGAACAAGAGAAGAGGGAGCAGGACAAGGAGAACAAGCAGGAGAGGATGGAGTAAGATATGAAGGACCAGCTCAGCAAGGATCAAGATAAGAAGAACCAGGATAGCAAGGAGCAGGGCAGCAAAGAGCAGAACGAAAAGAACAAGGAGGACAAGGAAGCCAACGAGGAGAACAAGGAGGAACGCGAGGAGAGCCAGAAGGAGAGCAAAAAGGACAAGAAGGATAAGAAGGGACAGAACACCGAGGACAAGGTCTAAGGGCAACTGAGGGAACGAGGCAGCAGGGAAATGTTTGCTTAGTACAATGTATTCAAAACGATGGCTAATGTAGCTATGTGTAAAGTAGACAATGATGAGTCGCTCGTGAGGCAAACTGTGTGCAAGATGACGGTATCAATTCGGGAGCAGCATACAATGCCATGCCCATCAATATCGGTGGCCAGCGTGTGACGTCCCTTGGCCACCTGGAAGTAAGCGTCCAAAATCGCAATCATGTCAGGGCGTCAAGGGATGGAGGTTCCGGTCCACTTGCCACAGCACGGGAAAATCAGAGCCCTACGACTGGTGACCCAGCATTGGTCACACCAGGAACACCGACAGCCGCGAGCGAACCCAAACACGGAAAAGGCAAGAAAGGGTTGAAGCCATCATGCACCCTTATCTCGAATTCAGGTCCGTCTTCCACGGCCTCGAGCGGTCTAGACATACCTACCTTGATAAGCCAAGCATAGTAACTTCCGCAAGAACCCAATTAGCGGATTTCCGCGGCAAGACGGCACCACGCCGAAAAGTAAATCTCTGCATCAGCGAGAGCGTTGGCAGTTACGATTGAGGAAGTCGACAGGGTCGCGGAAGGCGCACCCAGCGTTCCCCGCCCTCGATCGCCCAACCGGGATGCGGTGCAGAATTTTCAGCATCATCGCTCCTGCCTCATCATCACTTCACAATGTGATCCGCCGCTATCCGTTGACAGCAACGGCAGGTCCAACGGGTGTGATCGGTGTCCAGCGGATGGGATCGGTGTGGGAAACGTCGCTCGCTCCCCGGCCGGCTGGTGATCGCGGTCCACATCTCAGACATGAGCGGCTCTGGGGCTCTGGCGGAGTTGTGCCAACCACGCCAAGAGGCATGAAAAGAAGCACTTCCATGGCTCGGCTCACGGCACCGATGGTCGTTCACCATGCGGTGTCCTCTGCGGCATCATCACCAGCCGGCTAAGGACCTCCTTCTCGTCGAAATAGCACTTCTTCCACCGGTTCGGCCGCAACACCGGAGCCACCCCCGCAGTATTCCCACAATTAGCTTGATTCCCGATGCCGATTCATGCTCTTTCGTCCATTTCAGGTCCTGTCGACTTGTGGTGGACTGGTGTCTGGTTCATCAACCGGCGGCGGTGAGTCGAGACAAAACCGCCGTGTTCCAGAACCCTGCACCGCCGACCCGACCCCCCTTCAACTTAACGCTGCCGACGGGAATCATCGGGAGCAAACTTTTCTTCGTTCCACCGAAGAAGAGAAAAAAAAGAGGGGGGGAAAGGGAAGTGGTTTGATTTTCGGCGTCGGTCGGTCGGTCGTGGCCCCTGTTCGCGGATCTCGGGGCGGCTATCGGCTGGGTTCCGCGTGTGCTGCTGCTCAACTCGTTGCTGGCGTTAGAAATGACGAAAAGGTGAGTAAGTATGGTTCAATTGGGGTCGAAAAAAAGGCTGTGGTTTCTCTAGGTCGTCTACACAGTAAAGAGGGCTTTTTCAAAAAAGAACGAGACGTGCAGCACGTTGGAGGGGGGTTGTGTGCATTTAACCTCGTCGCCCGCGATGGCGTGCTCGAGGAATGTGGGGGTCGCTTGAGCGTTTCCCCTGACGCTCCCAGGGACGGCCCGCGGGGGGATCGATGGGCCATGGCCCCCGACTGCCGGAAGGTGGGTCTTTAAGGGCCCCGCTTTTACCGGCCCCTGGGCCGGGTGGCCTCCGGTCTCGTTCCGTTGCGCTGCTGAATGGTGATGTCACATGTTTGCTTTCTCCTGAACCAGCAGGCGAGGATTTTTTTTATGTCAATGTCAGGGGAGAGACTTTTCCTGCAAGTCATGTCTCAGTATTGGCTTGGCGTCACTGTTGCCGTCATCCCCGGGCATTACGGCGCGCTTTTCGACGTGCGGTGGTGTGGAACACAGCAGGGAAATAATACCGGGAAATCCACCTCCTACATCCAACTCATGTCAATGCCGTGAAACCATTCACTACATCTCTTGTCCTCTGCTGTCCCTCACTGGGCTGGCATCAAAGAAAGTAATTCTCGTAAGCGCCGGCCCAACGTCTCGTGATATCCGTAAAAGCTCCAAAGGCTCCACAACACACCGCCGCCGTCCAGACCGGAGCCCCACCGGGTATCGGCGTGGAACCCATCGGCCAAGCCAAGACGGGGACAGCCCTGCAGGGCCCCGGTATCGTGAAAACTCAATCCAGAACGAGACCCAACGACTCGCCCAATGGGACCACTCAATCGGGCATCCGGTCGTCTCATTGGTGTTGCTGGCTTGGGTTTGTCACTGACTTGTATTATCGTTGAGCGTTGCAACGGGCCCTGGTATCCCGCCTCTTTGTTGCCACGATGGACCTGGCAGGCCGGGCTCGGCTTGGGTGATGGGAACTGGCAAGACTGGGAAGCGAGGGGAGGTGTGGTGGAAATGTATATATCGTTGTGGTGCCTCCCGCACTGGTCCCTTTGCGGTTGGATCTACGTGATATCATCGTGACCAAGTGACTCGGACCATAAAGTCCACAATACATAACTTAATTACCAAGACGCTAAGAGTCCGAGACGGACATAATTACACATTCACAAACCTTGCTGCACCACACTTCAACCACAAAAATGGCGGAAGAAAAAGAGTCCGTCCCCAGCACCCCAACCAGCGGGAGAGGCTTCGAGATTCCAGACCACCACCTTTCCAAAGTAGTCCCACCACGGCAGGCTCCGTCGATGGGCTCGCGAGTATGGAGCCACCTAAACGACAACATCCGATCCTCCATCCTCGTCGAGATCGAACTCCTCATCCTCACCTTTTGCGTCGGCTTACAAGGTAAGCCTTCCCTTTCCACTCCACCCTTCTTCCACCCCCTTTAGTCTCGTACCTAACTAACCCTCCCTCCCAAAAAACAGACGCCATATCCTTCCCCGACTTCCACTGCTTCGCCTCCAACCAAACAGGCAACACCGTCTTCCTCGTCCTAGCCATCGTCCTCCCCGAAGCCGACGGCGACATGTTCTACACCGCCAACATCGGCATCGCCCTCGGGTTTTTCGTCGCATCTGCCTGGCTAACCGGCCAACTCGGCCACCTAGTCGGCCCCCGCCGGCGCGGCTGGCTGATCCTGTGTAATCTGTTCCAGACCGCCCTGGTGTTGGCGGCGGCCGCGCTGCAGTATATGAATCAGTCGGAGCTGGAGGCTGAGGCGTTTCCTTTGACGACGAGGTATGGGAAGTTGATGGATCGGGATACCACCACCGCTGCTGCTACTGCTGGGACTAGTAGTAGCAGCGCAGTAGACGGCGCCCGCGCCCCCATGACATTATACGCGATCGGGCTCCTAGCCACAGCAGCCGGCAGCCAAGTGGTACAAGCGCGATCGCTTCGGGTGACAGAGATCACGACGGCGATGGCGACAGCGGCGTGGGTGGATCTGATGATTGATCCGGACTTTTTTGGGTTGCGGAACCGGGGGCGGAATAGAAGGGCGGCGTTTTTGGCGGCGTTGGTGTTGGGGACGCTGGCGGGGGCGTTTGTGTTTAAGACGGTTGGGTCGCCGGCTGCGTTGTTGGTGTCGGGGGCCGGGAAGTTGGTGGTGGTGGGGATGTATTTTTTTAATCCGGCGGAGAGGGAGGAGGGGGAGAAGGAGAGTGGGAAGAGTGCGGTGTGAGGGGAGTGAAATCTTGGAGAGCTGAAGGGCTAGAGTTGGAAGGGAGGAGTAAGGGGCGATGAGAGGGAAAAAAAGGTGACTTGAAGTTGAAAGATTTACGAGGTTAAGCATTGGGAGCGTTCAGCATTTGCTTGGTGTTAGTCTTGGATTTTGGTAGACAGGCAGCATGGCGTTTTAGCGGTTGGAAAATAGATACCAGAGAATAGCGGTCGTGGGAAAAGGGGTAGCAAGATATAGACATGAAGCATAATTTTAGACTTATACAATGCGAAAGGCTTTACTTTGAGCTTGGTATCAGTGCCCATCCCCAGTTCTCAAGTCAGTGCTGGAGGTTTCCATGTTCATTTCATTGTGGTGTTCTGTCGTGTTATACCCTTTGACCATGTGGCATTGCCAGGGCTCCTTTCCAACATCTTGTTCTCTTTGGACCCCTTTTTATTCCATTTACCCGACTTCTTGGTTTGTTCCGGATCTTTTATTTTTTCTTTGCTTTCTCCTTCCCGTTCATCACGACCGTATGGTCCGTATGGTTATACGGCGAACCGAAGGCACAGTGCAAGGGACGACGTAACGACAGCCAATTCAGGGTTCTTACTCCAAACACATTGTTTGGCTTTCTCATGACCCTCGAGCTTTTCCCCCGATATTTTACATGAAACAGTTCAGGTGTTTCCTGAACTTACTCACTCACGGCACTGGTGAAGATACCATACAATCCTTCATAGTCTGCTCCATTGTTTCCAGTGACCTCGAGTACGACGGTACGAGCACACCGTACACATTTCTCCAGAACCTCAGATTCAGGCCTCTGCCCTGGCAACTCACACCCAACCGTCTAGGTAATTTCTGGGTTTCTAGGCTCCTTCACAAGTGCAAACAAGCCCGCAACACTTTGCACAGAGTCTATGGGTAACTCAATTGTTTTCGTATAGTTAGCGTACTGTATGGCTCTGCACAGAGCACAATGCCACAGTGCACAATGCTTTGTTGTTTCTCTTAACCTTGAGTCCGGATAACTCCCATCCCACAGTCCGGGTCTTTCTCACCTTATAGACATACAAAAGCTCTCAACGCAGCGAATCCTTTCCAACCCCTACCGCCCCAGTACCGGAGTGTGAGCGCACACCGTGCGGATATCCACGGACATAATGCCTTAGTTGGTTGGCCTTTTCTCAAGCCCTTTGATCCTTTGGGCTACCGCTTGATAGATTCCACCCAAATCACCCAACAGACTTGGTTTTCTCGACTTACAGACTCACAAAAATTCTGAACACACCGGAATTCTTTGCATGATCGGGACTACACTTACTCAATTATTTACAACAACCCTTGGCCCCTTACAGACGCACGAGTAGTGTACCATTGTGTGGTCACTGTGAGGAAGCCGAGCGTGAGTGTACTGTACCATCTGGATCACGGACACAATGCCCTTGCTCTTTGCCTGCGACCCTCCCCACGCTCCCAGCCATCCAGTATTCCTCAACACCCCAAGCACACCATAACAATGTGCAGGACTGGGTTTACATTTACTCAATCATTCGCACAACTCCAGCTACAAGTGACACAGTACCAGAGTCTAAACACCGGGATAGTGTGAGCGTACAGTATGGGTATACATGGACACGGTGCCCTTTGTCTCTTCTCGTGAACCTCTGGGCTGCTGCCCAATTCTTCCCTCCCGCCTAATAGTTCAGTGTTCCTCAACTTATAGACTTTGCAGACTCTAAGCACACCTTGGCGCTCAATAGAATTGGGTTGTATCCGTTCAACTATTGGCACAAGCCCAGCTGCCCGTGACACAACACCAGACTCTCAACAGTAGCAGTGTAAGCACACCGTATGCACATACATGGATACGGCGCCCTGGCCTTTTCTTCAGTCCTCTGAACCACTGTCCAATTCCTCCCACTCAACAGTCCACTCATAAAAACTCGGAGAACACCGTAACCAATGGTATCGCTCTCCGGAATTTGCTTTTATATCTACTCAATTCTTTTCACGTCTCTGCCGCACGCGACACGATGCTGGAGTGAAGGAGCCGGTCAAGCCGGTATAGTGCGAGCACCGTGCGGCCCTCTACAGTGTACAGTGCCCTTGACTGTTTTTCCGGGCCCTGGGCATTGTCAACCCTCTGGAATTTTCCTCTCACCTGAATACTTCTAACTGCCACTTACCAAACTACACAGGCAAGACGGGATTGGATTTTACTCTATTGTTCACATGCCCCAGCTGCATGTTACACCGCAGCTACGTGTAGTGCAGTTCCAGAGTGCAGGAGCCGGAGAGCCAGCATAGTGTGAACACCGTGCGGCCCTCTGCAGCGTACGGTGCCCTGGGCATCTTCAACACCCTGGATTTTCCTCCTGCCCAAACACTTCCCACAACCACTCACCAAACCACACAGGATTGGGTTTTACTCAATTGTTTACATGCCCCAGCTGCATGTTACGCCGCAGCTGCACGTGACGCAAAGCTGCACGTGACACAATTCCAAAGTGCAGGAGCCGGAGAGCCATATAGTACGAACACCGTGCAACCCTCCGCGGCGCACGGTGCCCTTGGCTGTTTCTCCGGGCCCTGGGCATTTTCAAACCACTGGAATTTTCCTCCACCACTCACCAAACCACACAGGCAAGGAAGGATTGGGTTTTACTTGATTGTTTACATGCCCCGGCTGCCGCAACTGTGTGTGACGCAACTCCAGAGCGCAGGAGTCGGTATAGTGCGAACACCGGGCGACCCTCCGCGGTGCACGGTGCCCTTGGCATCTTCCAAACTCCAAAAATTTCCTCCCACCCAAAGACTTCCAACCACCACTCACCCAACCACAATTCTCAACTGAACCACCAAACAGCAATTTGATTCCAACCCGCCCTCGTGGCCGGTTTTGGGTTGGGTATTTTTATCTCTTGAGATCTCCGGATCACAAAATCCGGAACGAAAGGTAACTATTCACAATTCTCATATTTGTCACTCGTATCTTCTCGGTTCCCGCTTTTCGAGGTCGATTGGTTCCCGGTCGATCGGTTCCTGGAGCGGAATCTCCAATTTGGGACCCTTGCACCCGGCCAACCGGCCGACTGACCGAACCATGCCGAGAACTGCGGTCCCTGCACCACTCTGCACTCCACACCATGATCTATGGACTCACCCCCCTATACTTTACTATTCCTACCCTAAGCCCAAAGCACCTGATGGCGCGTTACCTACCAAACGCGTTTGGCTGTGACGCGTTTCCCGCAAAACTTCCCCCCACCACACCACCAAACACACTTCTTTGGCCTGGGAATTGCTCCCCAATCCACCATTGGAATTGTTCCAACCACCGAGGACGACTATTTTGCGATTCGAGGAATCGAGGGCACTCGGTCCGAGTCTCGCGAAATCGCCAGATTCGACTCCATGACCCGCAACAACCTCGGGGAGCATTTGGGCTGGCTGCTGAGCACCATCAAGCGATCACCACCTTCGGCGCCGCTCTTGCCCGCGGCCCCGGACTCGCTAGCCAATGGGTCGTCTTTGGTTCCCCCGCCCACTGGGGCTCCGGCGGCTTTGCAGCCAGCCCAGGCCACAACGTCCCAGACGTTGAATTCCGCTTCCTCATCTGATAACTCCACCACATCTCACCCTCGTGCCACCACTGTCGTGGATCAACCAACGCATATTTCAAATCACAAGCCGGCAATGCGTCAACCACGGGACGCTAACAAGAAATCTTCAAGGGGGAGAGAACTAGATCGCCTGTCGTCGAGCACCGCTCTGAATCTCAACCGTCCGACCTCGAATAGCACGAGGGAAGCTTCACCCGTCACACCACTCACCTTCGACACGACCAAAATTGGTCCCCTTCAACGAGCATACTCGGCGTCTCTTGCCCGCGATTCACCTTCCACAACATCTCGACCGTCAAAACAACAAGCGGTCACTACGTCAACTACCTCCATCACATCAAATACCCGATCAAACCGTCCCTCCACCTCCACAACGCACCGGAAAGCAGAGGGATTGTCGTCGACGACTCCGAGCATCATTAGCCGAAGTGCCAGCTTCTGGAAGACCGATTCCACGACTCAAACCGTTAGCATCGACATTGACGAGGATGACATATTTTCCGACCCGCTTGATTTAACCGAAGTTGAAGGCCACGACAGATCCAGCTCAATCTTGGGTTTTGGGGAAGAAAAAAGATTGTGGCGGGAAGGCTTTGCTGAGCGCCCGGAGCCTGCATCTGAACGGGCCAAGCCGGCGAGTACGAAGGGAGCAGCCACGCCCAGGTCAATCGCCATGAAAACTATAACGATGGAGGCAGACGACGACGAGTACCCGGACATCAACGAGCTGATTCCGCCCTCGTCAATTTCTAGATTGGCTGTGGCCCCGCCTACGGGTCTGACCTCAGTCGCCGAGGGCATAGGCGCGAGTTCACCATGGGGTCCGATCGATACCCTCCCCGAGACCCCCGCAGGCCCTTCGAATCTCCCAGTTTCGAACCGGAAGCGCAAAACACCTTCATCCCCGACGCCGGCCCACGACGAACCCCGCAGCAGCGGTTCCTATCTCCAAACCAACAAAAAGTCCAGAAGAACTAGAGACGATGTTATCCTAGATTCGGACGGTGACGTTGTTGTTTCGTCTTCACCCCCGCACAACAATTCCGATGGTCCCAGCAATGAGCTAGGTGACCACCAACCCAACAGGGCCCCCCGCGACGAGCCCGTAGATGTCGAAATGTCCTCTCCCGTGGATGACATTCCGACTGAAGCGCCGCTGGCATCCGGCAGCAATCCCGTCACCGCTGGACCCAAAAAGCAGGACTCCAGTGTGTCCAATGACGCTTCGAATGCCCCTCGTACCGATTCATCTTTACCCTCCCATAATGCCCCAGCCCATACCAGCCAGGATTCGGACCGGGGAGACTCGGAACTTTTGGCATTATTCCTGAAACATCCATCAGTGTTGGACGCCAAGACGGTGTCCCTCAATGAGCAACTGCGCACAAATAAGGAGGAATATACCGCGTGCCTTCGCAACAATAAGTCGAAGGAGGAGCGGGATCGAGTGCGAGGTGCTCGGAACGAGTTGACCCAGCAGAAAAAGATGTTGGATGCCATCAAGGATCAGCACGCGGAGTTGCAGAAGCTTAATGACCAGCGGGAAGACTTGCTGAACGTGTTGGGCGATGCGTACATGGAGGACCTCGATACAGAGGAGGACGAGGCCCGACTGGACGAGCTTTCCAAGAGCATCACCACCAAAGAGGATGCCCTAGTTGCGAGTCTCGTGTCTGTGGGGGTTGTTGAGGATGATTTTGAGAACCTCGACACAGCGGTGGTGCTCGGCACTCAGGCGGCGAACACATTCGAGACGGGCATCTCGGATGGGGACTATAGCTCGCAGGTTGTCCTCCAGACGCAGCGGGCGTTGCCTCCGCAGCACACCCAGGGATTCAGCGGCACGACCTTGCTCAACGCACAGAGCGTACGCTCGGGGCCATCGGTTTCGCTGGCCGCTGGATCCTTCGCCGGCCCTGCTACGACCTCGGCCGGCCCATCGTTCACCCAGGCCGCGCCGCGGTCAATCGTTGATATGGCCAACCGAGAGGCGGCCAAGAACAGGCGGAACGTTTCGCCTGATTTCTTCGACGACTTCAGTGACGATGCCGAGATGCTGGAAGCAGCTGATAGCTTTGAGCAGCAGCACAAAGAACAGATGCAACAAGAGCAGGAGCGCCAGCAGCTACGGCTGACGGACCTCTCCACGGGAAGCGCTCCCTCTTCGCTGCGGAAACGGGCGCCAGCCAATATGGGACCGCCACCGGCGCCCAAGGCGTCGATCGACCCGGATCTGATGAAGCACCCGTGGTCAGCAGATGTCCGTCGCGCGCTGAAGGACCGCTTTCGAATGACTGGGTTTCGCACCAACCAGCTCGAGGCGATTAACGCCACACTGGCGGGCAAGGACGTGTTTGTTCTGATGCCCACAGGAGGGGGCAAGTCTCTGATCTACCAGCTCCCCGCCGTCATCAACTCGGGCACGACCAGCGGCCTCACGATCGTCATCTCGCCTTTGCGCAGCTTGATGACAGATCAGGTGGCTCATCTTAAGAAGTTGAACATCTCTGCCGCAAGCTACGACTCCAACATGCCGGGCCCGGTCCGCACCCACATTACCAATCTCTTCAGCCACGAGACGCCGGAACACCACGTGCAGTTGATCTACGTCACCCCGGAGATGATGGCCAGCAGCAACTTGGTCAGGGACGGGATCCAGCAGCTGTACCGCAGGAGGAAGCTCGCGCGCATTGTGGTGGATGAGGCACATTGTGTCAGCCACTGGGGCCACGATTTCCGCCCCGACTACCAGGCCGTGGGCAGCATCCGAGAGTTGGCGCCGGGGGTTCCCGTGCTGGCGCTGACGGCCACAGCAACCAGGGGGGTGATCGCCGACGTCAAGCACATCTTGCAGATGGAGGACTGTGAGATGTTTACGCAAAGCTTCAACCGCCCCAACCTGTACTACGAGATCATGCCCAGAGAGGCGCGCTTCATGAACAGCATCGGCAATCTCATTACCACCAAGCACTCCGGGCAATCCGGCATCGTCTACACACTCTCGCGCAAAGCAGCAGAATGCACGGCCACGACGCTCGCCACAAAACACAACATCAAGTGCCGGTCGTACCACGCCCAGATGGACGCGGACATCAAGGACGAGATCCAAACGGAGTGGCAGGAGGGAAAGATCCAGGTCGTCGTGGCCACAATCGCCTTCGGCATGGGCATCGACAAATCCAACGTGCGTTTCGTCATCCACCAGAACATGCCCAAGAGCCTGGAGAGCTACTACCAGGAAACGGGACGAGCCGGACGCGACGGGCAATTCGCCAACTGTTACCTCTTCTTCTCGTGGGTCGACCTGCCCCTGCTGCGGCGGTTGGTGGTTAGCGAAAGAGACCGCAAGAAGACGCGCGAGCAAAAAGACCGGCAGCTGGCCATGCTCAACCAGATGGTCGACTACACCCAGGTCGTGCACGTGTGTCGTCGCGTGCAGGTGCTCCAGTACTTCAACGAAGACTTCGACCCGGCCGAATGCGGCGATATGTGCGACAACTGCGCCAGCGGCACGTCCAAGGAGGACCCCCTGATGGAGGACTTCACTCACTGCGCCGTCGCCATTCTCGAGGCCGTCCGACACGAAGAGAAGATCACCATGGGCCGCCTTGTTGAGATTGTGTCCGCGAGCAAAAATGTCGGCCGCCATGCGCATATCCCCGGGTTTGGCGTCGTCCGGGGCATGAAGAGCAACGAGGTCCAACGCGTCATCATGGCCCTCTGCCACGAGAATGCGCTCGGAGAGCGCCGCCGGCATGCGCCCAGCAACCGGATTCCCATTACTGATTTTGTGGTGAGTTTCCAGTCTTTTTTTCCCCATTGTTATTTTCTTCATTTTTTTTGGAGAAAATGTTATTTATTTCATCTCCATTTTTGTTTCTGTTTGTTTACATTCGTTCCGTCCCTTCCTTCCCCCCTTCCCCCCTTCTTGTTGCAACCGTTAAGCTAACTTCGTGTGTGTGTTTGTTTGTCTTTAGCTCGGGCCGATCGCAAATCAGTACCTGGACGAGAATGGCGAGCGGCGCCTCCAGCTCGCCGTGCGGCAGATCAAGATCACCGCACCCCCCACCAAGCGGCGCGGCCGGGAGCCCCTGGCCAACAAGGTGGCCGCGGCCAATGCCCGCAAGGAGGCCGCAGCCCGGAAGAACGGACCTCCGCCGTCCACCAACATCTCGTCCCCCGTCGCTGCCCTGTCGAAGAAGCGGAAAGCCAAATCCGGCCCCGCGACATTGGCCGACGAAAGCAACGAGGAGCCGGACTTCCTGGGCTCCTCGGACGAGGAAGCCGAGAGCGACGACGCTTTCGACCCCCCGCGCGCCGCCCGCACCGCCCACGCCGCCCAACCCGCCCGACCCTCGCCAATCTCCCGGTCCCGCCACCAGGTCGCGGCGGAACTGGGCCCGCCCATCGCCCGCGACGCGCGTCTCGCCGCCGCCGGCCTCCATGAGGTCCACCAGAGCCTCGTGGACCCCTTCGTCCAGAAGGCCCAGGAGCTGGACGAAGCGATCCGCAACGCCAACGCGCTGCGGCGGCCGCTCTTCACGGAACAACAGTTCCGTGAGATGATCATCCGGTGGGCGACCACGCCCGATCAGATCCTCACCATCCCCGGCGTCGAGCCGATGACTGCCGAGACCTTCGGCGATAAGTTCGCCCGCTTGGTCTCCGACTTTCACGGTCGGTACCGGGAGATGATGGGGGGTTCGGTCGAGTCGGAGGGTCCTCCCTCTGCCGGATGTGCCGCTGCTGCTGCCGCAGCCGTTGGTGTTGCTGTCTCTTCGGTCAGCTCCGGGGCCAACAAGTACAAGGGGAAGGGCAAGGCCACCGCCGCCGCCACCAACCAGCCCATCGACCTCACTAGCGATGGGTTCGAGGGCCTCTCCGACCTCGACGATGAGGATGCCGAGGAGTTGTTTGTGTCGTCTTCTCGCTTCTTCCCTGCTGCGTCTGCCTCTGGCGGCGGTTCTGGTCCCTCTGCGTCTGGGTCTGGGTCTGGTTCTGCACCAGCTTCGGGGCGCCACAACAATTCTGGTCGTGCTGCTAAGGGCAGCAGTGGAAGCGGTGCTGGTTCCAAGGGGCCCGCGCCAAGGGGCAGTTCTGCTAAGCGCAGCAGCGGTTCCGGTTCTGGTTCCGGGGCTGGCGCTAAGAGCAACTTCCCTTGGCCGGGCCGGTCGGCTGAGGTGGTCAAGAAGCGGACCGGCGGTGGGGGTGGGGGTCGGAAGGGGGGTGGTTCTGCTGGGAAGGGCAGCGGTGGTGGTGGTAGGGATCGTTCTGGGTCTCGGAGGAGTGGTGGAGGGGGTGGGGGGAGTATCCCGGACATGCCTTACTGAGTAAGGGGAGGGTTCTGGTGGTTGGGGGGTTGGGATTTGTGGCTGGGAGGGCTGTCTTGGACAGCAAAGGGACGGTTTCCGGGTCTGGGGTTGGGACCCCTGGGATTGTCCTTTCTTCTTAGTTGTCTTTTTTTCTCGGCTCTTTGTTTTTTTCGGGCGTTGGCGTTTCTATGGATGTTTCTCGGTTTACTCGTCATCAGATGAGAAAGAAGGAAACCGGGCGAGTGAGAGAGATCTTCACATTTCCAATCTCTCTGATGAATCGCTCTTCCGGTTTTCCCGTTTGCCGGTTTTCCCGTTCGCCGGCTTTCCCGTTTTCCGGTTTTCTCGTTTACCGGTTTTCTGGTTTTCACGTTATCCGGTCTTTTTTCCCGTTCTCCTTTCTTTATATTTCACACGGTCGTTCACAACAAAAATCTCGGCGAACAAACGAGCAACCAACGGGACAATCACACCAGCAGCAGCACAACAATCAGCACTGGTGATGAATGAAGGAGGGCCGGCATTAAGTCCTTTTTTCCTCTTCATTTTCTCTCATTGAACTTTTTTGCCTTTCCACAACGAGCATCATCAGCGCGGCGCATTCGGGCATGGCGTGGACACAGAGAGAGGGAGACAAGAAAAAAAGCACGGGCGGCGTATAGCATGCTTACTTCGTTATCTATGCACATGGCAATGGAGTCTGGGGTGGTTTCTTCTTTTTTTTTCTTTCATATTCCGGAGTCTGGGCTTCTTCATGACATGGCATGGCATGGTATGATGTGGTATGAGGGGGGGTGATGGATGGATCGGTCTTGTGAGCTGAAGGGGTCTAGTTCCTGGCTTGCTTCAATCTCAACGATCCATCGGGACGTTCTAACTCTGACCTCTCTTCCTTCAGGGCTGAGTGGGTTTATACCAGGACGGGCATGAGATATGGGTTATGGGTCATGAGGACAGAGGGGGTGGATTACTGAGGAATTTGGGGCAAATTGGGGGAACGGTATATACGGGTCATATACCCCCTTTATGGAGGGAGTTGAGAAGGGAACAGGAGATGGTTATAGGTTGAAGAAATGGGGACGGGAGCATGCTATAGGAGATAAGCGATGGATTGATCTTCTTCATTTCCCCCCTCCTCTATTCTTCCCAAACTCGGCCTAGGAGAGAAGGGGGTGGACACGGGGTATATTACATTGCATTGCATTGCGTTGCGTTTTTCCCCCTATCTTTTCGTATCTTCACGCCTGAGTTTCACAGACGGGGGACCTCAGGGTCGGCTGGTCGTGGTATCTAACTATTCTATTTTCGTTTCAATTCCCCCTCATTTTTTTCGGTAGTCTGCGCGTGTGCTCTCGGTTGGTTCAGGTAGGTAAACGGGCAAGCAGACAAGCAGACAAGTAGGTAAGTTGGTAAACCAGAAAGGAGTGAGGATCCTGCAAGGACATTCGAGATATGACATTGTTGCAGCTGGGGTTGAGCTGTGTTCGTAATCGAAAGATACCCGCTCACTAGAGAAGAAAGGCGGGGGCTGAGTGATGTGTTTTTCTTACGGCCTTATCTTTAGCCGTTCTTTTAGTTCTAGAAAGGAGACAGAGCAACCGGCGAGTAGGTGGTAGACAGACAAGCATGGCAGGCAAATACAACGACATGATCAAACCTTGGAAGGTGCGCGCGACAGGTTTTGCATCGTGACCGTATATACCTGACGAGAACCGTAAAGCAGACTAAGAATGGTAGGTGCACATGGATGTAGGGGGCGCACTGAAAAGACAGGTTTGGCTGGTGAGTCTCATTTGCAGTGCTTTGAGTGTGTTTGTATATTTATGTGTTTCTTTCTTATAGCCAACAATTTATACACATCATTTGTGTGTGCTCAGGGTATGTATGGGGTATGTAAATAAAGAAGCAGCCACCTGGCCTCTCTCTCTTGATCCTCCATGTCCACAAAGGGGTGCAAGTAAGGAAGAGAGATCCAGGGAGCAGGAGAAGAAGAACTGCATTCTTTGCTCAGCATCTTCCCTTCTCTCTCTCACCCCAACAGGTTTCCAGTCCTAATAGGCTGGCTGGCTGACTGACCCCTTTGTTTTGTTGCTCACTTCCCTTACCCCAACCCTAAATCCAATAATTTTCCCATTCTCCATTCTCAGTTGCCTTTCCCACCCCGCTTTGCTTTGTTTTATCTTATCCCGACCGAGCCTATCCCACCTAGTTATTCCAATCCAATACCAGCCTGCCTAACCCCTAGTTGACCTGACCACCGTCCCTAACCCTATTCCGCATTAAACCTCCCCTTTGTCCCAAAAGTTTAGAGATTACCAACCAGAAATAGAAATATGGATCAAAACGTGTATGGGTAATAAAAAGGAATATGGTATGAAACCCAGTGTGTCGCTTTGCCTTGTTAGGCGGGATATGGTAACGACAAGTGGGTGTAGAACACACAGGTCCAACGCGACAACACAGATGAGGAACAGCTTGGTTCGGCTGTTGATTTGCCGGTATGTACTGTGCATTGGGCCTGGGTTTGAAGGGTAAAAATCGGGTTGTCCGAGAAGAAGAAGGGGAATGTGATGTAATAAGAGGTGAAAATGCGAAAAGCTATAAAGAACCGCAAACAAGGAGGTGGTGTAGATTGGTGTACAACTGAAATGTCCTCCATATGATGTTCACGCTTATTGTGGAAATGCTAGGCTATGCTTGTTGTGTGAAGCAATCGCGAATAGAAGAAAGGCGGCCTGAAGCGCGCAAAGCAAAAAGTGTAGGTAGGCAACAAGGCCACAAAAAAGTGAAGTGAAGTGAAGCTCGACCACTCAAGAAAAAAAATAGAGGCAAAATAAATCGGTCGAGCATCGGCTGGAGGACCCAGCCAGCCGAGTAATCGTAACATCTTTCCGGTCATGAATGAAGAACCACGGGCTGTCCTGTCCATCTTAGCGCACCCCCCCAGGCAGGCACTAATTATACCGTGGCAGTCCGAGTAGGCACAGCCGCAGCAATGGTGGGCGTCGTAGCAGACGTGGGCGTCGTCGGCTCAGGCTGCAAAAGCTCCGTGGTGATCTCCTCGCGCACCTTCTGGCACCACTGCAGCACGGCGTCTTCGAACTGGGCCCACAGTTCCGGCCCGTTGTTGTACTGCAGGCCGAGCGGATCGGCCTTGAGCAGTACCTCCCAGCGTAGCTCGGCCGCTTTCAGCCAGTAGCGCAGGTTGTCGGCGGCGCGGTACGGTTTCTCGGTGTTGGCGTAGAAGGTCGGGATGGCGCCGAAGCGACGGCGGGACTTGCGCACAGCGCAGTTGTGCAGCTGGACCAGGCGCTGGCCGTTGGAGAGCGAGGCGAGGAAGGGCGTGGGCAGGGTTTGCGACTCGAGGGGTTTGGTGCGGTCGATGGGCTTCCATTGTGGGATCACGGGCATGTTCTCGATTGGGTCGGGGCCTTTGAGCATGGAGCGCATGAAGGCCTCCTCGCGCTCGTATTCGCGACCCTCCCAGCCTTCGGGGTTGAGCCACGCCCATGAGGACCGCTCAGCGACTTCCTTGGCCTCGATTGCGTCCTCGGACTTGAGCATGGCGCGCAGACCGGCGATCCAGCCGTCCATGGTGCGGAACTCGTCCTCCCGCATGCCGCCGGAGAAGCCCCGGGTAGCCATGCGCTTGAGCACTTCCATGACGGATAGCAGCTCGCCCCTGATCACCTTCTCCGACTTGATGGCATCGAGACGGTCGGGACGGTCGTGGGAGGTGTAGTAGATCTTGGCCGCACGGATGGCTAGCGTCATCACGTCGAGAATGTTCATACCCTGAATCTCGTACCATCCGGCGGAAGGAATCGAAGGCCGGCGCCCGTCTTGGGGCTGGGTATCTGGGGAATCGATGTGGATGGCAAAGTTGGGAGGTGCCTTGGAGTTCATGGCCTCGCGTAACGTCTGCTCAGCCACGTCCAGCGAGCTGGTCAGTTCAGCCCTCAACTCGGCAATTGTCGGTGGCTTTGGCACTGGCTTCACGCGGTGGTTGTAGGTGCTGGTTGTGGGCGGTGGCATGTTGGGGTCGATTTCCAGCTCGTCCGAGAAGTAGTCTTCGTCTTGCTGATCCGGGTTGTGGTATTCTTCGATGGGCGACTCCACCATGGAACCACCACCGGCCGCCATCATACTAGCAAACCCGGTGTGTGCTACCAGATCCGGGCTGCTCCCCATGGATGCGTAGCTCGAGTCGTGGTCTTGGCTGCCCGGCTTGGGAGTCAGGAACATGCTCGGGTCGAGTGATGACAGGTCGAGGGTGTGTGCCTTGTCCCCCCGTTTCCGTGCTAACCGTCCTCCCTTGCCATCCAGCAAGCCAGTACGGGCAAAGTAGTACTGCAGATGTGTAATGCTACCCAGGCTGAGCACACTCTCCCGGGCCCGGGCGCTCGCGGCGAAATCGGTACCTTGTGGCCTCATGTAACCCCGCCTGCGGCTTGGACTCCTCCCCCTCGGTGTGCTCGGTGTATCTGGTGCGCTGCATGTCGAGTCGCGGGGTCGTAACGGGTCACTGTTGATGCTGATGTCGGAGAGCCGGTAGCTTGCCGAGGAGCTTCGGGAAAAGGCCGAGGCGTCACTGCCCAGCGAGTCTCGGAAGAAAGAGGCGTCGGTAGTGGCCGAGCCGTGGGAAACAGTCGACCCGGTTGAGAAGCAGCGGGCCATCTCGGATCGGGCTCCTCCTAGAGCTGCCCGCGGCCGCGAGCCAGGGGCTGGGGAACCTTCTCGCGAGAGAGCGGGGTTGGACGATGCGGCCATTTTTGGCGATGGGTGTGCGTTGCAACCTCAGGTCGGGTCGTTGTTTACTCGAACGTAGCGGAACTTTCTACGGTTGGGTTTCCCTTGGGTTGAGATCTGAAGCAGCCGGCAAAAGTAAACAAAACGGAGTGCCGGAACCGCGGTAACCTGCCGTGTCGCAGTCGAGACGAGAGCTGGCCGAAACGGCGAGGGACAAGACCTTGCTGTGTGGTTCTCTTCGGGGGTCTACTTTCGAGATCGGCCCAGGGACCAACGAAAGGTGCACTGGTTAAAAACGCAAAACGGAGGATCGTTGTTTTCAGCGGCGGCCAAAGCCAGATTCAAAGGAACGAATGTATGGCGTGCAAGAGAGAGTGTGTTGTGGTTTGGTGAGAAAAAAAGGAGACCGGATCGCGTGGCTTCAGGCGGGAGAATTGGTGCTGAGACGGATGGGGGGTTCGGGACACTTTCAGCACTTTCCGGGGACTGATGCACTGAAAGAATGGGCTCGGCCAGGGGTTTCAGGGTGGAGTTGGCGCGTGCGCAAATGGGCTCCAAGGTTCCAGAATGCCCCTCCGGGTCGACGCGCGAAGGCCCGCTTGTGGGGCACCAACGAAGTGGACGCGTTGAAGCAACGGCTTGCCCGTCGCGGTAGGAGTGGGGCCGTTACAGGCCAATCTCTTGAGGGGAGCTCCCTGGCGAAATCCGGAGAGGCCGCACGGAAAAAGGAATGATGCCTGTCACATTGGGGTTGTCTCGTGGCTCTGACGATTCAACGATCCACGATCTCCGATCTCAACCTTCATGGACAGAGCAGGGCAAGCCCGCTCTGGCAACCGGGAGGTCAGCGATGTACGAAATATTGGACATGAAACCAGGCGGCCAACTGAAAAGGGACCAGCAGCCCAACGCTCAATATGCAACGGGCGCCAGGTGTCAACAGCCGAGGGACAAGCCCAATGCAAGCTAGGGGTGTGTCTTTCCGTGCCTGCCGTTGAAGTTGACGAGAGCTTCCGTCACTGAACGTTGGTGATTGGCCCGAGACACTTGCTACCCCTGCTGTCATTACACGCAAGTCACATCGTACTGCAACATTGGAGTGCTGGGGAAGATTCGGCCGCTTGAACCGCACTTCATCCGCAACATGATGTTCCGAGCGGGTGAGGTTTATGAAGCAAGAAACCTGCAATGCGGCAATGCTGGGTTCCGTCGGGAAGGCACGTCCGCCGCATCCCGTGTTGCATGCTACCGAGATTTTGCAGGATCTTGCCTCTTCGTGCAGTCCGGGGACTCTGAGGAATCCGATTTTGAAAAGACAACGTTTCCTCTTCGCGTTGGTTTATTTCCGTCACAACCAATCTGCCTAAGCGGAAATAGGGGTTTGTGCCATGTCTCTGGGAAATTTTCCCTTTCCTGTGCAATGTCGTGTCTTTTCTTTTTTTAACACATCGACCCCCACCTAGCCGGGCAGCGTTCATGTCTCACCAAGTCTTTTTTAAACGAGGAGCTACCGTCTTGCATGCTAAGGTGTTGTTGAAAAGCTGTCTGCAGCATGACATATCCAAAAGACAATGAAAGCCCACAACCACCAGTCGCTTCTGCCCATGGGCAAGATCCCTGTCATAGCTGACCAACTGCCGTCTGGCATCCGGCACGGAAACCGTCAGTTGGGTGCGATTCCTCCCCCTGTCAGCAGCGCTCCCGATGGACGGGAAACGCGGGCACGGCCCAGCGATTTGGAAATCGGGATTGGGGTTTGATATCATCGGCCATGGTGGCCCTGTCACAAAGCGCCTCAAGCTGGTCTCCTATCTGGAAGGGGAAGAGCGAGCTTCCTGGTCGAGCCATAGTACATAGTAGGTCATCATGACACAGGGCGACGGCGAGTAAAAAAAAAAATACTGTCCATGACCGAGACATGCGGGAGCAGCTTTCCTGCGTAAATGCAAGCTTCCGGCACGTATTACACAGCAACTCACAGCTCGTCCAACGGCGATTGGGTTTCACATACACCTCGTGCATTCTGGGTGCTTCGTTCTCGCCCATTTCTCTTTCAGAAAATTAGGCCTGCGTCACATGAACGGCGCAGAGGCTGGCTGCTCTGGGATTTGACGAGGGTCATTGCAGACAATCTGCAGTGGAAGAAAGCTTGGGACGGACCAGGCCCCGGCCTCACTCAGCCCGCCTTGTGTGATTTTTCTGCCCAACCCATCGATCCCGTCACACAAATCTCCTGCCCATCCTCACTTCCCTCGACGAGCCATTTCTTTCCGTCTTGATTTCCTCTCCCATCGTGCTTGGCCTCATTTCGGTTCCTTGAACACACTGCAAACTGTTGGTGGCTGGCACAAACAGCAGGATTTCTCGCCTTCCAATTCCCAATCCCCGACCTCCAATCCCCCAAATCCCCGATTCCAGGTTTCCTCATGTCCTTGCAGCAGCCACTCATTGACTGCAGCACCGAACATCCATTTCCATCCCTGAGACCATTGGAGCCTAAGAAAGCAGCCGATCAGAACCGCCGAGCAGCCAGTCGGGCGTGCAGCGAGCGAAAGGCCCTGCCTGGATTTATGGGGCTTTTGGCCCACTGCAGCAAACCCACTCGAACACAGGCCACTGGGGAGCACTGGAAGTGAGGAGCTCCGGCCCACGGGCAACCGAACCACTGGGGGAGGAGCACCCGAACTGGAAGCCCCGGGGGAAGAAGACGGGGAGCTCAGGTTGGCCAGTTCCACCTGCAACCCGGCGGCTGTTTCGAGCAAAGTTCGCTGCAAGTCGCTTCCAGGTTGCAGCATTCCACCAACAGGCGCTGCTGCATGCTTCGCTGCAGCCGAAAAGTGCAAGACAGCAGCCAAAAAAAAAGAGAGCCACTAAATGTCCTCGCTTGCTGCTGGTCCCGCTGCTCCTGGCAGTGGTGGCGACGACCAGGAGACTCGCGCTGATCAACAGGATCCCCTCGTTGTTATCGCGGACACCGACGAGAGCAGCAGCGCAGCAGTTGAGAACCGACAGCCCAAGGATGCCGGCGACCACGATACGAGCAGTACCACGGTCGTGCTGACCTTTTCCGACGTGCCCCACGAATTGGTTCGTCTCGGCGACTTTGAATCGCAACAATCGCATCCACCGCAGCAACAGCAGCAACAGCAACGACAGGACGCGCATGCCGACACAGCCCACATCCACATTGGCGGCCGCCCAAATAGCTCTCCTTCGGGACAGCAACAGCATCGGCCAGATTCGCAACTTCAACAATACCAGCAACAGCAACAGCTGCACAACTTCCCACGACTACACAAACAAATATCCGCCGAGAGTCTCACCAGTTCAAACCCCGCCCATCGCGTTCGCAAGCCTTCGCCCGGCCTCGCAGCGCGATTAAAAGCTCTCGGGTTTGGGTCGCGCAAGACGAGCCCACCACCACCCACGATCCACCTCGAACCCGGCCGGCTCCCAGAAGAAGCGCTGAGGCGACTCGACCAAGACCATCTCGCGGGGTCCGCGCATACCGTCGTCGAGCGGCGGGGCCGCCCGTGGAAGGGTGCCATCGCCCGCATCCCGTCGCTGTCGAGCCTGCGATCGGACAGGTCAGACAGGTCACAGACCAGGACGGAACCGGACGAGCCCGCGCCCATACCTGGGCCATCGCCCGAAGTAGTCGTCACCGTGCCGAAGCCCGACCTCCTCCCCGAGATTACCGCCACAGAGCCACTCGAGATGGACACACACAAGTACCGCCTGCCGGACCACACGAATGGGAATGGCGTCAAGGCGCAGCCCGGGACGCGCCACGAGCATATCGCGCGGGACACTCGCCCGCCCCAAGCACCACCGCTCACGCCCGAGATACCACCACCACCTCTACCCAAAGATACGCCGCCGCTCACACGGCGCCTCACAAATCCTACCAATCCTAGCACACCCACCGCGCGCGACTCGTTCAACCCTGACAGCATTCCTTTTAACCCCCTCGGCCTGCAACGGGCAGGATCGATCTACACCTTATCGCGGGCGTCGTTCGCGAACCAGCTCGCACAGCTGACGTCCCTGCAACTTCCCGACGCTGATTCCCTCTCCAACAAAGTCTCCGCGATCCCGACTGCCCAGGCTGCGACGACAGCGCTGATAGGGGCCGCCGACCAGATCCGCGGGTGGATCTCCAAGGCGTCCGAAGTGATCGGGGGCCTCGAGAGCGATGACGACGTCGAATGGGCCGCGGCGGGTGGCCGCGAGGGCGTCGAGGAAGTCGAAAACGCCATCATCCGCTTCGAGGAGCTCATCAAGGTCTACGTCGGCGCCATCGAGGACCTGCAGTGCCGGGAAGATATAGCATACGTCTCGGGCGAGAACCTCCGGCGAGCGGTCGAGCAGATGGAGGCTATCCTCGAGGAGTGGACCGGGATGCGCAAGACGCTGCAAAGCGTCAAAGCCCAGGTTGAGATCGCCATGGAATGGGAAGAGTTGTGGAACATGGTACTCGGCGACATCCAGAACGAGATGGACGAGCTGACCAGGCTGGTCTTTGAGATGGAGGAGCGCCGGCACAAGTCCATCCTGACTGTGCCTACTGGTGATGGCATGGATATTGGTGACCTCGAGACAATCGTTGAGGACACGCCGCGCGCCTCGGTCCGACTACAGCCATCGAACAACCGGTTTAGCATGCCCGTGTTCCCTGCTAGCCCGACGTCGCCGTCGCCAACAGCCACGACCCCGATGGGGATTTCCCAGGACGACTCGAGCTTGCTTGCGTTGTTTGCGAGGATGCAGCCGCTCCGGGCTTCGCTGGACTTTTTGCCCATGCGGCTCTCCGTGTTTGAGAACCGGGCCGACAGCATCTTCCCGACGGCGTGTGAGGAGCTAGAGATGCGTCGATCGGAGCTTGACTCAAACTACAGCAAGCTGGAGAAGGACGCCGAGTCGCTGCGCAAGGAGCTCGGCGAGGACCGCTGGGTGCTGGTGTTCCGCGGGGCGGGCCGCCAGGCGCAGAAGATGCACGAGTCGGTCGAGCGGAGCGTGGCGAAGCTGCGCGAGGCCATCGACACGGGCGTGCACCTGACGAACCAGCCCGTGATGAGCAAGAAGCTGGAGAACTACGAGGCCAAGAAGACGCACTACGGCCCGGCCATCGAGCGCGTCCTGTCCATCATCGACAAGGGCGTCAAGGACCGGCTGACTGTCAACGGCGAGATCTTGCGGTTGCACGCCGAGATGCAGGCCAAGTGGGAGGAGCTGAAGGCGGCTATGGCCGAGATGGATGTCGCTGTTGAGGAACTCCAGGCCGACAGGAAGGAACAGCAGTTGCGGGATTCCGTGTCCAGCATGGTCTCCAACGACATGTCAACCCTCGCGAGCGGCCACGAGACCCCGCAAAGCTCCCCGCCCTCGTCCGTCATCATGTCGTCCATGGGACTCAGCAGCTCAACGCACCTCCAGGCCCCAAAACAGCGATCATCCAGCTCCCTCGGCCACTTCCCCACCCCATCCAGCCGCCGCCAATCCTCCCTCCCTACCCCAAAAAGCCAAGTCACCCGCAAGCCCGTCGCCGCGCGAACATCCACCTTATCCGTCCCCAACACCACCCGCGATGGCTCAGCCACACCCACCGCAGCCCACCGACTGCCCCGACCCTCCTCCTCCCTCGCAACCCGCCCCAAATGGAACGCCTCCACCAACACAACCGACATCGACACCGGCCACAACTTCAAACCCTTATCCCTCACCACCCCGAGCCCCTACGCTAAACGCTCCCCCGTCACGCCCGCCACCCGCTCCTCAGGCTCCAAACTCCCCACCCTACGCACCCCGCTCTCCCGCCAAACATCCACCTCCCCCATTCCCGAAGGCTCTCCGACCCCGTCCCGACCTCCTCATGCTTCGTCATCATCATCCCCGCTCATGTCCTTCCGCGACCGCCTCGGTTCCCCCGGCGCTCGCCCGTCCAGTCGTGCCTCGTCTCGTCCGCGTCTGGCGCCTTCCCAGTCGTCGTCCGCTACGGCGTCGACTATTGCCAGCCGGCGCGCTTCGTTGCAGCCCCCGGGGCTGGAGTCGGTTGAATCTATCACCCCAGCCACTTCTTCTACATCAGTGGGTCATGGCGCAATCCCCCGTCGCCCGGCGAGTTCCATGGCTACGGGGAGACGGAGTAGTCTTTTGCCGCATCCGAGGGGGAGTACGGCGGCTGTTACGCCTTCTAGGTCTTCGAGTAAGGTTTCGCCTGGAAGTGGGAGTGGGAATGGGAATGGAGTGATTACGGGACGGGAGAGTCCGCAGGCGGTGGCGGGCGCGAGGTTTGCGATGCGTAAGGGGAGTAGTAGTTCGGCTGTTGGGGGGGAGAAACCGAGGGATTTGAGGCCGCGGTGGAGGGGGTGAGTGATGCGGAATTATATTGGAGGTGTGGGTGAAAGAGGAAGTGAGGGGATGGCATGGGTACCTGGTATGGCACGGCAGTCTCACGGGGTCGTTTTGATTTGCTATTCATGCTAGGAGTTGGTGTTCCGGTGATATGGATCGTGGATCGAGGACAGGAAAGGAAAGCCAGGAGAAGCAAAGGAACGAAAAAAAGGGAAGGATATTAGGTCTCTCTGGTCAACTGGCGTTGTTTTTAATGGCGACGCTTTTTGACGGCGTTATCTGGGGTCCGATCTGATCACGACGGCGATGTTGTGATGCACCGCGATGGGACATCACACAACGGAACGCAACGCAAGGGAACGCAATGGGACGGTTGGGGGTCCGAGATGATGAGGCTGGGGGTTGATTCCCTCCTTTTTATTACTTTTCTTCTTCTCCGTTTCATCTTCGATTCCTGGTTCTGTTCCTGAGTCCTAAGTCCTGGTTCCTAGACTTGGGTCTACTCATCCTTCGTTGTTCTCTCTATCTCTGGCGTTTCTCTCTCCCTCTTTTTTGACTGCGTTTAAGATTTCTTCTTCCAGCTCTTTTATACCCGCAAAATACCCCCAGTTGCTGTTCTGTTCTGTTCTGTTTTGTTGTTCTGTTCTTCTTGCTTCGCATACTCTTCTGGCTTCTAGGTTTCTAGTTTTCCAACTCATCTCCATTTCGACCTTCCATTCCATTGTTCCATATTCGACTCGACATCTTGACCCCATGTTTCTTCTCTCTATTTCTCCTCCCATGGCTTGTACCATACATACCATACGTACCATACCACCCGCCGGTCGTTATTACAGGGTAGTGGACTGCAAGGCAAGGAAAGGGAAGGGGAAAGGGAAAGTACGGGGCCTTCGCTTGATTGGGATTGAGATAGGAATTGGCTGGGCCAAACAAGACGAAAAGGGGGACTACTCACTAAAAAAAGGAAAGGTGTCCTTCCTTCCTTACCGCCTTCGTTTGTAGATATTCTTTTATTTTTCAGGGGGGTTGGACGGGTACAATCGTTGATTTAGGGCGGGATGGGCGGGATATTGGGACTGGCGTCAATGGAATTAGGATTAGGGATTAAGGGGGGGGTGTGTACGAGGTGGTACGTAGGTAGTAACTCTGAACTCTGAACTCTGGGCTCTCTGGTGATACTTCTATGCATGGGTTGGTGAGATGAGGATGTTGATGGGTTGATTAATTCGTCGTTGTGCTCATTCGTTTATTCTTTCGTGTGAATTATGTAGTGTATGTAACATATGTTGTGTGTATTGCGTAGTTTAAGCGGCGTGTTCATAGTAAGTGGTTGCTATGGTAAGATTGAGTTGGCTAATATTATTTCATGAATGCTTTCTAGAGTAGACGGACGGGCTTCGTGCGACATATCCAGTTTGTTGTATGTGTCCCAGAATTAAATTGGCTTTTTTGGGGTGAGCAGTTGCTGTGATGAGATCAGGTTTGTTGATATTGATGTATGAGTGGTTGATTTCAAGTGCAAACAAGTTTGGTGTCACATATTCATGATCTTGATTAACGTCGGGGCTATAACGCGAGTATGAACAGACATAACAATTGCGAGAGTCCAATTCAAATGCACTAAAAGACTGAATACGGCGCACTCAATCATTTCCATATGTTACCCCTAAATCCCAAACACATAATCATCCATCAATGTCCAAAACAGCCAAGATGAACAAACCCATCATAGATCACATCCAAATCCCATCCAAAAACACATCACTGAGTCATCTCCACATCCTCATCACCCTCCATCTCACCAGCCTCCGCGGCCGCCACCTTGCGAGCGAAATACCCCCCCTCAGCCGACCACCGCGGATAATGACGCTCGCCGCACCCCTCACACTTCGGCAACAAGTCGTCATCCACCTCTTCCTCTTCCTCTTTCTCCTCTTCATCCTCCTCGCTGCTCTCCTCGCTGCTCTCACTCCCATTCTTCTTCTTTTCCTTCTTCTCTTTCTTTGTCGCGGCCCATGCTCCGAAAGTCGAGTACCACTTGCCATCCACAAGATCCGTGCGACGACGACGAGCAGCCTTCGTTTTGGTGCCCGCTTCAGTGGCAGCGGTGGTGACAGCCTTCTGAGCGGACGCCTCGCTACTGCTGTCCTTGGTGTCGTCGGCATCGGCAGCATCCTCGTCGTCCTCCACCTCCTTGCCAAGCGTGAAACCATAACGCCCGCCAATAGCAGATCTCTGTTCACCGAGGCGCTTGGCGACCAGGTTAGCCGAGTTGAGGCTCACAAGCGTGCGCTTAGGCTGGCCGCTGTGCTCCAAGATCGCGGCGCAGAGCCGCCAGTTGCGGGCGATGGCCGTGTCATCCTCGTGCTCGCGGGCCTCCTCACACTTGGCCGTCTCGAGGAAGTTCTCCGGGGGAGCGTAGACGAGGTCGGGGTTGTGGTAATGTTGTTTCCCGCCGGGCTGGGCGCGGACCCGGACGGCGAGGTAGCGGTCGTGGGCCATCTCGGCCGGTGTGCGGCCGACGGCGTTTTCGTAGCTGAGGAGGCTCGGGTCGAGATCGAGGATGGCGCGGAGGACAGCAGTGCCGACCTCGGACTTGAGAATGGTATGTAGCGGGGTATCGCCGGTGCCGTCGAGCATTCGGAGGGCCTGCTGCGTGGTTTCCGTGGAGATGTCCGCGAACAGCTTGAGCATCTGGACCACCTCGTTCGGCGACTTGATCCGCTGGCTCACGGCATCGGCAAGGTACTGATGAAGCGGCGTTCGACCGTCCTTCTCGAGCTTGGTCCTCTCCTTGACCATGGACGCCAAGACGCCCCGATCAAGCAGATCAAGCATGGCCTTCAGCTCCTTCAGTCCCGGATCGTGGTGTAAGGCGGTATGGAAGAGGTTGTTCCGTCCGTAGTCCTTGGTGGTCTGGTCCGCGCCGGCATCAACCAAGGCCCTGGCGGCGTCCAGTCGGCCCAGGCGGTAGGCGAGCATGAGGGGCGTGACTCCGAGCGCCGACTTGACTTCGAGCAGAGCCGGCTGCGTCTTGGCGAGGTAGGCGACCAACTCGGTAGACTCCTTGCTCGGCGCGGCAGAAACCGCGGCGTGGAGAACCAGTTCACCTGAGATGTGTCTGTCAGCAGTGCACACACACGCACACATTGAACCATCCAACTAAGTCTTCTGGGGATTGCTTACTCTGATCATCGAGCCACTTGGAAATAGCCGCATCGAATCCACCTGGGGCTCGGGCCAAATGCTTCAGCTTCTCATCGTCACGGGCCGCCTTGGACTTGGCAAAGGTGAGGTAGTGCCTTAACGGGGTATCGCTGAGGAACCACTCGACCGCCTCGATCCGGCCAACCAACGCCCCGAGCAGAAGAGGGGAGGTTGCGGTACCGACCGCCCTGGGTCGGGCCCCGCTTCGGCCGGCTTGAGCCCAGTCGTTCCTTTTGCCCCAAAGAATACAAAGTTAGTTTTCAGGAAACCGGTAGAACAAACGGGGGAGACGTACCGCTTCTTGCCGTAGACCGTCAGCCCTTGATAGTACTCGGGCTTGACTTTGAGCTCCATCCCGGTGTCTTTGACCAGGTGTTCCAGGGGCAAACCGGCCCCTGTGCGCTTGATGATCTCCCCAAGGAGTTCGACACGGCCGAGTTCAACCGCGATCCGGAAGCAGTATTCGGGGAAAGAGTAATACCCAGAACCCCGGTGATTCTCGCCGGACTTCCGCGTGGTCCAGTACTCGCAGATATCGAGCAAGAATTTCAGCTTCGCCATGTCGTTGTCCTCGATGGCTTCTAAACGCATGGTTAGTACTCTCCATTTTACGGGGCAGTGGAGGGTGCGATAAACAAGAGGGCTAGAGAGAGAGAGAGACGTTGCCATACTTCTCAGGGGGGCCGTCCATTCGATCATCTCCAGCGGCAGGGTACGGCTGTTGACAACCATTGACACCTGCCCAACATTCTCGATCGTGTACTGCTCATCGACGATGTGGCTATATATCCTCGGGTGAGCATCATCATCATCATCATCACCATGGCCACCATCATCACTATCCATGTCCTCGTCGTCGTCCTCATCGTAATCCGAAGCCTCCTCGTCGGCCTCCATCCGGTAGCGCGTCTTGGGCTTCTCCTCTGGGACGTACTGCGCGTGCGCAATCTCCAGGACCGCCTTCGCAACCTCGAGGTGGCCGCGGTCGTACGCGAGCGAGAACGGGTTGTTACTGTTCTGGTCGCGGACGGCAATCTTGAGGGGTGCCTCCTCTTTGGCGTCATCCCACGGACCTAATGTCAGTGTCTTGATCGTTTCTAGGTCGCCGTGGAAGGCCGCGTTGAACCTTGAAACATGGTTAGTAAGCTAGGCCGCTCGCACAACAGCAGAGAGGGGTGTGGGGGCTTCGTACAGTCTGAGATAGGCGCTGCGCCTTGCATCAGTCACGTCGTTGACGTTCTGGAAGGAAACCGCAAATTTGAAAGGAAGTTCGATGGGCCGGTAAGGGCTGTGGTGGTAGTCTCTTCGAGGCTGCGCGCGATTCTTGAATTCGGGATACGCCTTCACAAAGGTCTTGGCTCCCTTGAAAAGCAAGGCCTCCTTCACCCTTTCCAGCTTCTTGATGAATTTTGCGATGGCCTCGCGCTTCTCATCAACCCCAGGAATGTTTGCCTTTGGCGTGTTCTTGTTCTGGTACTTTTTCCAAGGCCTCAGGTCCCGTTCGAACCTCTTGCGGCGCGACTCGATCTCCTTCGCCACCATCCAATGCTCGTACGTCCCCTCTTCAAACTGATTCAGATACGTATCAATTCCCTCGGGCAGGCTGGGCTCAGGAGATGAGATGGAGCCCTCTGGTTTATAGCCGCGAAGCCTTGTGAGACGCTCGTCCACAACGTCCAGAGCCGTTTCGCCGGTGAAAGAGGAGCTCCACGAGTTTGACATATGGTACTGAGACTGGGTTGTCACCGTGTTCGGGTTTGCGCCGCGCTCCAGGAGCGGAACAGCAATCCCGGGGTTCGAAGACCGCAAGGCGACGATGAGCGGTTGCTCCACCGTCCGCTTGTACTGCAGCTGGTTGCTCTCGAATGTGCCCAGCTGCTTCTCCGCTACCGGCGACTGCTTCGCACTCTTTATCCAAGCCTCGAAATCGATCTCCGGAGCGGCCCCGCGCTCGAGGAGTTTCACGACCAAGGGCAGGTTCCCCTGTGCAGCGGCGGCTTGCAGCGGGGCCTCGCAGCCGTCGTAAGCGGAAAAGGCGATGTGGTTGATGGCCGTCTTGGTTCCAGCCGGGTCCAACTCCCACAGTGTTTCGAGAAGGGATTGGGCATTAGCTTGAGCATATCGATGGAAGGCCGTGATACCATTCGTCTCTGCTTGAACGGACGTAGCCCCAAGACTCAGGAGAGTCTTCGCCATCTCCTGGGCCTTCTCCACAGGAAGCGCGAGGGCTAGCACGAGGGTAAGTATAGCCTCGTGCCCCGTGTCCTTTCCGAATTTGACGGGCAAGAGAACATCGGCACCGTATTCCTATATTGCGTGTTGTCAGCCGGCTGTTTCGGACCAAGCATCGCACGGCGGGCGTTAGTCACGTAGCGGACATACCTGAACCAAGAGTTTCACGACCTCTACGTGGCCTGTAAGGATGGCAAAGTGCAACGCCGAACACGGCCGGTCCCAGGCAGCCACGTTGATATCGTAGAAGTCGGGCTCCTCCTCCTCACTCTCAAGCGCAATCTCGTCGAGCACTTCGATCTCCTTCTTCCCAAGCTTGACAAAGGAGCCGGTAGCCATGCTCTGGCCGTCTTCGTCGTCCGAGTCCGACCCGTTGATGAGCTCTCCGTCGGACTCCTCGTCTGCATCCTTTGTTTCTTCTTTAAACTGAGTCCCATCGTCATCAATATCCATCGCGTTCTCCCCGCGACGGCGCTGGTCCTCTTTCTCTTCATGCTCAGCCTCATTAGCAGCACTCTTGTCCAGGAGGATCTTGACAATCTCGGCGTCGCCACGTGCTGCAGCGAGATGGAGCGCCGTTCTACCGTCAGCGAGCCGAGCGATAAGGCGAGCTCCAGCGTCAACAAGCGCGCGGACTATCGCGGGCGTCGAGCTCATGGCCGCCAAGTGAAGAGGAGTTCGCCCAGTGTAGTCCCGAGTGTTGGGATCGGCACCCTCCTGAGCGAGCCAGTCGGTTACGTGCTCGAGGTCCTCGTCTACAATGGCCTGGCAGAGCCGTGCTGTGTTGCCGACATACGCCATTTCAGTCCAGTCATCATCGGTCAGGGGGTTGAATGAGCCGATTTCCTGTTATCAGAAGAGTCAGATTTACTGCCCAGCTCAAGAATCGAGGATTGCACAAGCCAGATAGAGTAAATACCTGTCTTCCCGGGTCGTCCTGCATAAACGAGATCTTGCCAGAAACGAAATCCTTCTCTTCGGCTTCCGCGACTTCCTTCTCTTCCGGGGTAACCGGAACGGGGCAGTATCCGCAGCAATCGTTCACGACGTCCTCGACCCGACCAAACTAAACATGGTCAGCACGCCAAATCACGACAGATTGGCCCGAGTCAGAGTTAGCTTACGAAGGCTGGATGGCGATGAAGATAAACCTCCCTGTCATCGGGCTGGTTCCATTCGGCGTTGAGCACTATATAAACCCTCGTTATTAGTCTCTAGACTTCTCAAGGCGGACCCATCAAGCAACCTACACAAGTCCCTGGTGTAACAGAGCTTTTCAATGCGCTTGGCGTTGAACCGTTCGCCGTACGGAATGGTGAAGGTGTGGTAGTTGGAAACCTCGTCCTCAGTGAGCCAGTCTGCCACCTCATCCTCATGGCCTTCCTTGATATTACCGGCCAGGGCTCGGAGCTGGCGGTGGTAGCGGTTAATAGGAGGGCGGCCCCTCTCATCACGGCGCTTGTCCTGGTAGGTGTCTCTCGCGCTTGGGGTGGGGAGCCTCTCGAGGATCAAAAGCCGGGCGAGCCCCAGTGTTCGCTGGAAGCTCCGTTCGAAAATAGTCGGATCGATCCGCGAGCGGTCAAATTCGGGCCAGTACACTTCAAAGCCTCTATGGCTATACTTTGATAGACGGTTCTCATATGAGGGGCTGCGGCGAGAGAGATCGATGTGATTGATCTGCGTTATGTACGACTGCAGTGCACGAGGGGTGCAGTAGACCTGCTTGCCATCGTACGCAGCCCCTGAGCAGTCAATGTCGAAACCAGTCAAGATTTCCGAAACCGATTTGTAAATTCGGAGCACGATCTTAAACCGTCAGTGACTGGACTGATATACTTTTTGATACGTAGAGGAAAGGGGGAAAGAAACGGTATAAGACAAAAGAAAACCGTTGAATTTACCTGGATATGCCGGGTGGGATACTGGCTGCCTAAGCGACGGTGTTAGTCCATGTAAACGAAGACTTAAGAGCTAAAAAGGTCTCACAGATGGTGATGGCATGCTTCGTCCTCACGACGGTCGTTTCGGTCAAGAGCGAGTCGCGAACTTTGGTCTCGATGTTCTTGATCTTCTCGATAGCCTCTTTCTCCGTGAGCCCATACAAGAACAGGTCCACATCGGAGGCAGGAGAGAACTTCTGGTGGTAGAATTCCCGAAGACCACGCTTGGACGAATTGTACTCGGCCGGGACGGGGAGCAGTGTGTTGACGACAGATGACCCGGCCGCAACCACATTGCTCCTGAAGAAACCCAGGTATTAGCGGCCACAATTATTTCCCCACATTGCTCAACACACTGGGTTACGCACCAATCGAGCTCGGCCAGCGACGACTCTGAAAAGACACTGAAGTTGCGCTGGAACTCCTTCAAGTTCGGGACAACGGCCGGGGATCCATTGGGGCGGCGGACCGCGGCCGATAGGGGCATGATGTACTTGGACTTCTCCTGGGCCGATTCGGCGGCCAAATTACGTGCCCTAATCTTGATGCTGGGCGTGTCCTCCGTGAACAGAGGCAGGACATTGACGTGGTGGTCCTTGAGGAGCTCGTTGCCCGGGTCCTGTGCGAAAAGCTGGCGAACATGGGCCTCATGCTTGCGGTAAGGCTCCAAAAGTTCGCCGATCGGGGTGTCCGAGTGTTGGTTAAGATACTTGACGAAGCCGGCGATGGGCACGGGGAGTGCCGGTGCGGGGGCTGCGTCGAGAGCCATCTCTTCGGTGCGGTTCGAGGGGGGACGGCGATTTGACAATGGTGAGGGGTAGGGGGCCTTCAACCGGACTTGATTGAATGTGAATGGAAAACAAGTAAACGGGACAAGGCGAGAATTTTGAGAAGTAGGCTAAGAAAGATTCAAACTGCTACTGGAAGATGAATTGAAGGAGCTGTCGAAGTGAATGTGTCGAGTTGTAAGGGAGCGAGTGGCCCTAGTTTTAAAGAGAAAACCTCGGGACGGACGCCGAATCGTCTTTGGATCGTATCCGGTTGTTCGTCTAAGTCCTGGTATGCATGTATGCCTTGTGGCGCGAGTTTGGCTCACCGCGTCCACAACTCCCCACATTCAGACTCAAGCGGAGCTGTTCTGCCTAGAATGATGAGTTCTTGTCACACGAACTGGACGCGAAATCCCGTGACAACTCAGATCGAGTGTTGTCAATGGAATTTGTGTCCCGCTGTTGCCTGGGGTGCCTACAGTGCCTGAAAACAACCATGCAAGAAAAATCAATAATTCGAATTGATGAAGAAAATCGCCGGGAGCACTTGAAGCAACAAGGGAAAGCCATGGATGAAGCCTGCAGGTCAGGCACAAGCCTGGTGGGTGGGTGCCAAGACGTCTGGGTCTGCCGACTTTCATATCCAATGCAAGAATGGCGAGAAAGCCTGAAAGCTGCCCTATGACGGCTTAGCTGGGAAGGTAGAGCCCGCTTCCCAAGTTTCGAGGTAAGAACCATCGAGATTGTCGAGGTAGTTTGAAGCATGGAACTTAAGGCCGAGCGGAGCTGCGACGGTTGTGCTTTCCCAAATTTGTTGAATTTGATTTTAACAAGCCAGACCGACGAGACCTTCCGTTGGACTCCTTTAGGGTTCAGATCTAGTGAAAGCAGACAGCAGACTCACGTTTTCCAAGTTGCCCGAGTATGTGGCTTCCCAGCCGTTCTCAAAACAGACAATACTATTCCTGCTCCCGGCTCTGCCAAAGAGAAAAAAATGCAACCGTTCACAGCATCGGAAGCATCGCCGGCCACCAAAACGCCTAATTGGATGAGTACAGTATGTATGGCGCAGCATGTCCCTCGTGGGGATAAAATGCTTGCCCCTTCCAAGCCAAAGACCTAAAACGCCGAGTCCCGATATTCAAAAGCCCATTAGGTCCCTTCTATAGTGCGATGGCGCCTCTCCGGTTTTCGCGCATGTGTAGCAGGCCTTGCAGGCCGCAGAAGACGAGGAACACCTGAAGATGGTCAAGATTAACAATCTGCCCTCACAAAAGAAGCGTCCGCTGGCAAAAGCTTGATACTGGCTAATTGAACATACAGCGTATATGATGACAGCCGTGAAGACTGTGGCAGCCACCGCCGGCCCGTCCGCGGGATCCTCCTCGCCTCCAACAAGCTCAGGGTGGTTTCCGCGGAAGAGGACGCCGAGGACGGAGAGAATGACGATCGCGAATACTGAGATCACGAAGCTAAAAAACTGTTAGAACTGACAAACCCTTTATTGCCCTGACCACTATCCAGATTTATCACCTGGGTAATTGCGTCACCTACCAAGACCATGCTTGCATCGCGCTCACGACGGGCTTCATCTTGGGCGAAAGCGGCGAGCGGTTCGCTCGACAGGAACGGAGGGGGTGAGACCGTCGATTGATGTCACGGCGGATCCGGGAAGCTGAGTTTCGACTCAGCGCGGGCGTCTGGTGATGGCTGATGGAGCTACCGTACAATCGGCGTTGAGGCGGATGGTTGGTTGGCGGTTTGGAGTTCCATGCTGCGGCGAGCTTCGGCTGACCCAGGCCCCAACCACGCGGCCGAAATGGACCCACATTTTATTGACGCCTAAGGATTGAGGCGCCAAGATGCCGCTTGTTGCTGACGGTTCAGTGAAGGGCCTGTGCTTCTAGGCTGCATCCCAAAATGGATCTCGGCCTTCACCACCAGCCCCCAAGCTTCCTTCTTGGGAGCCATGAAAACTCCCGTGTTGTCGATTCTCGGCCTCAGGTTCCTCCTTCAACCATAAATTTACCGTAACGGCCCTTTACGAACCCAATTGACGGCCGAGAACACTGTGACCGGATCCTTTCTTCCTCGTTTGTCGAAATCAGTGGTTCCCTTCACAGGGATTGCTGGTCCTTGAGAGGGACGGCTGGTCCTTGAGAGGGACGGCTGGTCGCCCGTTTCTGCCCCCCCCATGGGGAGCGACCCGAAAAGTTTAGGATCGCCTTAAACTTGACCGGAATGCGAGCCTTACACTAAGGACCTGGGGAAACTCGTTAGACGATGCCCTATCCGTACATCTGTTCTATGTAAACAGTATTTTTCGTCCAACGTCGGCCGCGGACAACAGCGGAGAGCGCTTGTACCGAGGGGCTTCGGGACGTTGGGTAGCCGCCCGGGCCGCCGTGCGTGTGCCGGCTCAGCCTCCTGCAAAGCAACCCCCTTTGGCGTAAGCCTGTATGCATCCGTCTTGACCCCGCCATATCAGCCCCCAAGCTGGTGCAGCTGGATGCCAACTCGTCCTCTTGTCGCAACCCGCATGTTTTGTTGCCCCTAAGGGTCGCGAAATGTCCTGTCCTCATTGGGCACCTGTATCGGGATTGGCAGAAGGGAAACGAAACGCCAAGCGAGCCGAAGGTGAGGGTTCAATCTGAAACCGATCTCCCCAGACAAGCGCCCACCGCCTGGTCCAGCCCGCCCCCAGCCAGGTTACGACGACGACGACGACGTACAGTAGTGACGACCAACATTCACACACACACACTCGGGATGTTCTCAGCCCACACTATGCGCCGGCCATCTATTCTGATTCTTGAGATGCGAGCAGCGAGCATTCTAGTGAAACACAAGCACAGGTAGATGGGAGCCGCACGGCAGTCGCTGGTCCGAAGAAGTGCTCGAACGCTCAGCCACTAGGACGCATCATCGGACCACAGTCGATCTTTTCGCCGCGTTGTGACTGCTGCCGTCACCACTTGACGATGCTACACTAACTCCAGTACTAACAGCACCACGAACAACTAACACTAACAATTGTTGTTGGTGACCATGTTGCCGATGATGAGACCTGCCGCGTTCCGCGTGCCCGTCTCCGGAAATTGCTTGCCAATAGCATAACAGCAGGAATGAAGCCTTGCTGGGCGACTGGGGGTTCTCGATCCGGAGATCTGCATTCAGAACTTCAGAGAAGGTGGTCCCGTCATTTTTTGTTCCCAAACAGGAATCTCACCTCTTCCAGTATAGCCGCTGCTACGCGGTCACGTCAGCGAAATGCAATTTCCGAGCCGCTAAAAGCAACGATTTGCTTTCCGTGAGACATGGAGATGCCCACGCGGGGGACGAACATTTCAAGAAACTGGTTTCTCATGCCCCCAAAGTTTGGCTCGTACGTGTAGCCGATCGGTCCCAATCGCTCCTCGGCTCACCCAACACAGAATAGGGTAAAGAATATCATAGGGAATGGGGTCCTTTGCGGAGTGGCCCAAACAAACATGCTTGTGAAACGGCCGGTCCTTGCAGCCGCTGCGGGCGGGCTGTTTGTTCAACCAACAGTGCAGCCCCCAGCCCAGCCCGCCCAGTCCAGCGGCCGCAATCGGTCAGCCAACCAACTCAGCGCTTCCAAATCGGTACTGGCAGTGCTGAAGCCCACATGGATCGGGTGTTTTTTCCCTTCGCATCGTCGCCCACGATATCGCCGAGGCCCAGCACTGCCGATCCCGATGGCGTCAGTAAAGCGTACTTGACACACCTCGATTCTAAACTTCTTCAGGGTAGTGTAGGACAAAGCTGAGGTCTCCAGGACGGCTTCAACAACAGCCGAGCCTTGGTCGGTAGGTTTGGTGCCGGGCGAATCCCAATTTCCATCCTCCTCCGCCCGTTCGGCAAACCCTCCAAGAAAAAATGTATGGTCAGTGTACACTAGACAAATTTCCAAAGGAGCAAACACGAACTGTGCCGTCCGCTGTGCCAGGAGCTGCAGCGTTGGGCCATTCAGGCGGCCAATGGACAGCATGGTACTGTACCAACTACATAGAAGCGAATGCAATCGAGGATTAATGGTGGTTGGGCGTCTAATTTATCGGCAATTTAGGGGAGGAGGACTGTACCGGACCTCGGGGTTTGCGTGGTTGCGTCCGGGGGGTATGGAGGTGTGAGAAGGCTGGCGGCAACTGCAAGGCACGGCACCACCTCCTGCCTGTACACTTGCAGGATGGACGTGGATGTGCCGTCGAACCAACAGGCCACGCGTTGCAACTGCTGACCTGGCTGCTGCAGATGTTTTTCTTCTTACCATGTTGGGACTGGATACCTGCCTCGCACAGTGAAAGATTCCATTTTCTGTGTTCCCTTCATGCCGTCACACAAGCAACCGTTTTCCGTCCCCTTTCCAATCTCCCAGCCTGCTGAAAGTTGTTCCCGTGAACGGGCTTCCAGACGAGATGACCGGAACAACGCTGACAGTCTCTATTCTCGATTCTACCCGCGGGCAGTTGAGGGTGACCCCAAAAACCAAAAAAGAAAAAAAGATTAGAATGAGATCAGGTCCGGCCCGTACTTTCCGATCGACCAGAAGCTCGAGACCTGCCAATGTGTATCTCGAAACGATCGTGGCCCATCCGATGTCCTCCCCGGTCAATTCTGCGGGTGTGCGGGTGGGCGACCTGAAAAAGTGACCTGACGCCTGCGAGCCTTGCCCTGCCCTGCCCTGCCACCCCAGACCCAGGTCTCTTTCTTTGTTTAGTGCAATCCCCCCCTTCCAATCCAACCGAACCTCAGGTACCAGCGTAGCCTATGGGCTGTGGGCGGGAACCTTAATTGCCAGGGGGGGTGAGTGTGACACCAAGGACCTACCCTGGCTCCCCAACCTTAATTTTCCCACTGGACCACTTTGCCGCCGCTTACATAGTACACACATGCACGCAAGGAACAGGATAGGACAGGAGAGAGACGGGAGTGAGAGTGAGGGAGCGAGAAAGGTCGGGTTATTATCCTGTCCACAAAGGAGGCCTATAAGAAGGTCGTGTTCCCTTCCTCCCCCCCATTCCCTTCCCCTTCGCCTGCTTTTCCTATTTTGCCCTCAGGAAAAAGGTGTGGAATTTTATTTCCCTTCAAGTTGCATAATCCGCTTCTCAGTCTTCCCATTCCGGGTTGATTCGCGTTACCTACCTCACTCTACCCAGCCGTACCTACAGCAAAGCCAAACCGAAACCAAACAAACCAAGACAAACAAAACTAAACGCAGAAAACCATCACCGCCAAAATGCGCGTTTCGACTCAGATCTCCCTGCTCCTGGCTGCGGCCGGTGCGCACGTCTCTGCTCAGGATGCCACGACAGGTGTATGTTGTTTGCTCCCACGCATTTACACCTCTCTCTCTCATAGGTCTCTCCCTTGTGCATTGTGGGGCTGACATTGGTTGGTTGATGGATAGCAATTGGGCGATGCGGCCGCGATTACCAACAACCCTGAGAATGCGGTGTACAAGGCGATCCTGCCCAGGTCAGCCTTCTTTGAGCCGGCGTATCCCGAGGGCGGCAACATTGAGGGCGAGGTGACGGCCCGGGCCGGCGACGGCGGCAAGGGCGTGCGTTTCAGCGTCAAGCTCAACAACCTGCCTTCGACTGGCGGGCCTTTCAGTATGTTCACACCACGGCTGTCATAACCGTCCCTACGATGTGTACAAACTGTGCTACAGAATACTAACTGAATCTCAGCCTACCACCTGCACGTCAACCCCGTCCCCGTAACGGGCAACTGCACCGAAACGCTCGCGCACTTGGACCCCTACATCCGCGGTGAGGACCCGTCCTGCAACAAAGATGCTCCCGAGACGTGCCAGGTCGGTGACCTGAGCGGCAAGCACGGCAAGATCCAGCCCGGCGACGACTTGTCGTTCGAGGCGGAATACATCGACGACTACGCCACGACCGTCGAGGGCCTCGGCGCCTTCTTCGGCAACCGCAGCATCGTCTTCCACTTCCCCAACAAGACTCGCATCACCTGCGCCAGCTTCGAGCGCGTCCGGCTGCCCGGCGGCGGCAATGGCGATAGCTCCTCGACTGCCTCGTCGCCCTCGAGCTTCACCACCCCGCCCTCAAGCTTCACCACCCCGCCGCCGACCTCGACCTCCGGCTCTGGTGGTGACGAGGGCAGCGCTACCGCCTCGCCGACCAGCGCTACTAGCAGCGTGTCGACTGGCGCCGCGGCGATTCTAGGCAGTGGCGCGGGTGGTATTGCGGCGGTTGCTGGTCTGGTGGCTATGATGTTTTAAAGAGATGTGTAGGATGGTAAGGGTTTATTGATGGGGAAAAAGGGAGTTGGGAATACCTAAGGAAAGGAAAGAGGAAAGTCTGAGCGGCGTTATTATTTGAACCTTTTTTTCTCGTTCATCTCCTCCTCTTCGTCCCCTGCTTTTTTGCGCTTTTCGATCACTGCGAAGGCAAGTACACGTATGTGCGCTGCGGCTAAACCCTTAATTGACAATGTTGAACGTGTGATGGAGCGATGCGGTTTTGAGCGACTGGATTGGTGTTAGGTGGATGAAGGAATGGGTGGGCGTAATGATAATGAGAGAAAACCCTTGACTAATATTCTTCCGTTTCTGCTTGCCCGTCGAGATCACGAGGTGTTGATGCGCGTTGTGGGTAAACCGAGATGAGCAGCAGTGACAGCCGCAATCGTTTAGCTGCGTTGTTGGCTGCATGAACCGGGAGAGTGGTGATGTGATGTGATATACGGTAAGCGAGAAGCGACCTTGCATTGGGCCAAACTCTCCGATCTTGGAGATCATTCATGGACCATGGCTATTGCCGGCAAGTTAGTTAATGGTGTCGCGGCAGTCGGCAGTCGGTGTTGAATCGGGTTGGCCATGATCCCATGGGTTTGACAAATCGTGTTTTGATAAGAAAACGGAATAACATGCAGGAAGAGAGAACATTCCCTACCTTCCCATGCTTGTGGAGAGTTCTTGTTTGCTCTTTCCTTATCCATCCTCACTATCAAACAAGGCAAGGGAGGAGTTACCGTGGCGGGTCTTTCCTTCCCGTTTCGGACGAACTGCAGGTTACTCGCAGGCGGTGGTGGGTGCGGACCCGCTCCGTGAGCCTGGCCCGAGGGTGTTCTTGCCGAGCCCTGGCTCGCCGGTCCAGCTGGAGCCCCCGCAGTCCGGGCTGCCGGGAGGATCCCTAGCGTCGATCAATGCTTGGCCCGGGCGGGAAAGCGCAAGAACGCAGTTGTGTGGATTCTTCAACAACCCCTTCCCACCTGAACCTCCCAAAGGTCGCAACCGCGCGTCGGAGTTTTTTCATCACATCCATCACTCACTCGCTCGCTTGCTCGCTCTCAATTCTCCAGAATCAGACAACCTACTACACTGGGAACAGAGCACGCGGCGCACAACGCGGCGGCGACCGAGACAAGCCAGCAACGAACTGTCGCTTCCCGTCTCCTGGATCCAGAAAAAAAATACGATGACTGCGGGGAGAGGAGTGCCACGTCGATCTGTCTTAGGTAGTGGCCCCATTGTCGACTTGCTCCAACGAGCCGGGCCCTCTCCGTGCATACACTACTCTGCATGTCGACATCATCGTGCGATCCTGCAGTTTGCTGCAAGAAAAAGCACCAAGGCCCGGTGACGAGAAGATTTACGATCCGCTCTTGATGGAATCGCACGGCCGCGTGGAACACACGTCTTTTTTTGCTCCCTGCGTCCTTCCACACGATACGGAGTTTCTCTGTCGGTACTCGCATTCGGCTCGAGCTTACTCTTAGAGATATCCGATCGGGTAGTTCAGCTGGGATGACGGAGCCTGGTCTCCAATGTCTTGCCGCTAGCTCTCGGCGCAAAAAATGTGTATTCGCTAATGTATTGCCGACGTCCTCTCTGCACGTACACTACACTCGAAGCTCCCTCCCCCCCCACTACGTACTCGGCGTTGACAGGTTGACAGCTGTATCCGCTGTCTCCGTCCAAGACACGGGACCCAAGCCTCGGACGGTAACGGGCCAGACCAAGGGTTGAATTGTCGATCTTCCCCAGCCACAGGTCAGGGAGTTCCTGGACGATTTGACAGCTCGGCAACATCTGCACCCCATTCTTGGTACCAAGGGGCCATCAGGCCATTAGGTCAGGACACCGCTGTCATTTGGCTGCAGTGGAACCTCACAAGCAGCAGTCATGGTGACAACCCGCGGCACGATCGCTGGAACCGTCCCGGCAACCAGATCGGTCCAGCGTAATGCCAGATGGGCGGCCGTCGCCCGCCGTATCTTGCAGTTCGGGGCTCAGCTCCAACGGCAGCCGCAATGTCACCCTACCCGCCCACCCAGATGGGATGGGAGTTTGAGCACTCGGCAAATCATCTTCGTCGATTGCCTTCGGAATCGGCGACGTTGCCGTGATCGGGGAGCTCCTAGTCCCCGGCTCGGCTCAAAGAGGTGGTCTCGAGGCCTCGAGGGATTTCGGGCCTACAATGGATTGACCCCTGCAAGTTTGGGCAAGGGAGCAGCAGAGGTCGCACTTAGCGGCGCGGAATTGACGCCTCAGCTGCAAGTGATATCTCGGTAGGGCTACGGCTTTTCACTAAGGAGCCTATCACTCCACCCAGACGCAGCCTCACCACTAGCAACCCTCTGCCAGAGCTGCGGAGTCGCCTTCTCCCACCGCGATGAATACTCATTTGTCTTTCTAGCCAATCCGTTGTCGTTCTTCCCAGTGACGCCAAACCGCAAACAAGGAAGCGAGAAGGAAGGGAAAGGAAAGGAAAATCTCAGCTGGACGGGACCATAACCTCGGCCGCTTTTCAATGTAATTCTGAGCCACTCTCCTTTCCGTTCGCGATGAACTGTGACCACCGGTTTGACTCAGAACTAACCTAACGCAGGTACTCTCTGGTTCCACGTTGCCATTTTGTTACCCAAGGATATGGCCTCCTACCTGGAAAGAAGTGAGACATCCAGGGGCATCCATATCAAGGAAAAACGGTGAACCGGCGGACCGCTATTGCCTTCCGATATCGACAGACGTGCAGTAACGTTAACCAGAACAGCCAACCGCACGGCAACACGACGGATAGTTTCTACCGGTCCTTGACTTTTCTGTCTCATGGGCTCGAAGGTGTGAGGCTGGAGTCTTGTGGTCACCGTCCGGTGCTGGACTTGCCTGCGGCTTTTTTTCTTTTCGGTTTTCTTCCAGGCCTTGTCCGTCTTCCCATCCCGCTCAACACATGGGGAGGGGGAGTGTAGTGACGCCGAAGATCCTCAAGCTATTTCTTCTCAAATCCTTCACTCACACCCCACCTCGATGGGCCTGACCAACGGTGTGCGGTCCCTTCGCCCGCCGAGGAACACCGGGAACACCGGGAGTCGGGGGGTAGCATCGTGTGTCACGACCGGTGTTGGCGAGCTAGACAGCCACGGGTGATGGAACTCGGAACCGGCTCCGGCCGGTCTGGCAGTGGGCCTCTCATGCGGTCCGCAGAGATGTTTACCCACCCCCCCATCTCTATTCTGGCGCGGACTCTAGCTCGGCATTGGTCGCTTGCCACGTCAAGAGGGCGGTAGGCGAGGGATACCAGGGCGGTCTGGTGATATCGGATGGATGGGATCAGCTGGCCGGGTGGGCTCGCCTGGCTCCCCGGTGCGGGAGTGTTTCTCGTAGTGGAGGGTTCGGGACGAGGTTGATCCCCTTCCAAGGCACATACCGCTTCGCGTTCCTGTCCAGCCGTTCGTTACACAGTACACGACGCCGCTCGAGTTCCCACATGCGGCAGGCTATTGACGACCAAAAGTAACCCTACCGTCTCTTAGATCGGAGCTGATAAATCGAGGCCGGCGGGTTAAGAGAGTTGTTTGCCCCCTCGCCGAGAGCCGTGACAGGAACAGGACAGGACAGGGCGGGACAGGACAAGTACTGCGTACATATAAGAGCCTTGAGCCGTTCGTCGTTCTTTGTGCCGCCCCAGACGCTCTGTCTTACATTGTGCCAATCCTCCAAGCATATTCCTTTCTTTCACCATGCCCCATTCAAACTTTATTTATCGCCTTTCTCGGCGTAAGCCTGAGCAGCATGATCCTCCCCCCGCGAAGGTGGATAGCAAGCAAAGCACCCTAGACACCTCGTGGCGGCGCAGATCCTTAGCCTCTATCCGTCGTCGGCTTAGCTCGGGCCCCAAGGCCGCTGCCCCGGGAGACAAGCCTGGCCCGAAAGAGACTACGCTCGGCCCGGTCACAGCCCCCAATAAGACCACCCAACCGACGGTGGACACCAACCGACCTATCGCCGACGAGATCGATGTCGTCAATGGGGGCCAAAATTCGAATGGCCTCCAGGTTTCTGAGCAGCACCATCTGACGACCAATAAGCAGAATGGTGCTGCCGTCAACGGCACTAGCAACGGTACTGTTAGTGGTGTCGTCAACGGCGCTCGCGTGGCGCCCCGAAACAAAGTGACCAAGAGTCACAAGAGGGCTGCCGTCGAAGACGCCGAGAAGCTAGTCAACGGCAATGCTGCGCCGGTGTGTCCTTACAACAAGTCAGTGGAGGTCATCCGCGCGGAGGAGTACCCCCATATGAACCAAGGTGCGCCCAATTATATCTAGTCCTTTTCATTCCTTCTTTTCTTCTGGTCCATTTCTAGACTCCACGGTCCCCCATCATGCTATTTCATTTCCCCCCCTTACAACCCCCTCTCATATATCATTACCCAGCCGACCCAAACCAACCATGACCTCCTAACTAACAACACCTTCACACAGGCACCTACCTCGACCACAGCGGCGCCACCATCCCAGCCGTTTCCACCCTCCACCGCACCACAGCCTTGCTCACCACCTCGCTCTACGGCAACCCGCACTCAAGCAACGCCCCTGCGGCCCGCTCCGGCGCCGCTGTTGATGCTATTCGCCTAGCAACCCTGCGGTTCCTCGGCGCTGATCCGGACCATTTTGACCTGGTGTTTACTGCCAATGCGACGGCGGCGATTAAGCTAGTGGCCGATACGTTTCGGGATTTGGGAGAGGGGGTTGTTGTTGATGGGAAGGCATCGGGGGTCGGTGTGGGGAAGAAAAAGGGTGGTGGTCAGGGGGGGTTCTGGTATGGGTATCATCGGGATGCGCATACCAGTCTGGTGGGTGTGCGGGAGCTGACGGGTAAGGGAGGGCAGCATTGCTTCGGTGGGGGAGATGCCGAAATCGAACGGTGGTTGAGTCTCGCTGAACGCCATGCCCATGACCATGGTAACGGTGTCGCCGTCAACGGCTACGCTCGCGACGGAACCGATGACGACGGCGAGTCAGACCCCGACGCCGACGACAACGACAACGACAGCTGGACATCCGTAGGCCGCCACTCCAGCCTCGGCCTCGTCGGCTGGCCAGGCCAATCCAACCTTACCGGCCGCCGAACCCCCAACGGCTGGGCCGGCCGCATCCGCCGCATGGCGCGCAACGGCCGCCACCGCAGCACTGGCACAGACACCTACAGCCTTCTGGACGCCGCCGCGCTGGCCATGACGGCGGATATGAAACCCGTGTTTGCCGACCCGGCGGAAGCCCCCGACTTCGCGTGTGTCTCTTTCTACAAGATCTTTGGGTTCCCCGACTTGGGCGGGTTGGTTGTGCGCAAGGACTCGGGACATATCCTTACCCTGCGCAAGTACTTTGGAGGTGGCACCGTGTCACTTGTCAGCACTGTTAGTGGCGCGTGGCATATGTCCAAGGGTGAGTCTGTTGGTGCCGGTGCAGGCGGAGCCGACGAGCACGGCGCCACGGCATTGCACGATGCCCTGGAGGACGGCACGCTGCCCTTCCACAGTATCCTAGCCCTCGGCGAGGCCATCGAGGTGCACGCCCAGGTATTCGGGTCCATGGGCAACATCTCGGCGTATACCACCGCGCTGGCGAGACGGATGTATAACGGGATGAAGCAATTGCGGTATGAGAATGGGCAGGCGCTGTGTAAGATTTATGAGGAAGGGAAGAAGGGGACGGGGTATGGGGATGCGAAGCGGCAGGGAGCGACGATTGCGTTTAATGTGGTTAGGGCTGATGGCGGGTATGAGTCATATGCGACTGTGGAGAGGTTGGCGAATGAGAGGGGGATTTATGTTAGGTCTGGTGGTAGGTTTGGTGTTTCTTACTTATGCCTCCTAGAGAGAGGTGGAGATGGCTAACCGTGAACACCCTACAGGTATCTGCTGCCCTGGCGGCTTGTACGTGGCACTTCAGTATCAGCCCTGGCAACTCAACCGGGCGAAATCGGCTGGTCATCACTGTGGTGAGTTGGACCGCCAATTCCCATCCATTTTATTATATTATTGACGCCAATATACTAACACATCTTCTCCTCCAGGCCCCGATGGCATCAGCGTCATCCACGAATTACCGACTGGGTAAGCTTCCACATCATTAACATCCCCCCCCGCCTTTACTCGGACCCAATCACTAATTACGATGGGATAACACAGAGTCGTCCGCGCCAGTCTAGGTGCCATGAGCACTGTGCAAGACGTCGACCGCTTCATCACCTTTTTACGTGAGGTCTTTATTTCGCAGGAGGATAGTGCGTATGCCAGCAGCAATGGGAATGGATCTGTTGCGTCGGTTTAACGAATCTTCTTGGCTGGACGGTCTTGGGGGTGGGACAAAATGCTGGTGTGGGTGATGTGGATGATGCGTTGTGGGAGGGGAATTATGCATTCATTAACATTATTTGTAGGGTGGATGACGATGGATGGATGACGATGGGTCGATGACGATGGGTGGATGACGATGGGTGGATGACGATGGGTGGATGACGATGGGTGGATAACGATGGGTCAATGATGATAATGATGATGGGTGCATGGAAGGGAGGGGAATGACTTGGTCACTGGACACGATACGATGCTAATGGGTTTCTTTGTTTTTCTTATTTCGGGGATCTGAGGCTGGAGAGGTTCATTAAAAACGAAAACGAAAAGGTCTTAACGTATTCGTTCGTTTATGACGGGCTTGGGGTTACCCGAAACCATTTCTTTTTTATCTTCTTTTTTATTTATTTAGGTAAATACCAAAAATATCTCTCTTCTCTTGTGATATGTTTCTTGGTAGTTACTTCGCTACTGCCCGTGAGTTAGGATGGTAATATGGGGAAACGCGAATTATAATTCGCAACATGTGGCTTGGTCCATTATCCTGCACCAATAACAAGTTATTTTTGCGTTTCATGTATTTAGGTACATACCAAAACGATTTATCTTCTCTTGTGGTATGTCGCTCGATATTTAATTTGTTACCGCCCGTGACTCACGATGATATGGGTACAAGAGTGAGCATCAATTGTAGCCATTTGACATGTGGCTTACCCACTACTCCGGTTGATTTAGGTAAATAGACACCAAAAATATTTCTCTCCCCTTGTGATATGCGGCTTGGTAATAAACTTGCTACTACCTGTGAGCCATGAAGACTTCAGCAAAAGGCCATTAATTGCTAATTGTCGACATGCGGCTGAGTCCAATATACTGCACTAACAATTATTTCCCTCCCGGCAATTCCGGCCCGGTACCGCCTGCGCCAACAACATCAAACCAAAAAAAACCACCGCAGCACATCTTCCCCAGCTGAGACGAAAAAAAAAAGCCAAACCCACTTTCAGCTGAAAAATAACCTCAACTTCAAAAAGAAAATTACACAAGAGAAAAAAAAAACACCGCAACGCCGCAACGGCCGGCCGGCACCTCTCTTCCTCGGCGTCCTCGCTAGTTAGTCACATTCCTTAATCCTTCCGCCTGCCTGCAGTGCCTGCTGCTGGCTGGAATGCGACCTCGGCTTATCCACAAGGTTCGGGACCGTCCGCCGCAGAAGGGAAAAAACAAAAACGGCCCGGGAAAGGCCCGGAAAGGCCCGGAGGGGAGGAGCCTTTCCCTGCCCTACCCTGCCTTGCCTACCTTGCCTATCCCGTCGTGCGTTGGTGCGAGGGTGTGAAGACAAAGCCGGGTGTAATTGGGTTGTTGTGATACAGAGGTGATCCTGGTGCTTATGGTGGGTAAGTAAGTAAATAGCTACCTGTTTTGGGTTTATTTCGCATGGTGGTAAGATGGAAACCTTAGAGAGAGTGATATATGGTAGGTATGTCGGGCCGGCATGTGGGTGTTTGTGGGCTGTGTTAGATCTCTTAGAGAGGGAATATCCCTCGTGTTTCTACACAAAGGTACTGTACAATTCGTGACGTACTTCGTACCTTATCTACATACACAACATACATACCCACACACCTCTATTTTCCCCCCTCCTCGCAACGCAAAGCTAACCCCAAAGAAGCGACGGCAACTTCCATCCCATCTTCCAGAAGAAAGTCCCGTAGGCGAGCGTTGGCGAACACAAAATAAAGGAGCGGCAGAGAGCGGCAGTCTAACCAACCACATGAGCCGTATCGGCAAATATGTGCGTGTGGTCTGTGTGTCATTCTCTTTCTCCTCTTTCGCGCGGATCTTCTAGAAAGAGGAAACTCGGAGGTCCAAACCGGCCCGGTTGTTTGCCTGGCGCGGCTCCGGAGTGGCGCCGAGCGAGCGGATGGGCAGGTGGGGGGACGGGGGACAATACAATGGGGCCGAAAGCGTACATTAGTTTACACTAGAGGGCGCACGACACGGCTCGGAGTTACTGCGTTTGTAGATCTGTGTGTTGAGAGTACGTCGTGAGGAGTTGTTTGTTGTTGTTGATGATGATGTGGACTTTGTCTATCCGTGTATCGATTATGCATGCCGCGGTGTAATTGGACCACAAGCACGCCAGCAGACGCCCCGCTTACTTACACACGCGAAGGCCAGAGAGAGACCCTCTCTGATAAGCGGGACGCGATGTAACGACCGCCGCTGGGACCGGTGAATGCGGGACGTCCGCCATACAGGGAGGAAAGAGCTTGTTGTCGCTTCCGTCCGGACCACCACCACCACCACCACCACGACCCCTATTCCTTGCACCAACCTATCGTACACCTGCTTTACCTGCATCTGTGTGTCTTGTATGCACGTCCTGTCGATGGGGCCCGAACCCGGTGCCGGAAGGAAGGTTCGTAGAACCCAAGAAGAGCATTTCCGGGACCAATTGGGACCCAAAGCCCGTCTCCGAGACCTCGTCCGTCCTGTGGGTGAGGTTGGATCGGTAGCGGCCGGTCGGGTCTAGCGAGTCTCCGTTGTCATTGCACCCTCCTAGCTGCCGGTCCGCATCTTTGCCAAATTAATCGGTTGCGGAACCAGGGGGCATACCAAACTTTTCATACTTTTGGCTGCGTGTGCCTGGTCAATACGGCCAGAAGGAAGAATCTGCGTGTAATTTGAGTGAATCTCCTCATACAACACTTGGCCAGACCAAGTGGTGACGATTCCAGATCAGTTGAAGGAGAAAGTTGCTCCTTGTACCTTAGCGTCGCTCGCTATATCTTCAAGTTCGGCTCGCCAATCTGTCGAGGGGCCCAAGGCGTGGACAAAACGGCCCGACCACCGATTTTGCCAGAATCCTAGATCCAGACGATGTCCCCATGTGAAGGCGAAAGGGGGGACAAGTGAAGAGCTGGATACGAGAAAACTGACGTTGAACGACAGCAATCTGGCTAAAAGAAGATCAAACCTGCAGAGGTGTCAATTCTTGCGTCGGCCCACTGATGGGCGGCGTCAGATGATGAAAGATGAGGCAGGTGGACGCAAATGGCGGCCATCTCATAAGACCATGGATGAACGACAGCGTCGACGCGCTCCTGCGTTGAATTATTAGTGCCGAGGTGATTATTAGCGGGACATCTAACAGGGCCAAGTCAAGGTAGATGTTGTTGCTGTTTTTGTCCTCGTTGCTACAGTTCTGGTTTGCTGTTGTCGTCCTTCTCTTTCCCATTCTTTGTTTCGTCTGTGTGTGCGTCCGAGGCGGCCCGTCGGGAAGACCGAAACGGCCTCGGCCTCGTTTATAAGCTGGATAGATAGATGGTTGGCGATATTAACGCCATGAATGTAAACAGAATGGATTGCAAGATGGCGAGCTGGCGAGTCGGCCGACGATGGCGTGAACATGATACACTACCCAGTATCCAGATAAGACCTGGAATTTCTGGAAGCGGGCCGGCTGCAACACTGTCAAATCCGTCAGCAACCCCCTGCTGCCACAGCTAGCTGCGCCATACTGTTTACTCGTATTCGAGTTGACTTTTCCTCCAGAGCGAGACTTGTTAATGGCACCGGCTCCTTGATGGCTCGACTTTCTAACTCCTTCTTCTGAGGGACCGGTATGGATTGCAAAGGAAGAACATCTTTCGATGGGGCCCTAGTATGTATGAACAGCGAGCACAGCGGATATGGATAACAGTGAGCATGGGAGGCTGCCTTTGGAGTTGAAAGGCGCCGCTGGACGTGTCCGCTTCAAGACAAGGCCGTGCTATGGGGTCTCGATAAGAGACGGTATTAGAAAGCAATTAACGGGTCTCAGAACCGGAGCCCGAAAAGCCTCGAAACTGGCATTTCAACGGTCGTGCTTCGGCTTCGGTGTGTGGATCACTGGACGAAGGTCGGCTGAGGTGGTGGGATTTTGGGGGTTGCTGTGCGCCTGCATCGACTTGAGTGGGCGTGATTTGGGATCCGCAATTTATCCGACACCAGGCTCTGATCAAATGAAGTAGCCAATCAGCGGGTTCCAGGAGCGTGCGCAACATCAACAAACGAACGCTCGGGTGTGGGCTTGGCGGCGCTTTGTGCCATCGAATAATGTGGCGGCGTGGTCCTCCTGAGATGCCACAGTCGAATACATAGTACTGTCGGAATCACGGTGATGCTTTGCCGTTAGCAGTGTTTCTCTGCGGTTTTTTTTTATTGTGAGGGTAGGTGGCTGACGAACCAGGTGGGGGTCAAGTCTTCAGGGAGGCCAGGGTTAGGGGCCGTTGGTTTTGAACATGTCGTCATTTTTCCCTCCCTGCAAACTTGGCGAAGTTTCGGCCCTTGTTTCCGAAAGATTGTGGGCCTTTGGACTTTCTCTCCTCTTTTCCATCTTCAGTCCTCACGACGCTCTGCCGCTCATCCGTCCACTCCGATAGTAACGTGCATCCGGTGTAACGAGCATCGAGACCCCAAATGCCGGCCATGGTGGGTTTTCAGTCCACACCGGCTGGCTCTGCTCCATGTCCACACGCTCTTGTTACGCTTGATGTTCTGCACCACGTCGGTGTTTGATCACCCATAGCTCAGCATTGTCGGAGTTGCGGGAGAGCAAGAACGGGCCCCGCGAGACTCGTTCGGCCACCCCGACATCCATCCCCGGGCAGATCAGTCTCATACGCGGACGATTGCCCTATCCGGTTCGTCCCATGTCGCGTTGTCCTTCGCCTTCAACCTTCTAGAAGCCATGGAACATCCCAACCCCCGGAAATCCCCTGCTGTTCCGAACTCCGTGGCGTTGCTGACGGCTGCAGCGGTTGGTCCGCTCCGCCGGGCTTCTGTCCCATGGACGCCCCCTCCACTTCCCCCCTGTGATTAGCGGGCTTCTGGAAGGAAGGAAACCGTTTGCGGGGGCACGGGTTGTGGCTTGCCCACCGGCTTCTTAGGGCCTTTTTGTCTTTGGAGAGTAATATGGGTGATCGGTTACTCTGCTTGAAGATATCTCGTAAATATTGATGGATTGTATCCTTATGACTGTCAAGACTTCGCTCTCAACCGGATCGTATGATGCTCCATCGAAAGGTGGAGCGTTGGTGACTCGAGGCACCACAGTCGCCCCAGCCGGCATTTTGCCAGCATGTTAGCGGTATCGAAAGGGATTTGGTTGCTCGGCTCCGGCCTGCATCCCAAATAGCCAATATACATTGTGCATAGCGAGGCGTCGCAGTGCATACTGGAGGAACGGAGGAGGAGAAATGAAGGGGTTGGCAGGCTGGAGTCAACGAAGGGGACTGTGGCCAATACCATCAGGTTATTCTCTCTAGATGCAACAACGATCAGCTTCGGACTCGAGGGCAACACTGGACTCGACTGACCTGAGCACCCGAACGAGTCCATGCAACGCATGCAAGGTACCCGACACTAGGCTAGTCCTCGAGCAAACCTGGTTTGTCCACCCACAACGCCCTCATAGCGCGCGGGCGCCGCAGGGCGACTGCCCCTCCCGAGCGTTGCATAACGAGCAGTTACAGTGCTGATGACATTGGGCCTCGAACGGTGCTCCTCCGACACCCGCCTAAGGGAGGTGGGTTGTTCTGGAAGCTCTCGGACACTTTCCTTAGCGCGGCTCTTATTTTTCTTCTTTTCTCTTTCTCGAACCTGACAAGCGCGGGCCGGCTAGAACCGGCCGCGGAAAGTGGGTGTAATGTCTCGGTGCTTGTGAAGGGTAAACCAACATCATCTCATATCCGAAAACTTCCATTGAAGGTGCCCGCGATACGAAAAAAGAACATCGGCGGTCCTCATACGCATCTGAATCTCACCAAAATTCGAAAGGAAAGAGAATCCCTACTCTAGCCCCCAACGTGCCTTTTTTATTGGGGGCTCCGGAGGAAGGAGGAAAGGGCGCGACGTCCTCCCATGGGACATGGCCGCCGGCGCTTACCCTAAAATGGAAGCAAACCAGGGGGAAGAATGAACAGGGGTAGCTGGATTTTCAGGTTGTGTTCTGTGCGAAAAAAAAAAATCTCAAGAGAAAGCGCTTGCGAGCTAGGCCTCGGCAGGGAATTGATTACAACGGAGTTTCATCAGAGATAACCGTTCCCTGGTGGCCGTTTTATTTAAGCGCCCAATTCTCCCGAGACACTAACTAGCTTACCTTAGCCAACGACTTGGACGAATCCCAAGATATCGGGCGACGGAATTGATGGCGTTTGCTTTCCGGATCGGTGGGCGTTGTGAATCCACATTTGCTCAACGGCGAACGATGTTGCACCCTATCCAACCCTGCGAGGTGGGCTCATTCGAAAGCGGACCGCAATGCAGTTGGACCCTGGAAGGCATTCCAGGCTTCCTGATCGCCTTCCAAGCCCGCCCGCTCCTCAGATTCCAAGATCAGATCTCCCTCATGGGGGCCGCTCCCGGACGGATACCACCCTTCTACGCATGAACAACGGCTAACCCTGGATAACGATGTGACCTTTACGCCCTTTGGACGCCCGAGCCAGAGCGTCGCAAATGGGCCCTGTTCAAAGGAGAAGCAGGACACAGTTGGTGATTGCTGAGACTTCTTTTCCTCAATTCAGGCGCCGAGCACAAACCAACCCAACTGCAAAAAGACCTGTCCTTGTCTGCGCCGTTGGTTGGCGCTCGAATCAAGCGCGTTGTAGTGGGGGTGGGAGGTTTGGGGGTGGTCAATCGAGAGATTGAGCCAGCCCAATCCCATCACGGCAGGCATGTAAGGGTGAATGGCGAAAGCACATGCCTAAGGTACTGCCTTGATTCCCAGATCGGTTAATCGTCGAGACAAGCCGGGGTCGCCCTCCAGGGGTTGTGCTCTGGAAGAAGATCCTGACATCTTTCCGGAGAACCAAATACTGGAAACGGCGTTTCAGGCTTTGGCAATGATCAAAGGATGAATTACCCCCCCCCCCCATG